TGTGTGATTTAGTGCTGAGGAAATTTTTGTCTTTCAAAAAGGACAAAATTTGAAAAACTTTACATGCCTAATTAATTAAATGTGGTAGAGATTCTTTTGTGTCAGGTTTGTTCATATCCTCAAGTGGAACCTTTATTTGGGGAGTGATACAAGTGTTGTGTAAATTTAGAGTGAGACCTCAATGGTGTAGGTCATTAAGCCYCTGAAAGTGCTTTAAAAGTTAAAGTTGCTTTGTAACTAATATGGATATGTGAAGAAGCTAGTTCATACGCTGATTTAAATGCTGTATTGTTGCGTATAAACCTGGTTATTCTGTTCATGTCCTACTCTTTCTGGCATTTTTAAAAACTATCTTCTTTTCTATAACATAATGGTTTATAGGTACCATAAACTACCTCATCAGCAGACATTTTCTTCCTGATTCAACGGATTTTAGATTAGTATGTACAAAGGTTTTGAACTTTAAACTCTGCCAGGTAATCAATGAGATGTATGGTTAATTAACTTACTGGGTAATTTTTGTTCAGAATTAAGCTTCTGCTAAACTTTACCAGTGGTTTTCCCTGTAAGATTTTGGTGTTGTTGGGAAAATGTATTTTTGAAACTATATTAGTTGCAGAATTTTTATTAACCATTATGACACTTGCAGACTCTTGATGCRGTTCAAGAGGTTTTTAACCGTTATCAAGAAATCTTTGCACCTGAAATAATAATTGGTTAAACCAYTTAGCTTTTTTACAAGAATAGTTGTTTAATAGGCTAGCTAGTTGTTTCTTTTCTCAAACTGCAGAGATCTGCTGCTACCTAATTGTGTAGTAAAGGCTGTACTAAGCATTGCTTTTCTAAGAACTTACTCATTCTTTATAGTTGTTTTCATGAATTCACTTTAATTTTGCTGGTGCAGCTGTTACCAATCTCTGTGACTATRGCTCTGCATTGAGCCAGACATATTTAGTCCTCTGCTGGTGCCTGCCTGCAGTGTATGGTGGAGAGATGCAGGTTTAGGCATGAGAAGATGCTAGTGGCATGAAAATCAAAACTCACAGTGGTAACCTGTTTTAACCTTTTGTTTAAGAACCATTCCTAAACAGCATGGAGGCAGTGAATTGTTAGTGAAGAATCACATGTTTAGAGGTGATGATGCAGGCTCTTTGTAAAAAAATAAAAAAATTAAGTCCTCAGCTGTACAGTAAGAACACTTCACTGATGTGTTCAYATGAACCACTGTAAAATGGTTAGGAAACATTGTGTAATTGTGCTAATGCAATGATAATGGCTGCTGCCAGTTTTTTGCCTTCTTGCCTTCTAGGAGAAGAACTTGGAGTTTATGGAAATGCAAATTATTTTAGAAACACTGCTCTGGTTTTGTCATATGTATATATATTGCCATTAATAGCTGAAACACGATTTTTAATCTTTGTCCCATCCCTCCTACTCCAAGTACTACTGAAGAAGCCCTATTAGCAGGAAGAGCTAAGAATATCGCTGCCCAAAAATAATGTAAAAATATTTTACCTTCTTTCTATCGATTAATTATTCTAAAGGTATTTCCTCATAGTTTGGAATCTTTAATTTTTTTCACTGAAATGTCTCCATTACTTCTCATTACTTGCATTGTTTAGTTAGTGAGAATGGATGTTACTAACTTGTTTGTTGTTTGTTTGTTTATTTAATAACACGTTGTTTGCCATTAGCCACAGTGGGTTTTTTCGAAGTGCASTATTTGTTGACTGTGAGAGCATTTTGAACTTTTTTTAACTATTATCCAACCATAACTGCCACCTATGTTACTATGATTACCCTGGATAGTACAGTGGAAACTTAAATATGTATTTAATGCTATTTCTGCCTCTGGACTAGAATTTCAGTACTAARCAGAAAACATCGGACATTAAATACTTACAACAGACTTTAAAATATTAGTGTTATATACGTCAAATGCAATTATAAAGAAGTGCTTAAGTGCATGCTTACAGACTCTCCTATAATTAGCTTGCTAAGTATTTCATAGTTGCTTTTGGTAGCAGTGACAAATTTGTTAGTATTATTTCTGAGTGAATTTTGTTTGTGGATTGTATTGTATCACTTAACTGCTGTGCAGCTAGTGGAGGACATAAATACAGTGCYGTGCACCTAGGAAATTTAGCTGGCTAATGTCCTATTTCTTCCTTGAACTATCCACCATGCCCGATAACAAACTTCAAGGACATTCTTTCTACCAGTTGAGGGTAGTGTATATGACTGTGCTTTTGCATAGTGCTTCCTCTTTCTTGAATTTAAGACGCTCTAAGTTTGGTGTGGTGGGTTTTTTTTTGTTTTTAAAAATGGACAGCGTCCATAATCTTTCCATGTTTGAGGTTTTCTTGGATTGCAGATAGAGTTGTGGATTTTTCTCAGTTCTGAGTTTTAAGAGATTTATTCAGAAGCTTAGTGACATTAACAGATGCCAGGCAAATAGCAATGATTATATTTGATTTGACATGCAGCTGGTTGGTCACTGGAATGTGTTTGTTCCTCTCAATTCTTGTGCAAAAGTGAGTTACTTAAAGTTTGGCTTCAACCGTAGCAGATGCTGATGTGGCARCCCAGACCAAACATTCTTTCCTGCTTCGGTCAGCTGTGTGCATTCTTCGTCTAAAGGTCAAAGGAACTCAGCCAGTAAGGCTGACTCATGCAGATGTGGACTAAATGAACACAGTGTACTTTTGGTAGCACCCCCTAACCCATAGTAGGGGTTTCTTTTTAARTTGATGACTTTGACATAATCATAGGCAATGAATTGAAATAGTGGCATTTTTGGAGTCTCAGTCAGGGTGATTTCCCTTAATTCTGTGTGTGGATCTGCAAGGAGGACAAAAGTAATTTTTTGGAGACAAGAATGGTAGTACCTCAGTGGAAAAGTTTAGACTCCCCAGATGGTGACAAATTTGCTAGAACTAGCTCATGAAATCGCAAATATTCAAATACTCTTGCAAGCTATTTTTTATCAAAGGTATTGAGAGAAAAAAAGCCAGCCCACATGGAGAAAACCATGTTGTTTCCATTCTGGCTTTGTAGTTTGTGTTATGTAGAAGCACTGAGTTTACACCTCCTTATGTACCGTGGTCAGTTCCAACAGATATGGTACTTTGTGTCTTATACCTACCTACCAGTAACATTTCTGCATTACTCAGCCCTTTTGTCTCAATTTTAGTCCTTCGCTGTCAAGATTCAGTAGTACCGCTGATTGTTGGTAAATCAGAGTAATTTCATCTCATCTGGAACTGTATGTCCACATGGGTTGAAGGAAAACCTCCAAACCTCCAAACATCTGGGGTTTTGTAAGTTTCAAAAACCCCTGCAACAACCCCACAATGCTAGTATTATTAAAAAGAGATGTGACTGGTTTTTCAGGGTTCCTGTCAGCCCATGRTAGCTAACTTACATGAAGGGCTATTTTTTTGTAAGACAGCTGCATTTTGTGTTTAAATTTCCTTCAGGATGCAAACCAAACATTTTGATAATTTAACATTTATGTGAGTTGCCATCTTTCGGTGGTAGATCAACTAACCTGTAAGTAATTTTTCTAATTTTTTGCTATAATTCTTCACAGCCACCGCCACATACTTTTGTTCTGGAAAGRTGATGCCACTTCCGTCTGCTAACTCCAGAATGTCAAAGGTTACCATGGCCTCACCTTAGCTAGCATATATATTTGTTGTTGCTACATAAGGAAAGCTACAGTGCCCATCAAAGAATAACAGATACAAATTTTGTGTTGCTATAAAATGGTAATGGAATTAAGGAATTTGATATCAACTGATATGATTGAGGAGAGGAAAGAGGTTGATGTGCCCTTATGGTGTCAAACTTCTGTAAAGCTGTATCTGCTTTGGTTTCTGCCATGTCTTAGGCATTTATATTTGCTATCCTGATGTAGACTTAGAGAAGTGTTTTGTAAATTAAAATATAGGTAAAGATTACATAAATTTATGTACATATCTATAATTTATCMCTATTGATGTTATACTGAATTCTAACTTGTCTGCAGTACCTGTTTTATTCACAGTTTGCTTTGCTTGTTAGCATAATGCTCATTAGATAGATGAACTGGATGACATGTTACAATACTTATGATTGTGGGTCAGTTTTCATTTAAAAAAAGGGTAAAGAAGCACATGGCATATCTAATAACCCAGACAAATAAGGAATATTTAATGATCTGTATAGTAGTGTATAATGATATTGTTTAATAATGAATGGAATGTGACATTTAAAATTAGGAAGATAAAAATGAGAAGCTTTCTAAATCAAGAAATTGATATTGTGTAATAGTCTGTTTAAAGGGAAGGAATCAGAGTTCAGTTGTCTCGCCTCAGTAGGTCCTAGATTGAAAAAGAGTTGATTTGCTTCAGGGAGATATATCCTTACAAAATACTGTAACAGATATCTACTTGCTGTGTTATGCATGCTGGATTAATACTATAAACATTGACCTGGCAAAAGGAATGGAAGAAACAAACATTTTGCAGTCTGTAATATCTGTAAAGGATCTTGAAAAAGAGAATTGGAGGTGCTTAAGAATTCAACATRTTTAATTAATGTTAACAGTTGAGTAACAATTTATTGAATCAGATTTTTCACTGATACATAGCACTTATCTTRGAAGCATTGAGGCCTAGCCATGCAGCTACTGTAATGTTCATTCTTTGTTCATTGTCTTACTTTGTCTACATATTCTATAGACATTGAGGATGACACGATAGAATAAACTTCTGACACTACAGTTATGTCCTAGATAGTCAGGGCTTCTTGTGGCACATTGCATGTGACTGATTGTTGTGTGTGCATGTATATATACATTTTATATATGTATGTGTGTATGTATGTGTGTATGTATGTATTTATATATGTRTGTGTAGGTATGTGGGGGAAGAAAGATGATGGGCACATAAATCAGTAATTCTTGCTTCTTTTGATGGACAACCTGTTTTAACTGTAGTACTTCTCTTGTATTTTAGAGGAAGCCCACATCTGAAGGGAACCCCACATTATAAGGAAGAACAATGTGCTCCTTCATTAAATCTAGAAATGAAGAAAGTACTGGACTTGCAAGCCTCTATCACAAGGTATGCTCACTAACTGGGTCTTGAGAATTTTTCCATATGTATATCAGTACCTTTTAAAAAGTGAAGGGAAAACTGGATAGACAAAAATTCTAGTAAATTCTTCTAGTAAATTCTTCTAGTAAATTCTTCTAGTAAATTTCTTGGCATATTAATTGTGAAGAGTAATATTACTATTGCTAAAGTTATTATTAGCAGCTGATAAGTCTGAGGAGGTGAAAAAGTGAATTGCTGTTTAATAATTCTCCCTGTGCCTGGCTGTACTGATATTTTCAGCATATGGAAGTAGATAGTATTTTTAATATTATGGTACATTCCTATACATGAGTTTGTCCTTCAGTGCAAAGTGTATGTTAGAGATTCCATGGAGCCATACGTAGGTAAGAGCAAAACTGCATGCAGCATTTCAGCTTTTCTCCAGCTATCTACMGAGTCCACATTTGCCCTTTTTGTTTGCCTCTTGCTTTTTTGTGATGATTGCCTTTCCTATAAATAAACATTGAACATGCTAAATAAGTATGTATGAAAAGTTGATGAAACTTCTGAGCATTGGAGTGAGGTGGAAAAGTAACAAAGTAAAGTTTGGGCAGAGGCTCCTTARGAGAAAATGAGTATTGGAAGATATGCAGCATATACTGGAATAAGCTTGCATGCAAGTAGATTAGCAGTAGTTGTCAGCATTTTGGAGATGTTTAGGGAAGGATTTAGGAGGAGTCTAATTTCTCCTCCATGAGTTTGTTTCTGCCACAGATTAAAATCTGTTGTAAATTATTTACAGCCTAGGCAGTATTGTTAATGTTATAGGACAGATGAATTGATTGTTGGCAGCAGTGTCTTATGGTTAGTTAAAAGTATTGAAATGATCTTCAGCAGTTAATATAYCAGTTAAGCAATTCCTGTAAAAATACTGACCTGTTTATGAACTGTGGTTGCTGGAGAAAAATTGAGGTGTATACCATATTTTGTCAATTTGGTATTTTCACTGTATGGAGGACTTGGATATGTAGTTTGTAACTTATATGTAACTTCACAATATGGTTGCTGGTACAAGGGGCAGTAATACGGTGTTTGTGACATTGATTGGTATTTCTGTGACATTCATTTGAGATGCAGTTTTTTTAGGGATTAAAAAATATCTTTTATTAGTTTGCAGTCCATGTTAGAGGATCTACTTGTTGCTACTGCTGATGGATTTCTACATCTCATTCACTGGGATGGTCTGACCAATGGAAGGAAGGCCATCAACCTGTGTACAGTTCCATTTTCCGTGGATCTGCAGTCTTCTCGAGGTAGGTTTTGGGGTTATATTGCTTACAATAGTTACAGTGACATACCATCAAATATGACATACCATCTCTGTTCGTAAGCAGAGATGAGAAGATTTTGCCATTTTTAAATGGGAATGAAATAGCCTGTTTAAATTAGGTTTTCTGTTTAGAGTAATAAGTAAACATCTGAAATGTATGTTGGCTTGCAATATTTCTGTGTTCACATATTTTTGAATTACTGGTATTTTCCCAGCAGGTTCACTTTTGGGTTTTGAAGATGTTTACATCAGAGATATGGAATACTGTGCCACGCTTGATGGCTTTGCTGTTGTTTTTAATGATGGCAGAGTTGGTTTCATTACACCAATGTCAAGTAGATTCACTGCTGAGGTACATTTCTTTCAGCATTTCTACCATGCACTGTAAATAAATGTGTTTTCCCTGGTCTCTGCATTTTATCTAGCATTCTACTTTAAATTCTATTCAGCTACARAGAAACTAAAATTTAAGATCCGCTTAAGAGATAACCTAAGAACAAGACTGTATTTTGTAGCATAATTTGAGCTAGATTTTTATGGGATTAGTTAGCCAGTGGAAGAGTGCAATTGATAGTAGATTTAACTTTTTTTTATTCATTCAAATTGTCATTATAGAGGTGGTCTTACTGTGTCAGACAAACAGACTTCCTTTTGCTGGTTACAAATGGGATTATAAGAATTGGTTTCTCCTCTGGCGAAGTATCCTAAGTACTGTGTCTAGGACTTAGTCCTAAACATGCCTGTCTCATAGTGACAAGCATACTTGGGAATTTGTTTTACAGGAATCTTTTCTAAGTTAGGTCTTTTCTCACCTGTAATTCAGTCTAAAAAGCTGTTACGCTTTGTTGGTAGATATCTTTATTTTAATTACAGAAAACYCAAAAGTATGCATTTAATGTCCAGACTCCTCCACACATTTAACTTATCTGTGATCTCAGCTGTTGCAGATGGGAACTTACTTTCCTGTTTTTCTCTTCCTTCTTAGTACCATCTACTGTTTTTTTTTTTCTAGGCAGTGTTAGGGATTTTTTTGTCTTACAGGTACTGAYTTGTTTGGTTATTAAGAGGTCCTATAAACTGTTTTCTTACATACTGACAGATTTCTTTAATTTATATTAAGAAGAAAGAAACTAATTTTGCATATACTGTATTTTGTTTGTTGGGGCCATGTCAGTTCATCTTGACATCAACAGAAATTTTRTGAGATCATTAGGGTCAATTGACAGATGTGTATTTTGGTGTACATGGATAAAAGCTGACTGTCATTAGTAAAAATACTATTTAACAAAAAATCTTGTGAATTCCTTTCTTTACAGCAGCTCCATGGTGTTTGGGCACAAGATGTAGTTGATGGAACTTGTGTGGCAGTGAATAACAAATACAGGCTAATGGCGTTTGGATGTGCCAAGTAAGTTTTTTAAGGCTGGTTCAGAGCAGGGGGAGATTGTTTAATTATAAAGCTGAACTAGTAGTTACTTCTTACCAAGTTGTGTTGCGAGAACTGTAAAGATTAAATGATCAATCTGCCTAGAGATTTTATGATGTGCTCTGTCAGAAAGGCAGGAGAGTGATAGAAAGCATTGACTGCCTGCTTGAACTGCAATTGAGAGATGGAAAGAAGTGGTTGCCTGCTTGAACTGCAATTGAAATTTATGCTTGCTGTTTTTGTCTGAGAAAAAAAATCAAAAGGTGTCTGGGCCAGTAGCAAAGATTGGAAAGTTGCTATCCCAGCTAATCTCAAAGTAGSATTATAAAGTCAGTTTTAAGTAGTTAATCATAATAATATTGGACAAGAATCAGCCCTTCACACTCAGCTGAGAAAATGCTCTTTGAAGTCATGATTTGGTCAAGAAAAGTGTTGCTTTTTTGAGTAACTGAATATTTGTAAATTAGATGTTGCAGAAGTGCTTTTAGTTGGGGTATTTTGCTTACTGCTTCTTCAAGACGATCTCCCCTTATACAATACTACTTTTGCTGGCCTTAGAGTGCAACTTTTTATTTTCTTTGATTGTACTTTACTTGAGTTTTCTTTTAGGGCATTTCAAAAAAATATGGTATTTTCCAGCCATCCTCTTAAGAACTAATTTTCTCAGTTTTAGTAACAATGCAGTGTATTGGTGTTTCCTCTGAAACAGGAGTAGTTACTTTAATTTACTGACCTTGGTATGCCTTAGTACATCCCTAATGAAACTTTAGCACTGAATAAATACTGCCTTCCCTCATGGATTGTCTTGCAGTTGGAAGCCATAAATGTATGTGAATTGTGTGTGCATGTGTATTTTCAGAGAATGAAGTCCTTTTAGTGCATTGATTATTCTAGGGCTGTTGTTTTGGTCCTCTGATGCTTTCTGGAAAGTATCTTAGAAATTTGTTGCATAGAATTTTTTGACTATTACTTGGCTCAGCGTCTCTAGATAGATTTGATATTGGTGAGAGAAAAAGCAGCTTTTCTTAGTCTCTTAAAATTGTTGAGAAATTCGATTAGTCTGTAGTCTAAAGCATGTGTGTAATCTCTTCCAGTGGCTCTGTGCAGGTTTATACGATAGATACCACCACTGGCRCCATGCAGTTTTCTCATAAATTGGAACTGACACCAAAACAATATCCTGGTGAGCTACTTTTATTGCTAGAACTGTCCAGCTGTTTTTAGGGTATAGTATATTTTTTTCCTTGGCTAGTCAACCTCTTTGTTTGCATTATCACTGATGTGTTTAGTAGTTACTCCTGTGTGTTTGTAGTAATTTATGCTTTTGTATTTCCAGTTTTAGCTGACTTTTGCTTTTTAAATGACTTTTGGATGTGTTTCATATGTTTGGATTTGGGTGGGTGGTTTGTGTTTTTTTTTGGTTTTGGGGTCTTTTTTAACTAAATCTTAATCTTGAAATTACTTTTTAATTGCCTGCGGAAATGAGATGTTGTTGTCAAAACTGATAATATGTGTAATAGAATTGTGAATTAAATTGAAGCAACTAACATGTAGAGTACAGAAAAAGTATTGAGTAATGCAATAACCTTCCTGCACTGCAGTGATTTTTTTCATGTAGTATTCTATGCTTTAGAGTAAGGAACATACAAAGCAGATAAATTGCATTCTAAGCTGAAAAGGTGTGTGCCTGTTGGTTTTCAGTTAAAAAACAAATCTGTATAAATTACAGTTTTACATTTGTCTTAAGTGCCTCTTTTGTCTGAAAATATAATTATACCAGATTTGTGGTTCTGTGGTTGTGTTATACCAGTGTATTTCAGGCATATTTTCCTGTATTCTTAGTTTCTTAGGTAACTAAGCATGTGTTGGAAAAACCCCATTTTTTATTTGCTACTTAATTTGCTACTACTTTGCTAATAATTTTGAGATGGTTAGTTTGATGAATGTATCAGTTAAATGAAAAATTAAATGTTTGCTTCTATATATTTTTGTTTATGCTTTTATGGTGAAGCCCATTGAAGGACTTTTTATATTTTTCATGTATTTTATTGTCTACTTTTAAACAGATATTTGGAATAAAACAGGACCCGTTAAACTAATCAGATGGTCACCTGATAGCTGTGTTGTGATGGTGACCTGGGAATGTGGAGGTTTGTCGTTATGGAGTGTTTTTGGTGCTCAGCTTATCTGTACTTTAGGAGGTGATTTTGCGTGAGTATCTTCAATCACATTGTAAAGAATTTATTAGAAGTCTTTATTTTTCTAATTGGAAGCGTTCACCAGATTAGTTCACCAGGAATTAGTTCACCAGATTAGCTTTTTTAAAATTTCTCTTTCCCTTGTGATTTATTAGATATTGAGATATTRTTGGCAAATGCTTAAGAAGGGATAATTGGAATATAAACAAAAATGTATTATTTTCATTTTGTAGTGATCTTTTTGTCTGTAAAAGAAAATTGGATCAAGGAAATTAAAATTCCCTCAGTGCCTGTATATAATTGCTGAAAATGTGCTAACTTCTGGGAATCACCATTCAGACAATTTATGCTAGGCAACTGACAGTTGCATTGCCTCTTTTGCGGTGTCTTGGATCAAGCAGGCTCTACCATTTGAGATGAGGTTCACTATGGAACCATGTAAAGAGATGAAGACAGGACTTTAATTTATTATTCTGAAGAAGTTATTTGCAAACTCAAACTTGTTTTGTTCTGTTTTTAAGGTATCAGTCTGATGGTGCCAAAAAGGACCCTCTAAAGATCAATTCCATGGTAAATATAAATGTAAAAATACTGTAATGCTTTTAATGTTTTAAATTTTGTTTAATGTAACAGATTTTCAGAAAATCAAACTCTCTTTCTTTCACTTAATTACTTTTCAAGAGTAAGATGCCTTTACTACACTTCTAGACTGCAAAGTTGCATTGAAGGAAAAGAGGACGACCGATGGATTTTTTTTTTAATGTATAAACCTGATCATGAAGTATGCACAACATGCCTTTTCTTCCATTTGCCCTTAATATTAAAAATGAACACTCTTCGTTTTTCCTAATTTTTCTTTTTTATCTGTTGCTGTATTTCAAAGTGCAAGGAGACACAGAACAACACTAGTTGTAAGCTCCTTTTTTCTCTAAAATTAGTAGCTGACCATTGACAGTTGAAGAAACTTTACTCAGATTATGAATTCCAGAGAAACTTAACTGGTGATTTTTTAATACAAGCTAGTTAACATTAAATAAAATCCTTTTAGCCTGTAAAATCAATAGATAAATAGAACAAATTTGAATAAATTTCAAATTAGAATAAATTTGAAACACATTCCACAAGACCTTATGCAAACCATGATGAATTTTGTGCAGTACTTCTAGAACAATTTGATTTATTTATTGTGACATAATTGCTTTGAAGATTGACACTTCTAAATATGCATCCCAAATTGAGATCCATATTTGCAATGACGGTACAGTGTACCTTTTAGAAAACTGCAAAGATTGAAATTCTGATATTGAATTTGATGAACAACAGCCAGTGTCATTGTGGAAATCAGGGTTGTTTCATACCTGGCTCTGGATTTTTTGTTTACTGCCTTAAACTGTGAATTAAACAGCCTTTGTTACTTATGTCAGTGTTTTCTTAATCCTTGTTTTTAATGTAAGACAAGAAATAATTCACGCTAGATTCCTACTGTACCTTGTGAATTTTCTTGCTTGAGTTCTATAATAATACATTTTAAAACAACAAAATGTGTGGGCTTTTTGCAGGCTCATGTCTATCATAAGATCAGTTACAGTAAGTTTCTGTAGTTGTTTTATGAGAACATATATATAGTGTTATACATATGTGTGTGTGTAGTGTTGGGTTGGGGGTTTTATTATTGTTATTCTCTTACTTTCAGACCTGGGGATCAGAAGGATATCATCTCTGGGTTATTGAGGGGAGTTCTTCTTCAAACATGAAATCTGCAAGAAATGCAAATAATGAAGCTCGCCAATTTGGTATTCTGCAGTTTCAGTTTATCAAGAGTGCACTCACTGTTAATCCATGTATGGTAGGTTTCTTGGTTGATAAATATATTCTTGTTTTAGAGCCTATTTCCAACTTCAGGTGAACTCTGAGTTCTCTGAGATTTTAGGTCAGTTTTGCAGCCATTAGAGCTGTCTTCCTTTTTTGTCACAGAACCTTTGAAAGGGTACTGTGAAAAGATTGCGATGCAATACTGTAACATAAAACCTGTTAGTGATACAAAAACTGAGAACTGCCTCAATGCTTGTTTTTCATATTGTTTACTTAGAGCCTCTTAATATATTGATTATGTGCTTACCTTTGTCTTCTGTATGTGGAATTCAAGGTTACTTTTTTGTTGTTGTTTTGTTTTGGTTTTAATATAGAGCAACCAGGAACAAGTCCTCCTTCAAGGAGAAGATCGCTTATATTTGAACTGTGGAGATGCAGCACAGACTCAGAATCCCAGAAATACATCGGCACACTCTGAACATAACCATAGCAGGGAAAGAGGCCCATTTTCAGATGGCAGTTTAGATTCTCAGGGTTTAAGCACTTTACTAGGACACCGGCATTGGCATGTTGTACAGGTAATTGCTCCTGGTTAACCATATGTGCTCTGTGTTCACAAGAGTTTGTAGTAGTAGAATATGCAGCTGATCTCCTCACTCTCTGGCATAATTTTTTCCTCTAGTATGAGATGATCATTTTATTTTCTCAGGGTTTACTGTGATACAGCTTTTTCCTCATTGACAAAAGGTAAAGGAACATTGGTTGTATCAGCCTTGTGGCTTTGAGTTTGCCTCCTAGCCAGTAAAAAAAAGTCTTAAATGTCTTTTTGGCTTTGGGAAGGAGTAGTTAATTACTTTCCTGTGCTCTGAAAGGGAGAAAAGTGCAACGTGCAAGAGATCATTTAGGTGTTTGTTTTGTTATTTATGCAAAATTCTTTAAAACATATTCAGATGATGAATACAGCCTTCAGACTCCAGCTGTATTTTCAGGCATTTAAGTTAAAGGCATGTAGTTAAAACTTCACAATATCAGACTTTCAAAGAAGAAATTGTTTCTGGGGTAGTAATGGGACAGCTTCTGTTTTCCCTGCAATATAAAGTTAAATATCTTCTATTCTGTAATTCTACTGTGTGTTGTTCTGTGCTTGAATTGGTGTTTCTTTTTTAAATAAAGGTTTTTGAAAGGTCCACAATACATTGTACTTCACATAGCACATGAATTAGTAGTATAAAAAAGTATTTAATTCTAGGCATGTAAGGCAGGTTCTAGATACTGTTGAATTTTCACTTTAGCTGGCCAGGTAGCTCTTCTGTCTTCTGAAACAGGTGTTGGAGGGAAAGGTCTTTGTCATGTTGTAAGAACAAAGCTGAAACCATTAGAATTGTTGTGGGGAGCAACATATCCATGAAAACAGACAGTGGCTGGGTAATGAGAGTACCTGCCTGCCTTGTGTCTGACCAAAGACTGGAGTTTCAAGTTGGGTTTGTATCAGAGCATGTGACATGAAGAATCCAGCATCAAGATTTGGTCTGACTTGTTCCAGTCAAGTTCTCTCATAACAAGGCTTTTGGATATGCTGATGTGTATTTCTAATGAGATTAGAAATTTCATCCTAACAGCAAAACTTAAATTTCTGCAGAAGTTTCTGTGCAGAGAAAAGTACCTGAGAGGAGAGATGAGCCAATTATGGCTATTAATCTGTAATATACTATTAGCTGGTGTATGTTTCAATATTTTGTGTATTAAAAAGCGGGTAACTTTTAGGTTTCAGTAACTTGTGGTGGGGAGTTGGATGTTGGAATTTAAAAATAAAATTCCAACATTAAAAATGTTTATGATAGTGTTTTGAAAAAAAAWGATTATTGTCCAAATTCTGTTAGGACGTTATAATTAATAAATACTTTAATTGTACTTGGTATAGTCATGTGGATTTTGTTTTGTTTTTTTAGATTCATAGTACATATCTAGAGAGCAACTGGCCTATTAGGGTGAGTTATTTTAAGAACATATTCTTGCTTATTTAAAATCATTGGAGGGTTATAATTGTCCATTAGGACTGGCTGAGCTCTGAGAATGAAATCATTTTACGTTATAGAAAGAAAACCATTAGATATATAAAAATACTTTGCAAGTTTTGAGTCTGATGTTATATTGTCTTGTGGTGTTAGAGTTCGATGTGGTATCATTTAAATAAGTTTCCTTCTGAGGTTCTGGTAACTTTATTTTCTTTTTTACAGTTTTCAGCTATTGACAAGCTTGGACAAAATGTAGCTGTCGTTGGCAAGTTTGGTTTTGCACATTATTCTTTACTCACCAAAAAATGGAAGCTGTTTGGAAACATTACCCAGGTGAGGGGTTATGGAATTCTTTTCTGGTGTATAGCAGTTTTTATTTTTGAGAATGTGAAACTTAGAGAAAATTAAAAAGTATCAGTTTTGAATAAACAGCCTGTAGACACACTTGGGATTAGGAATGCTGGTTTTACATGTGTTTCTCATAAAATGTCTGAAACACGGGTCTTGTGGTTTGATTTTTGTGTCTGATTATTAACAGGTTTCCAAATTTGAGTCATACAGTCAGACGTTTAATTCCATATGTCTTATCTGAGAGTTCTTGTGGCGTATCTTTGGATGTAAAGCTTGTTGATTCTGGCCAGRAGCAGATTTGAGAGAATTCAGGGATGCCAATAGCATAAAGAACTGTGGAACTGTTTCGTAGTATTAGGTTTATCCTACACGTACTATTCTTTAGTACTTTGCTTTTTTAAACAATGGAACTTCACATGCATAGTCTTGCCACTATGGGTACGGCTTATAGAGATCATGCATGGCTTTCAGAAATTACCCATATAAGTACATGTTTGTATGTGTAAGTATGTAAAAATATATACAAATGTGTCATCTGCTTGCTTTTTTCTTTTCAGGAGCAAACTATGATGGTAACAGGTGGTTTAGCATGGTGGAATGACTTCATTGTTCTTGCATGTTATAATTTAAATGATCATCAGGAAGAGGTGAGGTACTTTTCTTCAACATAACTATATAATGATTAGAATATTTGATCTAGACAACAGTAGTATTATAAACTTATTTGTACCCTGTAAACTTAAGTGGCTTTTGGTCATATTCAGAGTTTTTTTATTAATTTATAAGTAATTATTTGCAGAAAAWTTTTTTTGTTGCTATTAATAATTATTTTCTGCTGACTACAGTGAATGTATTCATTGTTCTGAAAACTCTGAGATTTTTGCATGTTAGCATGAAGCCTGTTTTGAAATACCTATTTACAGTGTTTTGGAGCACTTTTGCAAGGTTTTAAGCTACTTGGGCAGAGAGATCTACTTTTTGCTTTTTTAAGCTGATGCATAGAATTCCTTCCTTGTGATTGTTGTTCAGTACTTCGGATTTGGCAGACTGTCCTTTGACCACTTTGGATGCAATAATAAAATGCAATGGATAAAATACTTGATGAAAGAAAAACTCTGTAATGGGTCTTGCTAGAAATTTTTGACAGCTGTTCCATAATAAAGGAAATACTAAGTGGAATTACTATTAGCTTGTTGGTAAACAGAACCTTATTATTCAAAATACACCTTTTTCTTGCAGCTGAGAATCTACCTGCGAACGTCTAACCTTGACAATGCGTTTGCACACATCACCAAAGTGCAAGCAGACACATTACTACTGAGTGTCTTCCGGGACATTGTGATATTGTTCAGAGCAGATTGTTCCATTTGCCTTTACAGTATTGAGAAAAGGTCTGAGGGGTGAGTGTCACTACTCGAATRCTTTCGCAGTAAGGTATCTGTAGATCTGCCCTCAGTCTGATTGAAATTCTTACAATGATACAAAGGTATTTGATAAATTGTGGTTTCAGATTTGTAAAATACAGAGGATTAGGTGTTACCTTTATGCAAGTCATGGGTGTTATCACTTGCATGCATGCTGATAGGCACATTAGGTGTGCAGGTAGTTAGTGACTGATATATGCACATTTCCAGTTATCTGAACAAACATGTTCATAAATTATTGAGACTTAAAAACTGAATATGAATGAGAGAAAAAAGTACTAAAAGACACCCACATACTTGAATATTTTAAAATAAAAACATGTTTCTAACATTAGAAGTAGAAATTAGTGAAGGGAAGGTGGCAGCAGCCTAGCAAAGATGAAGAGAGAAGAGGTTTGATCTTGGTGTGATGGTGAGACGTTGCAAAAGAAGGAGCAACATAAGATATGCCAGATACTTTGAGATGGTTAAGATTAATGAACCTAAGAAGGAGATAAAGATGCACAGATTGGGTTTTTTTTAAGTGCCTAATTAGGTGATTTTTCTTACAGTTGTGGTATCTTCTTTTTGGCAAGGAGGGACCTTTTTATGTTAGAAGAAAGAAAGTTGATGATCACCTGTAGAGGAAAATATTTGCAATTCTTCTTAAAAAAAAACCTCCCAGCAGTATCCAAACACGGGAACTGTCTCATTGAAGGGTCAATGAGTCTTATTCTCAAGTATCTGGTATTGTCTTCTACTCACTCACAGCTATATTTCCCAAAGTATCAAGATAAGTAACCCAGCTGAAGTTTGTTAGGTAATTTTATGTAGATATGTGGGCATATCTACTGATTCCTGATTAAAGGAATGTAATTTTGTTCTGTAGAGTAAACTGCTATGTTTAAGTTGCTTCTTTTCATTAGATTTATATGAAGATAGTAATTTCATATTAAGTAGTTGTAAAATTTCTAACTGTAGTCATTTTCCTTTCAGTCTTAACCCTACTGCCAGTATCCAAATTCTTCAAGAAGTATCCATGTTGCGGTACATTCCTCATCCTTTTCTTGTAGTGTCTGTTACGTTGACATCAGTGAGAACAGAGACTGGCATCACCTTGAAGATGCCTCAGCAGGTAACAGATCTCAAACTTTGGTGGAATTGGTGCCTTGATTTGTTAGCTTACTCCTCCAAGGTTACCTTATTGATAGATCAGTCCTAATTCAGTGTCTCTTCTCTGTAGTAAAATCCAAAACACATTCTTTTTCTGATGTTCATTACATATACATTTTATATGTGAATTGGAGGTGAGGGGATGGAAAGAGAAGTAAGAGTTTAGATTTTATTGTATACCTTCTCTTGTTATCTTGCCAAGTTTGGGGCCAGATCTTGGAGAGAAAATTAGGTTAAACTCTGTCAAGGGTATGTTGCTCTTTTGTGTATTAAAAGTAAAAAAACACAGCAATCCATGGTATTAGGAATTAACCATTCTTGCAACAACATGTCCATTACTCAAATAATAAATAGAAAAAAAATGAAAAGATGGCATATGACCCTATAAGGTTATTTCTTGTCAATTCTGGCTACACTAAAATAAAGCTATATAATCTGACACACTAGTTGTGCCAGGAGACAGCTCAACAGCTAAACAATGATGTAAGATGTCTTAACTCCAAAATTTAGTAAGGGCACTGAAAGCATGTGCAAAGAGAACTTGGATTTTTGTTGTCTGGTTGTAAACAGAATAGGTTTAACTAAAAAGCTGCAGTATGAAGTGTCTTTTTTCATGAAAGCAGCTTAGTGTGGTTTGGAAGTTGTGCTGTCTGTGGGACAGCCTGAGAGACATGAAGATGCATCATTTTCTCCACATACAAAGACACTGGCAGATATGAAAGTGGAGGCACATATGTAAAGTCTTCATTCTAATTTAATATCCCACAATGCTGAAAATGTGTCCAGAAACTTTGATATGGTACTGAATAAAAGGCAATGTGCTTGTGGTTTTCTGGTCCATTTTACTATGATCTGTGTCCATGAACTACCTGACCTGTGGTGTTACTCTAATTTTGACAAAAGGCTACTGAATTTTTTTACAGCACCAATAATATTTAAACTTGGCTTCAGATTGAATAGGTACTACCTCTGTCTAAGACACCTTATCTTTAAGCTCTGATGATCCTCCTGATCAGAAGATAAGTATTTAGTACTAAATATGGCACTGCACTGTAGACAAAGCAATGTGTCTGAATTTGTGGAGTGTGTCAACCTTTCCAGGTTTTTTGTGTATCAGTGACCTTAACCCTGATTCTGCAAGTTTGCCATATAGATCCTGTATCCACATATTTTAAAACTAAGCTTCATGCATGGCATGGTAGTAACTCCAGTGACTTGGTTTAAAATTAACGTGAAACGATTATGAAATAAATCTTTGAAAGGAATACATTGCTTTCTTGAGACACCTTGCTAAAATGATTTTTCTTTGAATGCAGGTAAATAAAAATTCAAGATGCTGTACAACTGTGTCTCAGTTCTTTTTGGCTCAGCTCTTGGGTTGTGTACCAGTGTTACAATTTGCAATCAGATACTGGCAATCATGTAGTGATAAGAAAAGTGATACTGATAAGAATACAGAGCTTTATTTATCTTAAAATTGTGGATTATTTATCTTAAACTTGTGGATTGCCCATTTTAGGACACACAGTTGGAAAAAGTTCATATTAAATAAACACATGAAATGAGTCTGGTGAATAAGAAACCTTCCAGTATTTATTCCTTTGCACAAGAACTGCAATATTTGGTTCTTGATTTTTCTGAGTCCTTCTACATTGAATTTGGTATCAATTAAAGTGGCACATTTAATTTACACTTTTTATTCTAGGTTTTTATTGTGATTTTGAGTAAAATGTTCGTTCGAAAAGCTTAAATAATTTGTACAATATTTTTTCTATCCATAGGCTTGTGAAGCCGAAAGTATTATGCTTAACTTGGCAGGACAACTCATCATGTTGCAAAGGGATCGATCTGGACCCCAGATACGAGATAAAGATAATAATCCTAATCAAAGAAAGCATGTGAGTAAATATATGTGGAGTATTGCATATGGCTTCAAAGATACCAGTGATTGAAGAAGCTGGGGAAGAGAATGGTCCAGACATAAAGAAAACAGGGCTGTAAGCGAGGCAGTATCTGCACTTACAGACTGAATTGTTAGCTGAAGTGTGTTAGCATTTGCTCATTGTATTTGCTAGGTATAGTGAAATGAAGCTTGAAGATACTGCCCACAATTTGGTGTGCACCAATAACAGAAAATCTCGAGTCTGTCTAAACTGTTCTGTATGTTTATGGAACATTACCATTTTTTTCAGAATATATTTACAAAGTTCCAGGAAATAGCGACAATAGAAATCAGTTACTGAACTTTTCAATTCTTCTGTTCTGATGAAAACCAATTCTGTGTGAAACAAGCACTTTGGGAGAGTGAATTCTGGAAAATTCAGATAAAGATTTGTCAATTCTAGATTGGACTTGTGAGCTAACTGAAGAAGCAGAGAGCAGGTTTTCATTTTTCGCCCTTATTCTTATCCCTCTGCTTCCTGATTAAGTATTAAGGAGGTTAAAAAAATTAAAGAAATGTCCTGAGTTAATGTAAGCACTAAATGGTCCTTTGTCATGTGCCGGGGTGAAGTTAAGTAAAAAGCAGATTTGTTTCTTCTTTGTTAGAATAGTAACACATTTGAAGGGAGTGGTTCTTAGCTGAAAAAAAGAGTTCCTGTGAATAGACCAAAAAGAAAGGAATCATAGATACTGATTTTTTTTTTTTTTTTTAATTTTAAATAGCTGCCATTTTGTGCTCCAGTTGTCCTAGCCCAGTCTGTTGAAAATGTATGGACTACTTGCAGGATTAACAAACAGAAACGCCACTTATTGGAGGCTCTGTGGCTCAGCTGTGGTGGGGCAGGTATGAAAGTCTGGCTTCCCCTGTTTCCCAGAGATCATCGAAAACCGCATTCCTTTCTGTCAAGACGGATCATGCTGCCTTTCCACATCAACATATACCCATTGGCTGTTTTGTTTGAAGATGCCTTGGTTCTTGGTGCTGTTAATGACACTGTGCTCTATGACTGTTTATACACTCAAACCAGTGCTAGAGAACACTTAGAGGTTCTCTTTCCTTTCTCCATTGTTGAGAGAACCTCTCAAATCTACCTCCATCACATTTTACGCCAGCTCTTGGTTAGGAACCTCGGTGAACAAGCCTTGCTTTTGGCCCACTCCTGTGCCACATTACCATACTTTCCTCATGTACTAGAGCTGATGCTTCATGAAGTGCTGGAAGAAGAAGCTACCTCGCGGGAACCCATTCCCGACCCTCTCCTTCCCACTGTGGCGAAGTTCATTACAGAATTCCCCCTCTTCCTGCAGACAGTTGTTCATTGTGCTAGGAAGACAGAATATGCCCTGTGGAATTACCTTTTTGCTGCTGTTGGAAACCCGAAGGACTTATTTGAAGAATGCTTAATGGCCCAGGACTTGGACACAGCTGCCTCTTACCTTATTATCCTACAGGTAATGGTACCAAATATATTGCAGGAGTGCTGGTATTTACTAACTTGGCAGTATTTTAAAAATAATGTTATATCAAACTTGTGCACGTTCAACAGATTTTTAATCTAACCATTTTCTGTTGATACTGTGACGGGTAGTAAGATCATGCAATGTAATTAGTTAGTTTACTGTTTTTAAATAGGAAAATAATAGCATGAAATTAGCTTTTTATATTCCTTGATAGACTGGAACGTGACTCGATGTAGCTTGACTTAATAGAATTTCTGATGCTCTACCGTAGAAGTCAATCACTTAATTATGCTTTGTTGCTTGCAGAATATGGAAGTTCCAGCAGTTAGCAGACAACATGCTACTCTCCTGTTTAATACTGCCTTAGAGCAGGGAAAGTGGGATCTCTGTCGTCATATGATTAGATTTCTTAAAGCCATTGGCTCTGGAGAAACAGAAACACCCCCAGCGACACCAACAACTCAGGTTTGTGCTGAGAAAATACTACGTGTCAAGCTTTGTATGATTAATCTTCATGTTATATGGCATGTTTGGTCCTTCATATTTTGTTTTTCTTGGTTTTAGGAACCTAGTTCAAGTGGTGGTTTTGAATTCTTCAGGCATCGCAGCATTAGTTTATCCCAATCAGCTGAGAATCTCCATAGCAAGTTTAATTTGACAAAAACATTGAGTATGCCCTCTGGCCCATCTGGAAAGAGGTAATATTTTCTCCTTGCCCACTTTCTCCTTGCCCACAGTACTAACTTCCTTAGCCATTTTAAGTTATAGAAATAAATTACATGATAGATTTGTCATAATCTCCTTCCACATCTTTTGCATTTGTCATTTCACAACTCCTGTAATACCTCTCATACCATTCTTGGGAGAGTATCTTCTCACACATGTAAATATATGTGTCTGTATTTGTATGTATACTCAGGCATGCTTACCTAGATATTGCTGACCAAAAGCCTCCAAAGTCACTGGATGTGGTACACATTACATGTGTGGCAATTTAAATAGCTAGTGAGACCACATGCCTCATATTTAAAGGATCAATTTTGCTGTAAAATATGTTTGGACCAACTCAATAGTTCACAGCATCACAGTGTAAACTGTGCTATGCTACTATGCACATCTTGATCCAGCGGTGTTTCCAAGGTACAAATAGAACCTTTTACTCCTTGGGGTGAACCATCTAAAGCTCCTGTATACAGACTTGATTTTGATAGGTATTAGAGTAGTTCAGAATCAGTATTGAAGTAAAATTCATTATTATCTTTGCTTTGGCTTTTTTTCCCTACAGGTTTTTAAAACAAGCTCAGTATAAATTCAAATACTCTTAATTAGTAATTTTTCTTTGAGAATACTATTTGAGGAAGTTGTGATAGTAAGAGTCCTTGACCATACTCTAAATTAAATTACAATGTTTAGTCCTTGACTAATTCTCTAAACTTGGCAATGTCACCTGCCTGTTATCTCTCTTTACGTTTTTGTGCATTGTAATAGTTTAATGATCTATAAATACTGATATAGTTGTAATTTACATCCATTATTTCACCAACTTGTTGAAGCAGTGGGATCTTTCAGAGAATATAAACAGCAATAAATAATGGAAACTGCTTTTGCTGTTATATAGAAAGCTCCCCTTCTGCTCCTCTGGTCACTCAATGTTCTTCAGCTGTGGCCAATAACCTTTGGGATTCTGCTTCATCAGTGTTCATTTGGGTTTTCTGTGCCGTGTGTGTAGGTGGAGCAAAGACAGCGACTGTGCTGAAAACATGTACATTGACATGATGCTCTGGCGGCATGCTCGGCGTCTGCTGGAGGAAATCAAGCTGAAAGACCTTGGCTGCTTTGCTGCACAATTAGGCTTTGAGCTGATTGGCTGGTTGTGCAAGGAGAGAGCCAGAGCTGCCCGTGTGGAGGATTTTGTATGTGCTTTGAAAAAACTACACAAGGATTTCCTCTGGCCATTTCCAGTTATACCAGCTTCATCCATTAATTCCCCTTTCAAGAATGGAAAGTACAAAACAGGTACAGTAACATTTTAGTTGATACAAACTAGTTCAGTCGAGATAAGAACAGGCTGAGGCTTGCCACCTGCACAACTTTCTCACACACAGTATATTCTTTGAAGAGATTCTGCTTAACACGGACAGTATCTGATTACTGTTTCTTTTGAAATCTCCTGCTTTCTTAGGTGCACTGAATGGGGTTATCAGTTGTGCAGATGTTGAGCTGAACATATAAATTGCTCTGGTGTAAATTCTGCTGCAGAAAATTACTAAAATTAGTACTCTTTTATTAGTCGCCTGATAAGGTTTTGATTAACCTTTTTAAAATTAAAGAGTAATGTTCCTAATATTTGAAATTTACTTTATTTTAGAGGGCAAAAACTTGGAAGACTTTGCTGTAAACCTCCTTTGGTGTTAATATCTCAGTTAACTACTTTATCTCCTTACAGCAAAGTTGATGCCCCCTACCTTGTCTCCATATKGCAAGGTTGACCCCAGCTGCCAAATCTTCCTCTTCTTAGTAGCAGCATCCTTACTTATTACTGTTGATGCTTACGCTTTGTCAGATTATACTTGTTTTATGCCAGTGCTCACATAAAAACAAATAAATAGAAATTCTTGAAATAACCTAAACTTGCTGCATTCCCTTGCATTTTGCTGGTCCCTTGGCAAACTAATATTGACTTAAATGCATGTTTTAGCCTCCCAAAATGCCTGGAGAAAACTGTCTAAATTTCCTTTTGTATACTTACATGACTTTTTCTGTGGTGTTTTGATTTTTTTTAGCCATGGGGGAGCAACTGCTAAAATCTCAGTCTGCAGACACCTTTGTAAACATGGAAATGGACACAGGGGTTTCAAACACACCTCGCAGTCGCAGCTGGCTTGGTACTATTAGCTCCTCTCAGAGAGAGATTGATACTGTTTCATCCCATGGACCACATATGCAAGATGCATTCCTTTCTCCTTTGTTAAGTAAAGGTTAGTCACTCTTCCTTCTCTACTCATTGGAAAAATGGCCTGGAAGTGTGTGCTTTTATACTTGTGTGTCACTGCTGTATTGTCGCTTCTCAATTGCTGATAAGGCAAATACAGAAAATAAAAGAGAAAGGGCTTACTGAAAAGTGAACTGACATTTTTACACCAGAACTATAATGCCCATGTCATACATCTCTTAAGTACTTAAAGCTGAACATGAAATAGATACTTGCTGAAGTTTCTGTCTGTGGTGATAACTTAAAGGTCAGTATTTTTTCAGTCTGGCTAGGAAGAGTGTCCTAAGTTGTGGGTTTTTTTTTTTTTTTGTTATCTTTTGCATGGATCAGCCTCTTGCAGGGGTTGTAACAGGTCTAATTGCTTGAACTTTGTGCTTTTGGCTTTCTTTAGAATATTAGATACATTACTTATTGAGGAAGTTAAAGAAATTAGAGACCCATATAGTTGTATTTTTTCCCTGTGGCTTTATTTAAATAGCTTTTAAAAAGCTGCAGTGTATGATCAGCTTATTAAAATACAAATTTTACTTTTTATGTATTTTTTCTGAATACAGAGATGAGAAAAGTTTGTTAGACCATTCATATGCTTTTTTAAATTTATTTTTATTTTAAAAATTTTTGCTCTTATCCTTGAGCATAAAGCAACGTTTTTTACAGTATCTAAGTTGTGATTACCACTTAGGGCAAAAATCGGAGTACCTAGTGTAAATTACAATCTCTCCAAGACTGTAGAGCCTCCCGTGAGATTTAGAGCATTTGGAAATCCTCTCAGTCTGTTTGGGCACTGTCTCATTTTATTTTCACTCCTGATTCTCTTGGTTTTTAATTCTGGAAACTGCAAGAATGCATTAGGTTTAAGTAATTTTGTTGCAGAACTCTTAGGAAAGCACAACTTAAATGGGGAAAATGAGTATCTCTTTTCATTGCACTAATTTTAATGCCCTCTGCCACTACTTCTCTTTCTGGGGAGAGAAACTTCTCTTTCTTGGGGTTTTTTTCTGAGCTGGATAAAACCTTTGAGTTCAATGGACTGTGGTATGCATTTGGGAGCAGTTTATTTCTTAAGGAACTAAATTAATAATCTATAAACATTGCTAACAACAATTTCACAAATTACCAATCCAGCATTGATATTCATGGGCAAGAAGATAATCAAGTAACTTTTTCACTTCTTAAACATTTTCCAAGGAAAGATCCAGCTGCTTTAATATGGAATTATTCTCAAGGGTAGGTGTTTCCATGATTCATCACTGCAATGGTTTTAGCTTTACTGTTACTGTTCCTTTGAAAATTCTGTTACCGCATATGCTCTTCATGTTTTACTACAAACACTTTCTATAATTTGTGCATGTATATATTACAAAACATTCAAAATCTTTGTGGTTCCATGTGAAGGAAAGAATTTGATATTGAAACTTCATGTTAACAAAATTCAAGGTTAAGAAAGCAGTATTTTAAACAGAGTGTAACCCTTCCTAGACTTAATTCTAGGACTATAGTATGCAAGTTGTTGTCTCTGCTTTTATGACGATTGCCAACACATATCTAGGATCCCTTACTGATCCTCCTGGATTACTTTTATGGGATAGAAAAGCTATTGATTCCTGCAACGATAGTTCTACCATACAGCATGACAAGAAGAATGCTGAAGCAGGATGGACGATATGCCTGAAGTAACCGTGATACCCTATAAAGCATTACTGTTTGTCAGTTTTTACAGGAAGTAGTTCAGAAATTCTGAGTCTTACTAAAGTAAGTAGTTTCTTTTTTCCCTTATGTTTCTGAGTGTCTTTGATAGGTGATGAATGCAGCATTGGTTCAGCAACAGACCTGACTGAAACAAGTTCTATGGTGGATGGTGACTGGACCATGGTGGATGAAAACTTCTCCAGTCTGAGTTTAACTCAGTCAGAGCTTGAGCAGCTCTCTCTAGAACTGGCCAGTAAAGGGCCACACAAGTCACAGGTGCAGCTGCGGTAAGTAATGACATGTGTCATTACCTTTGAGATTGAGAATTGCTGTCATGCATCATTAGAAGAAAGAAATAATCTACAGAATCACACTGTGATTTTTGTTTTAGAAGTAGAAAAATAGACTGTTTTTTTCCATTCAGGTACTTGCTACATATCTTCATGGAAGCAGGATGTCTGGATTGGTGTGTTGTCATAGGCCTTATTCTCAGAGAATCTTCAGTTATCAACCAGGTTTTCAGTGTCATGCAGTCCTCTGATATTGATGGAGAAATCTGCCAGAATATCAGGACTGGCCTAGATGCTGTCGACAAATGGGCTTCTACAGATTGGTAAGTATTACCTTCCACCTTYATATTCGTTCTGATTGTAGTTTCTTACCTAAAAAGTAACTTTGAGTTATCTTAATCCTACCTGAAACCTCACTTCAGAGAGTTGTAATCGAACTGGAAAAGAAGAACAAAAGACAAACCACAACAAACAAAACCCAAAGCAACCAACTTTACAATTTTTATTGTTTGATTAGGGTTGCCTTTCTCTCTTTATTTAGATACATTTCTGCATTTTAGGTACATGACAGAAGTACTAATTTTAATTCATTCATGGTGTTCTCTCCCATTCTCTTCCTAGCCCTGGGTACAAGCCATTTCTAAATATCATCAAACCACAGATCCAGAAACTAAATGAAATAGTGGAAGAGCAAGTACAACCTGAAGCGTTTCAGCCAGTGAATCCATCTAAGGTTCCTGAACAAGCAAACCCAAGAGCTGAGGAAAGCAGGACGTCATCCAGCCATGGCACTAATCCTCAGAGTGATGCTGGCAGCAACAATGCAAGCAGACATGAAGAGGACAAGGCTAAGACAGAGGATGAGGACTCATTCCAGGAAGGCAGTTATGACTGTGTTGTGTCTTAAATGGAAGGTGAACTTCCCAAGCATCAGGTGTGAAAGGAAGCAAACCAGCTCTTAGATATGCTTCCGTGTTTTGCATTTGTACTCTTTTTAATTTTGTTTGTTTGTTTGTTTTGGTTTTTTAATATTTCAATCTTTTAAATTTTTAGTGGGGATAACTAAACATCAGTTTCATCTAATAATTTCAAAAGGAGGTAAGATTCTTTTTTGATGTAGTCATCAGACTGCAGCTTTACATTTTGATATTTTAAATAGTATTGGAGAGACAGTGAACACACATAGAGACAGATTCAGTCAACGTTCATCAGTACCTTTACATCACCAACACGTTCCGAAGAAACTACTTATACCTTGCTTGAGTTCAAAAGGCGAAGAGGGGATTATATATAAAAACTGTTTCTTTGCAGCTTGCCTGCCTAATAAGTGTCTGATCAATGCAGTTCAGATTGGTTTGATACCGATATTTTGTATTAAAGGACTATAAAATATATTGTATGTTTTTGTGAATAATCTTGTACAAATACTCAAGACTGTACCATATTTGGAGGTACCTATATGTATTTGCATGTTTCTAGATGACTAGTAAAGTTAAAGCAGAGTTGCACTTCTTTCTGGCATACTTTACTGACCTAACATTGACACAAGGTGGCTTTCCTGTTTTTTACTGCCACTTAACAGATCTCGTAGTTGGGTTAAGGGACTGCTGAAGGTTATTTATTTCACTGTAAATTCTTTTCTGAAAAATGGATTTTTAAAATGTAAATAATCATCATATACTCTTGCTATGGAAAACTAGTTTAACAGCTCATACTTAAACATTTTTCAAACATTTTATAATACACATACTTCTAACTAAGACATATTTAACTTTCATACAATGTTATGGAAAGCTGGCTGCAGAAGTCTGTTGCTTTGAGGTACTTATTTTTTCTAGCTGCTGTCCCTATGTAATAACTACCTGTAACAGTATTAATTTAGATATTAGCTTGTTTGTACTGTGCAATCTGAACAAAAATGCAACATTACTCATTTTATACACAATAAACTAGTTTATTTTTTATAACATCACTTGATTACTGACATGGACCAAACTAGTCATCGTAAGGTAGTTACAGCATCTGTTGCTTTTTTAGTGTAGTTACTAAATGCACATCCATTTAAACTCTGAAAATTAAGACTATACACAATTAAGTTTTAAATAAATTGTGGTTTCATCATTCTTATTTCCATTGTAGATAAGATCAAGTGCTTTAAAATGTACAAATATTAAACTGTTGCTTTAGAAGGCTTTACTAAGCCAATACAACCAGTACCAGTAGAAGTGCAATAATTGTGAGTATTACTTGGAAAGCTGGAGCTATTAAATGAATGCAACTTGAACTTCATTTTAAGAGTTGAAGCTGATACTAAAATTGGAGGAAAGAAACCCAGTCTGAGTCCCAGCATTAAGCTTATTCTGCATTGTAGCTACTGGTTACAGATAATGTCTATCATACCTACAAGCCTGTTGTGACCTGACGTCAAAATTCATTATTGTTTTAAGGGGATAATACTTAAAGCTTTTTTTATAATAAAGAAACCTGCTTAATCTATGTTAAAATAAATAAAAACTGTGCTTCAAGTTAAAATTTTTCTGTGGTTCTGTGGTAATGATGTAAGCCCATCCTGGTCAGCTTTTTGCTGTTCAGGTTTTGGATATGTGCAAGTAAAACCATACGTTAACTGATATATTAACATTCATAATATCTTACTACTGTGCTACTGTTTAGCAGGTGAATCTTTTTAGTTGTGGAATTTTAGAAGTTTGTACTTGTTTAGTAGTAATTATCTCTATGCAAATCTTACGTGCTAATTTTGTATTTTAATTTCACTGCTGTTATACTTGTAATTAAAAGACAAATGTACTCAACTTTATTTGACATTACTCCTGTGAGAAAGAACTATTTCTGACTTCAAGCCATTCAGGTAGGCCATCTTAGAGAGACAAAGCTCTTAAAGAAACCACCTGATGAAGATCATTTTTTATACTCCTAGGGCTTGTTTTTTACCGAATGAAGGAATCACACCTTTACCTTATTAATGCATCCTTGAAGTTACATCCACCTGCTGCTGTGAAGAGGAGTACTGGGTGTAGGTGGCAAGTGTGTGATAGCAAAAGGGGACTGTGTCACACAGCCAGTTCCAGCAGTCCTGCCTATCTGCCAAGATGGTGCCCTTCTCCCTGTAAAGTATTTACAAAGGGTAAAAAATGCTGTGGGAGGTAAGTGAACAGTCCTGCAGGCACCCCAGACCCATGAAGAAGCAGGAGGGATTCCAGGCAATGGAGCAGTGATGCCCTACACTCTGTGGATCTGTACAAGTAAACACATGCATTAAATGATACACTGACAGTCTTGCAGTTAGCATCTTACTGCTGTGGTACTACTCAGCAGCTCAATGCTTTTACATGATGGGGAAGCAAAGCAGGCTGCAGCCCATAGTGTAGCACACTGGAGCATGTACCACAGTGCAGTGGCAACCTTGGAGCACCCACACTAAGCAGGTGCATAAATTAGCCCTGAAGGAACCTGCAGCCAGAAGAGCCCACACAAGAGAAGGTTTCTGGCAGTAACTGTGGCTCAAGGGGGACTCACGCTGGAACAGTCTCTTCCTGAAGGACTGCCCCAGCAACATCAGGATCCACTTTGAAGTAGTTTATGAGAAACTGTATCCCATTGTTACCAACCGACCCTGAGTATCCCTAGTCCTTCTGTACCACAGTGGGAGAGAAGGCAGAAGATAAACTTGGATCTGGGAAACAAGGGGAAGTTGGGAGAAAATGTTTTTATTGTTGCTGTCATACTTCAATTTTAATTGGTAATAAATTAAATTTATTTTCCCAAGGCCAGTTTGTTTGTTTCACCTGTTCCCAGAACCACGGGGTTCAACCCTGTCTCAACCCATCAATTTTCTCATTTACTTTCTCCTCCTGGGCTGCTCAAGGAAGGGTGTCAGAGAGCAGTTTGATGGGTACCCAGCAGCCAGTCACAAAACCTAATCCATCACGAAAGCTTTATTAATCTACAAATCTGCACTATTAAACTAAACTAGCAAAAATGGGCCCCTTAACCAATTGAGGATCGACATCTTACGGAATTCCAACATGCTGGCACTCTTCTTTTAATGGAAATCTAACACGTTGACCCTCTTCTCACTTTGTGTATCTATCTCACATAAAACTGGCTGATGTCAGATTTCCTCCTTCATAAAAATGTATACCACAATCAAGTTTTCTTGATGTTTCTCACCTCATGCAAAACCCCAGAAACCCCAGGAATGCCTCAGAAAAACGGCAACAATGCTGTCTGTTCCTTGCTATCAATTTAATACATCCCTTTACACTGTGTATACTTCCAGAACTGCTTTAATCAAGTTGCATTTCTGAAGAAAATTTTTCACAACCACTTCTGTCAACCCAAATAAGCTAGTTTTTCCTCTGTGTTTTAGTCCAAAGAAACCATTTCAAATGGCTTCAGAGCTGAAGTCTGTGAGCTACAGGTTAGAGACACATTGTTAAGTAAGAAGAAATACCTGAATTGATAATCTAGCCAGAACCTGTACAAAGGAGGTCCTTTCCATTATACACTGAGGGGAGAAATTGTCTATGGCACTAATGATACTATAAAAGATGGGTAACTTGCTGAGGGTGGTAAAGTGGCTGCAGCTGAAGGAATGAGAGCCCCCAAGTAAGGGGGAGATAAAGGCTACAGACACAATATATTGCCTCAGCTTAGTGTCCTTAGTTCTTTCAGTGCTGAACACTGTCTAGTAGGCAGTGACAGCAACGTGAACAGAGGGTGAGTGGCATAAGTCATACCCGTGTTTAAGCACAGAAAAGAGATACAAACTTGTTGAGTGTTCTGTTTATTACGTGGCCTCTGAAATAGGAAACTCCTTGGGCCTGCTTATTGAGAGAGCACTGAGAGAAGAATTTACAAGTCCACAGCTGGAGCCTGAAGCTAGCTACACAGCAGATACAAGACACCTAACTACTCTTTCCTTACTTTGAATTTTCAAACTACTGTTTCCTATCCAAAAAACTTCAACCCCACAAAAAAAAAACCAAATAATACAAAAAAAAAACCCCTGAAAACTAAACAAACAAAAAAAAACCTCAAACCACCAAACAAAACAAACCACTACCCTGTTCTCTGAAAAAAACACCCCAAAATAAACTCTGCATGGGCAGYTGTCGAAAAGTTACTTAAATTCACCTGTATACTCACTGGCTTTGAAGGTTCTATTTGTTCGTCTCAGAACAGATTGAAAGAACTGTTCCTTTCTAGATGAATTACTGCTAGTTTCAAAAACTGATTCTTTCAGCTTTCTGAAATTGAATTTTTTTAAAAAAATGTTTGCTAAGGGCCAGTGATGCTTGACTTCTTGCTTGAAATAAAGACAGCAGCATCTCAATCTCCCTGAACTGGCTTGTTTTTCCTGTACTTAGCATGTTCTCAAGCTGCACCCACAGCTTTGACAGAACCCTGAGGTGTTGCAGCCCAACAGAACCTCCTCTGCAGTGAACAGGTCAGCCTGGCTAATTTCTAGCATCAATTTATCCTCCAAGACTTTCATGAAGGTTGAGAATGCATGTTCTGTCTTCACAATGGAAGCCACAGTTACATAAATTGACACTAAGGACAGAATGTAGTTTAACCCATCTTGCATGTCTTCTCACCATTCTCCACCGAGACCACATACAAAGTTCTAAGATGGGTCATCCTGCAGACCCCTTCCAGATAATTATCAAGTCAGATTAGGTTTAGCCCTCAAGGGAGAAGAGTACGGAACATGTCCCACATGCTACAACTAGCTCTGTACACACTTGTTAGATCTTGTCTATTTGATCAGTGTTTTTCCAGGAGGATTGCAAGCCAACCTGGATTGGCAGACATTGAAGACAGGTCTTACTAAAACAGAACATCCCCACTCAGCTCAACAGCTTGCCAGTCAGCATATGATAGCTGAAATTTTCCTGTTCATTGCACCTATCCCAACACTTACTTTGCCTGTCAAGTAGAGTATGCATTTGAAGAATCTTCTAGGTATGGTGACACACTTTAATGATGTACTAGATTGTATAATCACACCATGTAGATGACTCCTTTGCTTTAATTTATAAAGTGCTTATTTCAGAAAGCTTCAGGAATATGTATTTTAATAGCGAACACAGTAGGTTCCCAAAGCCATCAAAACTAGGGAATAATGGAAGAGGAAGGCAATTTAGAAAATTATGTGGACGAAAATTGTTTCAGATGAACATAGGGTAATTCTAATCAACTCTTTACTACCTTCCACTAAGAATAAGTAATTTTTCTGCTCTATGCCCTTCTATCCTTAAAGTTACCAGCTTTTTGTCTGTGGGCAACCATAAATCTGGTCTCAACCATCAATTTTGCAAAGAATAATTGGCTTGACTAACAGTGACTCCTCTGCATCACATATTATTTCAGAAACCACCTTCCTCTCCAGGGAACCAGCCAGGGCTCCCATTTTAACTTTTCTCAACTCAAATGACTTTATGTCCTTTGGCCACGCTTATGTTCCACACAGCTCTAACACCAGCTGTCTAACCCAGGACCTCTTAGCAGTATTTCTACCCCAAGTTCAAATAAAACATTACTGCAATGAATAAAAACAACTCAAATATGCCTTTAATCACACTAAAAATCAAGTGTTACCAATCAAGTTTTGCTTTTATTTACAAAGACAGAAATTTGAAACAAACCAGACATACCTCATAGTTAAATTATTTAATAAAGATTAAATCCTGAGACAGCAGAAGTTATTGCTTCACTGAAGTTTCAGAAATTGCCAACAGGCATTTTTGTATTTTTGGCTCCCAGTATGAATTCTTCACACAGCACTTTCAAAGCTTTAAATCAGAGGCAAAATACAAAAATCAAAACTGAGGAAGATGGTAAAATATCAGTGCACGTTTAGTTCACTAGCTGCACATCAGCTAGAGTACAGTACAAGACATTGGCTGAGATTCAAGACACAGGAGTTTTAGTTCATAACTGATTTTCAAATCACCAATAGCACTTCTAAGTAATACAGAGATTATCGTTCCAAATCAGATACAATCAAGTGAGTAATGATTAATGCACATTAATGTACAAACCCATTGGTTTTAAGATTCTGATGGCCAGTTCATTATTACAATAATTAAACCTCTGACCCTAGTCCATGTGTGAGCTGACAATCTTTGTGAATGGCCCTTGCAACAAACGACACTGGTTCTTTCCACTGTTACACACAATTACAGAACAATCTGAAGGAAAAACACCTGACTGGAGAGTTGCTATCCATCACAGCTCACACAAATTAACTGGCGTGTAATTTTCTTCCATGTGCTCTGCAAACTTACCAGTACCAGCATGTTTCTACTCAAAATGATGACATCTGCACAAAATCTGCTTTGCATGACATTAGGCAATACTCATGAAAATAAAAAAAATACTAAAATTTGCAGTGTGGTATTGATACAGCCAAATGTTTCATGTATAATTTGAAAAAAGCATGAAGAAGTTTCTTCAGATACACTGGGTTCTTTGAATTTAAGAGATTACCCTTAAATATTAACCACTGCACCAAAAATCCCCAAAAACCTGGTAAGTATAAAAAATGGTCAGTAGCTTCTGATTTTAAAGCCTATCAAATTAGAATTGGAAGATACTCTAAAACACAGTCATATAAAATCCATTCTATGAAAATAATGTAAGAGCAATCCAGAGATATTAGACATCTTTTTAAGATTACTCTTTTAGGCATTTTTCCTTATGGAAAGCAAACCTTATTTTAAGAAATAGTACATGTATTAGCAAGTGCAATACTGTCACATTACCAAAAGTCTCTCCAGAGGAGATACCAAAATTAGCCAATTCTAACAAATTGGAAGATAACTTAAAATTTAGAATAGATTAWTTGTAAGACATCAACATAAAGGAGTGGGGACTCACATGCTCATGTGCTGATACTGAAAAATCCCAAATGGAACAAAAACACAAGATGGCAGTTAAGCAGAACTTTGCCACTCAGACTGTAACACCAACAGGAAAAGAGAGAGACAGGAAAAGCAGTAAAACTATGTTTTTTAGCAGAAACATACAATTTGAATAAACAATTATCACCTTCCATCAAAACATTGATTTTTCTGCATTATGCATGTGCCAAGGACTCAATGCAACCTACATCAGCACCACARCTTTCAGTGACTTCATCTGGTGACAAAAGTAATGCTTAGGACTTTGTCACCTCTGCCCTGCTCCCACAGGAACAAGTATCCTTTAGCTGAAGACTTGACTTTAATAGGACGGATAGGATTGGTAGATGATACTCCATCTGTGAAATATGGTTGTACATAGCATCAAAATAATTCCATTAAGCCCCTGTATTACAATTGCCACCATTTGCTATTACCTTGTCATATATATATTACCTCGTCAAGTGCAGTTTTCATTTTAAGAAACCCACTAGCCAAACTGCCACTTCAGTGGAAGAACCAGGGTGAACTGCATTCATGTTTACAGAAAAGTATCATTATATCCCCAAGAAAGTAGTAGTCTTTTAAATAGTCAAAGTGCCAAAGAAACACCATTTGCTAAAGTATATTAAATTCTTGTTGAAGTCTCTGGCATCTTGTTAGAAAGTGCTTGCCACAAGAGCATTCTGCATCAGAGATAACTCTATTAGCCTTGCAACATTACGGTCAAAATTAAAAGACAAAAAGATCGTAAGTACAGGACCAGCCAGAAGAAAACGTCCAGTTTGGAAGTCTCTCCAGTAAGGCATAGAGTTGAGGTGACTTTTGATCTTCCCCAAAAAAGTAATGTGCTGCTATGGCGAGGGAGACTATTCCATCAGAATGCTTTTCTGGGGCCTGAAAGTGAGAAAAGGACAACACAGTCTTTATGATTGTTCATGACTGTTCAGCATGAGATCAATTCAGATGCACTTTTCTACAGACAGTACCTACGAAACAAACTTCATCCTGCAGTTCTTTGTCCTGTAAGTTAAAATACTTCTTATCTTCAACATTATCAGTCTGATTACATGACACAGTTCAATCTGAAATGAACTGGCAACTACACATTTACATCGCAGCGCCTCTGACGTGTTACATGGTGTCCACTTGGTCCAACTTCAGTGTTTGTATCTGTCTGCTTTGCTGACAAATCAAGATAGGGACTCCAACACAGTATTTATACTGATCCTTCTACTGCAAATCCTGAGGATATATAGACCTTTTTGCCTAGCTTTCCTCTATCAGTGTTGCAAGGCTTGTCACACTTGAGACTCCAGTCTGCCTTATCAAGTATGCTTTGAGGATTATTTGTGTTTAGACTGCCTGGTGCAGGAAGGAGTAAAGGACTTTCTGTACTTTCAAAGATACTTGTAATATTTACTCAAAGAATAAGACACTGTTAAACCTATAGTAAAAACATACAGATATGCAAGAAGTTATTCATTGGCAAATTAGAAGGGTGGGGATACAGATCATAAATCCCACTGAAACAGCAAGGCTGGAAGCCTATAATGTAAAAGAAAATTTAGAAAAGAAAGCTTTTACAACTGTCTTCAGCTTCAAGACAGGTAAATTTTCTACCACGGACTCTAATTTCCCAAGAACAAGAGAGGAGAAAGACAAAGACAACTATACATAATACTAAAAAATCTACTCTGAAATAAGAGTAGTAAAGATAAAACTTCAGGAACTGTGAGGCTAAGAATGCAGGAATCCAAACTTATGACCTAAGACTATGGAGACATGAAAAGTATTTTTCCCTTGGCTCTTTGTCAAGTTGGTAGACTACTCATAGAAAATACATGGGAGCGGCTCTATAAAACTGGCAAGTTAAAAGAGGGACACTGAATTAAGATCTATCGAAAAAACCCAAAGCTTTAGGAAGTTACTATGACATTTTTCACATAGGAATGCAGCCATGGTGGGAAGAGGGCAGGGCAAGGCATCAGCAGGTTTCCAGCGGYGCCACACTCACCATCAGTTCTACCCAGAAGTGCCAGGGCACGGCGCGCAGCCCGCGGGAATAGAACACGAAGTAATCTCCCCCCAGGCTGGTGACCGGCACTCCGTCCCCGAGAGACCAGCGGGACAGCGTCACCCCCGCGTGGGGCCGYACATACAGTGACATGTGGCTTGGGCCTGCAAGGACAGAGATGTGTCACAGGTATCAACAGGCAGAGGCACAAGAACCCTCTGTTTTCCCACACAATGGCATGTCATCTGTGTATTAGTCTTCATGGTTCCCAAGCCATGACAGAAATGTCTTCTCTACAGAAGATGGTTCAACTTTTTCTAAGAATCGGGATAAGTGAGATGATGATGTGACAGAGGAACACAGGACCTTTTATAACAGAAATATAATAATAGTCCTAAACATAGTAATACATAAAATGCCATAAGGTAGACTTTTAGAAAGGACCTGCTGTAAAACAGTCAAGACTTACTCAAGACAGATGAGATTATAAATCCCAGAAATAAGAACTGCAGAACACCACACACAGCTTCTATTCAGCTACAAAATTGAATTAATTTATGCTAATCTCACAAAGCTAACTATCTTGGGAACAGCGCTAGAACCTGCAGTACTGGAACCAAAGCCTGATTTTTTATGGGCATAAAAACAAACACAAATCATAAACCAGAAGCTTCAGTCACTTACCAGATACTTCAAAGCTTAACCTCACAGAGTTCCAGGGCATCAGCTCCTTTGTCAGAAGTTTAAACTGAATGGGACTTCTTGGCAAAATTTCTGGAGCAGGAAGATACCAGTTTTTCCTGTACAGAAAAAGAAGTTTCAAGTTACTCTCAATGCAACACCCTGAGGTACTAAACATCAGAAGACAGGAAGTTTCTCTATAGTGCAATTGATTGTACTGCCACTACACAAAATATTCAAAATGTGTTGATTCTGTCCAAAAATCAGCTTGCGGCTAGACAATTATTTAGAGGGTGTATTAAGAGCAAAAGTCACCAGTATATTCATTCACTACCTTCATCTGTCCTAATTTACAAAAAAGATGACTGAGAATATTTGCACCTTCAAATACTTTTTGCACCTTCAAATATTTAGAATCTTTTACAAGATTCTTGAGGTGTGAGAAATAGCCAGAGCAGCTTGTTTTTACTGTGGAGAACCTGCTACTCTAGACATCCTCTGCTGTCAGCTGAGGTGAAGGAGGGAAGAAGGAAGATGGATACATCCTCCTACTCTGAGCCCTTTAGAAGGCCCCACTTCACCTTTTTCTCCACTGGTGCTTACGTGACTTTTTYCACACATCAACTCCTACAGCTCTGGCAGCAAACCCGTATTATCTCTTGCAGAGACTCCCTGCAAGATCTAGGCAGAAGTTTGTCTTCTGAAGAGGAGGAGGATTATCTACTTTTTGACCAAGATTAGCCTTAGTTTTTTTTCCCTTACGTAAGTGAAATTGCATTAACGACCACTGTAGTTTGCAGTAAAGTGCTCAAGTGAAGCAGAGTTCACACCAACCGGAACATGAAATGCACTGGCAGAATCCAAGGAAGGCCACAGAAGGGAGCTTGCTCCTCGCATACAGTTCTAATGGTGTCATTGATTTCAGGTACATGGGGAGTTATGTGAGATATTCCATTATAATCAAACCCATTGATCCATATACCAGAGTCACTTTTAACTACATTTCCATCTAGATCATGGAACCTTCTGCTCGTGTGCTAGAAGAAAAAAAAAACAACAAACATAGAAAGATGATGGAGCCTCTGGAGACTGCAAGAGTCCAGAGTGATTCTAAAATATCCACTGTGTGAATCTTTAAGGTCTACTGCATTTTCAGTATGCAGTGAACACATATCTCAGTATTTAAGAATATAAATGCAAGAATTACCCAGATAAGAAATATATAATAAAAACAAATTCAGAAGACGACTCTGATTGCTTTAGGCCACCTCAAACCACATTTAATTTTTAAATTACCCTTGCTTACAAGATTCTCCTACTTAAAGCCCCCTAAAACACCCTGCTCTTCTGACACAGATGAGCTGAACACTGAGACTGAACAATGGAAACATCAGCAGTTCCTTCAAATCCAGAAAAAATAATCTCCTTCGGGGAGGGAGGAGATGGGGGAATTAAGCCTTGAAAAAAAACACTCTTGCAACTAAAAAAGGCAATAGGACATGCAAAGATTTTCTTACCTGGAGAAAGACTCGCTTAGGTTTTGGATTAGCTGCATCAGAACTGTAAGGAAAGAAGATTCCACTACAAACAAGAATCAGAGTGACTACAAACACAGTAGTTAAAGTTACTAGCGTCGTTTTGGTACTTTTGACAAGGTAAATGAAGTTAATCTAGAGAATAAAAAAACAGTCCAGTTATAAAACGGCAACACTTAAGATATAAGGCACTATTCTAAAATTCAGTTATGGAATCAAAAGTACATTAAAAAGACATAACTACAAGTATCACTTGAAACAAGACACTTCTCTTTAATCTCAGTATTTAAAGCTGAGATTTTTTAAACTGATTTAATTTATAAAAAAGGAATAAAGTGAGTACTTCCTCGAGCTTTGAAAACTTTCATGTTTTTTAAAACATCTTCCAGCAAAAAAGAAATAAAAACTTTCCAGGTTCTAAGGCAGCAGAAAAAAATGGAAATCTGGGTGTATTCCTTTTGAAGTTTGTACATGTATTGTTCAGTCATGTATTACACCAAAAATGAAGCCCTGCTGAAAATCCAGCATTACATTTTGTATTTTACACCAGTCTTAACTACATTATCATAGAGCAATATAATCCCTGCTTCGATGACCTTTCTTTGACTAACACAAAATATGGAATCTTTGACACATTTCCTCGAACTTTCCTGTAACATTTAAGATATTATCAAATTATCATTAACTTCTAATATTAATTTTTAAAACCTTCTTATTCTAAACTCTAGAGACAGTTTAAGAGTTTCAAACAACATTTACAAATTCTACTTACAAAATAGGAAGACAGGATCATAGTGAAGATCACAATAAATCCTGCCAACACCATATCTGGTGGGATTTCTGAACCACTTCGTCCCATGACAGGTGTAAACATTTCGAATACAGTCCAACTAAGATATAGCATATACAGATAAGGAACAAACATCCCCAGCATGTACAACACAATAAACTTTATTGTAGCACCTGTGAGGAACAGAAAAAAAAAATGACAAAAGAAGTAAAAGCTTAGAAGGACATAAATACACAACTTTACTGATATATCCACAATACTGCTGCAAGACCCAATACACTGGTCCTCATCCCTGACATGGATATGGAAAGATCTCACTTTGCATAGCCAATGCCAGTATAACTTCCAAAACCACTACAAAACTACTCTTGTATTACAAAAAGGTTTAAGCAGGTTTTCTGTCCAAACATTCTTTAAATACTACGGTATTTTTATGAACCTTTATTGTTCTTTTAGCCCAAGACACGTGATAGTTTTCAGTGTGGTTTTTTACAGCTCTTCACATTTTCAAACTGTCTTCAGGAACACTTTTCTCATTACACAAATGTGACTTAGTTAATTTAACTACTCAAATGCGATTTCTTTTGCTGAAATAAGAGTAGGGGTAGAAGTTCTGAAATACAACTTCGGCCCCTCAAAACTCATACCTTTTTGGCTGAATTCCTTGTGGATCATCAGCTTAGTGAGTAAAGGAAATGCAACCCATAATGTACAAATGAATGCTGAACAAAGCCCAATCTGAGTAATCACAGCCAATGCTATAGACCAGATCATCAGTGAGGCATCAAAGAAAACGTCTCCCAGGTACTGCTCAGTCATATTCTGTAATAAAAATAAAGAAATTACACTTAATTATTGTGCATATTCCATAAATGCCATCTCACAAGAAGACAGAAAAATCCATAYGCCTTGTATATAATTGTTTTCCTTGGGCAAAACAACTTTGACAAGCATCATCTCACCATTCTCTTACCATATCGAATTATTCATGACAGCATACTTTTTTATTAGTTTTTTACATCTGCTGACGTAAGCTGAAAGAGAGATTGCATGGACTGAGGCAGAAAGAGGAAGGGAATGTACAAATGACAGGACGGAAGTACACACAAGGCTAATGTTTCAGGCAAAGAGGGCCTTTAAAAAAAAAAAAAGAATAGCACAGCATATTATAAAATTACATCATATTTATCTGCGAAATACCGATGTCTATACCTCCTGAGAATGTAAACTTGTTTTTGAACTGCAGCTGTTAACAGATTTCTTACACAAGCACTGTTATTTATGCACAAATATTATACTAGTACCTTTATAGGTCATGCTACAAGCTGTCACTTCAGAGGTTTAATTATTAAAATATGCTGTTTATTTTCAATAAAAGACATCATGGGTGAGATAACACCAGGCAGTATTCCAGGGGGAAAAAAGGAAAAAAAAAGAAAAAAAATTTAGCCACCAAAAATGTGATTTGCTTTGGTTTTGTTTAAGTTACATTGGCAATGCTGTAGTGTTTGCAGTGCACAATTCCTAACTGCAAATCTTGCTGGTAGCAAGAAGGACTGCTTGGATGAACAATGTTATCAGAAAGCACCTACTTCAGTTTCGGGGTGAGAAGAAATAAAAACGAGGAGAGTGAAGAAACAAACAAGTTGCCAAACCTATTGCAAAACATAAAACTTATCAACTCACAGGTTGTTGCGCCATGAGCAGGCACTGCCTCGGACAGCCAAGAAAAAGACTGGCTTACAAAATTTTATGCAACTTTTAAGTAAAATGCAAGTTACAGAAGCAACATTAACTGTACAGCTTAGTGCAATTACTTCTGATTTTGAGATGATCAAGCTATCTAGTAGGCAGTAAGTAGACCAACAGCCTGGATTGTCTTAAAAGTAGTGGAAGTATCAGCTGGTGCATCAAAAAGACTGGAAAACAGTAACACTGTGACACTGTGTCTATTTTATAAATGGCTCATCTTTTCCACAACGGGACAACACCACATACATGTTTTTGGTAACATACCACTCCCCTCCCCCAAAAAATTTAAAATTTTGGTAACACTCCCCTCCCCCCAAAAAATTAAAAAAAAAAAAAAAACAACACTTCCAGAGAAAGACTTAATGGATCCACTCAACTTTTCAAACAATCAAATGTTACTAAGTTCTTAAAACTTCCTCAAACATTTGGATGAAACTGGATTTGGCTGACAGCTAAGGCTTCCTAAATTTCCTTGTCCAAAACCCATACAAATGGCAGAGAAGTTAAGTAACAGCAAGTTGAATGACTAAATATCACTGCACCTAAAATCTCAACCTGGCAGGCCTGAGTAGTCAGTTTTTGCTCTGAAAAAGTCATCTATCAGATACTCAAGACTATTTGTATTTAACACAAAACCACATGGGATTGCTATCATCTATAATTATGAAATTATTATACAAGTTAAATTGCATTGGTTAGTCTGTAAAAAAGAATCCTAAGCAAAACAGATAGACAGACAGTAATCATGACAAATCACAGGAATGGAAAAGTAACACACACCAAATTGTCACTGAGCTTTGTAGGGGGCCAGATGACTTTTACCTATTGCACAGAACACAGACAACCAAGAGCTTTGTTCCATCCCCAGCTGTGGTCAAAACAACTATAAATCAGAATAATAACATAATTGTTTAGGTTGGAAAGTATCTTTGAGATCTTGCGAGTCCAACCTAAGCCTGGCACGGCCAAGGCCACTGGCAATCCATGCAGCTAATTGCAACATCTAGACATTTTCTAAATACCTCCAGGGATGGTGACCCAATCCTTCCCTGGCAAGTCTGCTTCCGAGCTTGATAATCCTTCCCATAAAGAAATTTCTTCTAATACCCAGCCTGAACCTTCCCTGGCATAATGTGAGGCCATTTCCTCTCATCCTGTCACTGGCTGCCTAGTAGAAGAGACTGAGCCGCACCAGGCTGCACCTTCCTTTCAGGCAGTTGTAGAGAATGAAAATGTCTGCCCCGTTTAGCCTGTTCTCCAAGCTAAATAATGCCAGCTCCTTCAGCTGCTCCTCAAAGCATTTGTGCTCCAGACCTTCCCCAGCTCTGTTGCCCTTCTCCAAACTCGCTCCAGCACCCCAAAGTCCTTCTTGGAGTGACAGCCCCAGAACAGAACACAGGGTTTGAGGTGTGGCCTCACCAGTGCCCAGTACAGGGGGACAATCCCTGCCCTGGCCCTGCTGGCCACACYRTTGCTRATCCAGGCCAGGATGCCATTGGCCTTCTTGGCCACCTGGGCACACCCTGGCTCATGTTCMGCCGCTGTCACCAGCACCCCCAGGTCCTTTTCCTGTGGGCAGCTTTCCAGCCACTCTGCCCCAGCCTGTGGCACTGCCTGGGGTTGTTGTGACCCCAAGCCACAAAGGCTCCCGCTTTTTACTGATGCAGCTCCCAAAGGTCAATGCTGCCATAAATCACGTCGCTCCTACATCCCTGATTTAGCAGAACAATCCATATGTTTAGATGAACCAATTTCACGGCAACATTTTAAATACTAGAAACTTTCTGAATTTTTTAATCATCTCAAAAGGTAAGTGTACAGATTAAACACCTCATTGCCTTTCAACAATAACAACAAAGTCTTGCCTACCTTGTAGAAGAACTTCTTGGCTAGCATGTGCACAAGAATGAGATTGGCTGCAGCTGCAGTGCCATAGAGAGACACAGAGACATAGAAATGGGTGTACCAAGAAAGAGCCCGTCCAATGACAGAGACAAACGCTGCCACCATAAGGACTGCCACCAGTGTGCACACCCAGCTCGTCAGGGTTAAGCCAAATGCCGTAAATAACTTCTTCAGGTTATGAACAGCTATGAAGAATAAAATAGAAGTTTCATTCAATACTTGTGTATTCCGCTGCAGACTATCAAAATATTAACTACCCCATAGTATAACTGCTTAATGACCAAAATAAAGGGGTTCCCTAGGAAGATGTCTTAACAGCATGGTTTACATCACTTCACCTATTTCTTCGCATGTCTGTTTGCAGACTTCCCTGCTGCAAGATTTATCCCAGAATAGAGGTGTATTTTGCACATTACAGCTTTCCTGATAGCAGAAATTTTACTAGGGAACTGGTGGAGCCATGGTTTCATTTTTAAGTATACAAAGCCCCAGGCCATTCTCTCCCACCAACCCCCCCCCAAAAAAAAACAAACCCCACCATCAACAAAAGAATTGTTTTTCTTGTAACTTCCTTACTCAAAATGTTTTCTGGATTTTGAGGAGGAGATGGGTACCTTGTCTTAAGCAGGTTTTTTATATAAAAGGCATAACTACATACTCTAAAAAGGTCTAAAGAAGATTTAAGTTGGTTTACACTCTTTATTAAACTTTGTTCTCATTTTCCACATTTGTTGTTTTCTTACTTGTTCCTGTCTATACACAGGTTTTAAAGAAAATGCTTCTGACCAAATATATGAACTACAAAATAAAAAAATATATAGATACTACACCATTTTTTTCAGTTTCCGGATCTTTACAAAATTTAATTTTAATCTTCATTAAATAGTAGGAGACAAAATCATGTTTCATACATGCTAGACATCTAGGCCCATTGTATTCTTTCACAGTAATAAATATTCACACATGAAAGATTTAAACACAAAGGAACTCCTATGGCATGCTGCACACCTAAAGTTCATTAAAGTTTAACTAGAAAGATGCCATAATGGCCTGAGCATCTTTTCACCTACACTTTTTCATTTAGTAAATGCTATTTATTAAAGAGTACAGTANAAAAAAAAAAAAAAAAAAAAAAAAAAAAACACAAAACCACAAAAAACAACCTAGACTTACCTCTGGGTTTTGGCTGTAATACTTTTTTGCTTAAATAAAAAACCGCAATTGCTGCTGTAATATAGTTCATAATTGTGCCAACTCGAGCGGGATAAGCCAGGACAAATAAACCAAGTATATCAAAGAAAACAACATTTCCATGTCGATACTCAAAAGATTTAGCCAACTTTTCTGATGTTGCTAGATATTTTAGGACAGCTAGAATATTGTCACCTATTAAAACAGCAGATACACAATATAGTTATATCAAGGTTGATAAATTACCACACAGTATTTTTTTAATATTATCATTCTGAAAAATTGCATAAAAGTACCCTCAAACAAAGTACCGTCAAACAAAGATATGAATATACAGATGATTATTTCAAACTGGTTTTTGGTGGTACACAAAGAATAGTACTTTCATGAGTTAATCTATCCAGCGGTCAAAATAAGTATACTTGGGATGCCTCATGTACTTAAACACCATGCCAATGAAAGGAACAGTCAGGCTTTCAGCCCATAAGCTCCTCTTCATTTCTGATATTTAGCACTGGACTAACCATAGAAGAGTTTATAATTTCCTAATCTTCCGCCTCTTCTCCTCACCACTAAGTGACCTATCCTGGTTTCAATGACTGCGAATTACCTGCCTTTCTTTCCCTACATCACTGTAAGACAACGCCACTATTTTCTTCTGCAGCCTACAGGCACAAGTCACCTCTTCCTGTCCCACAATACAGCCAAAACACAGGTAACCAAATGAGAACAGTCATTCTCAAATTTCATTTTACTTTTACTTGACCATCAGAAGTGCTTACAGGCTGTAAAGTTTGTCATTTTTTTCTTTTTTTAATTTGTAACATGTTTAGCAGGACAAGTTCCACCTAAAACCATCATGATCACTAAAATCATCTCATCAATAGGAATTTACAAGTGTTGCTTTCTGCCCCACAGCCAAATTGGTGCAAGGAAGTTTTTAAAACCCTTATTCTTGCTGCTCATCGAAGCCGGCTTCTATATAAGCTTAAAGAGGGAATGGTCAATATCCTGGATGCATTTAGGATTATGTTAGTTTTTCCTGGTCTCTGTAATTTTCTTTACTGCAACCTGTCAAATAGTCTGCTATGAGCACAACCTCTTGCAGAAAATAAATCCTGTATACCCAATCTGTGTGCTACCACGTAAGTTTCACTGAGATCCATTCCAATATAAAAACCTCTGCTGGCAGATCAGTCTCTATGCCACCAACTTATCCAAAAACTCCTGATGAGACACATTAACCAAAAAGGGAACTTAGTGAGATAAAAGGCGCACAGAATGTTGAGCAATCAGGTATCAATAGGTAGACAATAATTTTGATTTGAAAGCAACTGTGGAATCTAATTAATATCACTGGATGCTGATAAAGTTTATCTTCCCAAGCTGACCAAATATATTTCCTCTGTATTTAAAAGATATGCATTCAGTTAATTCTTTGTTCGTTAGAACATGACCAACATGTACTAAATRAGCAATTAGAATTATTCATTTCTCAGTCTTACAGCAAAATGAAAAAGCAGTTAAAATACTACTCTTTGGTAAATTACTGAATCCTTAAAATACCAACCTGCTCTCTGAATAGAATCTGTCAAAATTCTGTCTGATGTGTCGTATTTTGTGTGGTAAATATAGCCATTTTCAATGAATGCCAAATCTATTCCTAAAGAAAGAGAAGCAGCATTTTTTTGTATTTATGCAATCCTAAAACCCCAAAAGAAATACGTGAAAGCCTCCCTTTATACTTTACAGAAAAGGTTGCTCTACTTGTAACCCAGTCATTATCCTTAGAGATGAACAAAAGTCACCTTTGCAGAAGGAAGACTAACTTGGCTTCCAAATGTCTTTCAAAGAAAGCGGCTTTAAAACGTTTTAAAATATCTGTCCTTTCAAATGCACCAATTTCCATGAAATCTCTATGAATTCTCCAGTATGCAACTGGAGAAACACAAGAAAACACCAGATCATCTCAGCTTCAGAAAAGTTGTACAAGGTGCTTGCCAAACGTTTACTTGCAAAACTTCAATAAATGTTCACGCTGAAAAGTAATAAAAAGCAGCACTGTGACACTACAGAAATACCTTCCCAAAATACCAGGTGTGTTCTTTGTACTTCTAATATGTAAACAGTTTTTCAGAGAGCTGGTCTGAAAACCCTTCATTTCAATGTCCAAATAAGTTCAAACAAACAAAAGCATTTAAGAAAACCCAAAGGTATTCTGTTTTTTAGTTATACATTCAGTGTACCCCAATCACCTATTTAGCTATGTATACTAAAAGCTGCTAGCTGCAATCTGAAATCTCACAAGTTTTGACACACTATGTCTCAATTCTGAGGAACAAACTAGTTTTTAATTCAATTTTTTAAAAAAAAATTAAAAAAAAACAACCTAGAGGTCAGTGAGAAATCATTTATCTTTCAGGTATGATTCTGAACAAAGAACACATTGTACAAAATCAGCTTCTTTATTTTCAGGCCAGAAGCGTACCTTAGAACAGTACAGAATATGACAGGTCAACTGTTTTGTACTAACAATCACTTCAGAAATACCGCTTTCCTTGAGAGTGATTCCAGTGACAACCTGTCCTGGACAACAAGGACTTTACAGAAGTTTAGTCTTTTGAACTGTGTTCACAATGAGTGAACATTTCACAGTTCTTTCCCATTGTTCAGTCTCTGCAGAAAGGATAACAAACTGCAAACAGACTAGCAAAACTTCAAAACTTCCGTCCTGTGCTTGATTATGGAAAAAACCAACCAAACAAACCCCTCCAAAACCGCCCAAAACCAATCAAATCCCCCAAACAAAACAACACCAGTAAGAAAAAAGAAAAAAAAAACCCAATCCAAACAAAACCAATAAAAACAATAAAAAATCCCAAAACAACCAAAAAACCCCAAAACAACCACAAAATCCCAACAAAAAAGCCAAAGGGTCATGAAAATTCATTAATTACTATACCATTATCTCTAAAAGAAGTGATTTGGGTTTATCCATTAGAAAAAGATATTTCATTCCTGCATGCAGGTTATTAGTGTCATGTACCAAAAGGTTTCAAAACAGAATATTTAATAGAGTGCTGTTAATTACTGGAGCATTTTCCTGATTTTCAGGAAACTGTTCTGTTTCTGAAACCATGTAGTTTCTGGAAAAAACAGTCATCAAAGAAGATCCCTAGCCAAGTAGAGGACCAATTGATCTCTGTAAGCTCTTTCCTTAGGAAAAGGGAAGGAAAATTCCCTCGCAGTATGACAGACAAACCAAATTTGAGGACCTTCACAGTCAACCACAGACAACCTTATAATAAATGTAATGTGTATTTACATGTATTTTGATGACATACCTGGAACATTGCCAAAATCCCTGTAGATTCGAAAGTCTGTATCTGCTGGGATAATGCCACTCTGAAATATTTCCTGTGCCACCACAGAGGCAAAGGGATGTTTGGCTGCAACTACATATGCTTGTACCAACCAAGGGTTCTCAGGTCCTAATAAAAGATGAGCAGGAAGTTCACAGAAACTATTTTTTAAACTTTGGTTAAGATATGCATCATGGTAACAAATAATGCAAAGCAACTCACTGGACCCCACAGAGTATATAATGGGTACATCTGTGTTGGCTGAATGACTCATATTTAAGAAAAAAAATTAGCTGCACTTTGGGGGCGGGGGGGGGAAACAATCACCGTTGCCTCCAGCGTTCAGTGGCAGAGCAGATAAACCATGTCCCAAAAAAACCCTGCATTAATGAAGAAGTCACAACCTTTAGCAGAGCTTCCAATCCATCATGTCTGTATGACACATCAATACCATTGTTTAGAAAAAAGTCTCTCCCCTAAAGCACTCAGTGCAAGTAAACAGCTAAGCAGCTTTAGCAGTACAAGCAAGTCTGCAGTCCAGCTAGGCTGGAGCACAGGTCTAACCACAGCACACAAAACACAGAAGTTTTGCTGCTTCCTGACCATGAGAAGAAGTCATAATGCCAACAACTCCCTGCAAAGATTTTGAAAGAACTGCTGTGAAAAATAAATAGAGCATGTGAAAGTATGAGTATTAAGATACATGTCCTGTCTAAATGTTTTTCCTCTTTTTACCTTAATGTAAAAGGGAAACACAACTTTTATTATTCTGCTCTTTACACACTTCCCACCTATGAGGCAACTTCATGGCAATGTTTTAAACCATAAATACCTAAAGACTGAGAACTTAACTGCTGTATAGGGTTGGGAAAAAGGCACAGAGGTTCTCCTGTCTTTTGCCTATGAGTCACTTTCAATATTCCTTCAAGTCTGCATCATTTATTATCAAATTATTCCTGTGTAAAAACTGGACATAATGCAAGCTCATACCTGTTTGAAAAACAAGTTCTTTTCCTCCTACACCTGCTGCCTCCAGGTTAATAAAAGCTCTGATTGACTTAGCCCACTCATGTTGTGTAATGAAGCCATGACTAGCCTTGATGGGAAAGCAAGAAAAAAAAAAAAGTCAAATATTAACCAGACAAGCCTAAATGTTATTTGCCATCATTCAAGACTGCATATAACTCAAGACTGCACAAGGCAGGCAACACAGATGCAGAAAATACGAGTCTTCTACTTAAACTAATCCATACAATATTCTTAACACAAGCGCCTYTTTCCTTCTGAAATCATATACATTTTCCTCAGAGAAGACTGGTACTTAATTAATATTTCCACAGATTAAACACAAGCCGTATCTATCCTTTGTTAAGAGTTTTAATACTCTGCTTTGATGTATAATTTATAATTCTGGCATTTTCTCACCTGCAAAATATTTTCTTCTGCACCATTAAATAAGAATATGACAGCATGCTGAAGGGACTCAGATGATTTTGAAAGTGTGTTAAGTATTTCAAGCATCACTGCACAGCTAACAGCATCATCACTGGCACCTTAAAATAAACAGCAAAATAGTAAGCTTTACAACAAATGCACAGATTTGCAACAAAGACAAGAGAAGAAAAATGGTTCATGCTGTTTCAGTTACTTAATCTAACTGCAGTATAATTRTGTCAAGCTTTAGTATATTTTCTGGGACTGTTTGTACCCTCCGTCTGTATGAGCTGAAAGCAATAGTTGAAAGTAAAAATACGTTCAGAAGTTGAGTAAGTGAACTACAAGATATCAGATCCAATACTATTGTTCATGAAAAGCAGACTAACCAGGTTACTAGGCAAGCAAAGTGATCATTATCTGCTTTCCCAAATACAAGATGAATAGGAATGTAATTTTCAATGACGGCACACTCAAATTTTAAAAAATAAACATTCTCACACAAGTCTCCCTAAAGCGTTCTACACTGTTACAATACATTTTATTAAGGGGACAAAACCTCAAAGTAACATAAAGCTAAGATTGCAAAATAAAGCTAAGGAAATACCAGAATCCACATCCTTCAAAACCTCGCAAAGTATACATTATTGTAAAGGATTTTTATGTGCTTTCTACCATCATTCTTTGCAGAAACCCCTTTCACTCCAAGCTCAGCAGTCTGTCCTCTTTGAATTCCTCATCCAATCTCACRCTACAGTCTCACACCTTCTCCCATGCCCCACCAGTTCTTCATCTTGACTAATCATCCATCTTTTACTCAAGGTCTCCCATTTTCCCATTTCCCTCACTTTGGTGCAAGCTGTAGCACTTCCCTATCCCACTCTAATAAATAAAACTGGGGACAGAACAGAAATTAAAACTCATTCCTTTGGGCCTGGGTTGCATACTTGGCAATCTGGTTGGGGTCTTGGCATGCACTGAGACGCTGACAACAGTGTGGTCAGGCCCCAGCATGCTATTTAGTGACCCTTGTTAGCTGCTCAAAATGTTCAATTTACACATCAAAAAAAAAAAAAAAAAAAAAAAAAAAAAAAAAAAAAAAAAAAAAAAAAAAAAAAAAAAAGCAGCTTTTCCAAAGCTTGTCAACTGACAAAACTTAGACATATCTGGCTCTTCTGCAAAAAGGACAGAGTCCTGATACAAACATAAATCTCAGTCTAGATTTTAGCTTCAGTTTATTGTGTGGAATAAATAAGTTTGAAATCTTTCCAATACACCACTCTATACTCTATTTCCCAGAAATTATTCCCTTGTTCTGACAAAAAATTGCCATCTAAAAACCTGATTTAAAGCCCTGACAGTTACAGATTATCCTTAGTTTCACAGAATATCACAGATTTCTCAGCTGGAAAGGAACTTAACTGTTAACCAAGATTATGCTCTTAGCCAGACTTCTTTTCTCTAACAYGCTGTATTGAAAACTCAGCAGAGGAATATAGTAGTCATTTACCTGCCTTGTTGTGAAGCTAAGAAAAATGAAAGTTAATGGCCTCAAGAATCATCCAGATTTACATCTCGTAAAAGCCATGCAGCCACAGACTATTACACAAACTTGCAGAGAAGGTATCCCCAAATACTTCACACATAAGAAAACTGACAGGAGGTCATAACAGATTTTATGGGAGATATCACTAACCTAAAAACACCACACTATGTCTGCAATGATAATTTCAAGGATGTTTTTGCTGCCAAGTGTATCAGAAAAGAATCAAATAGGACATATAAACTGAAGAGTAGTAGAATCAGAACAAGAGACATGTTCTAGGACTTTACAATTTATGTTTTCCCTTAACAAGGAACACAAGCTTTCTAACAGTAATAGTTTACTGAGCTTTGCTTCACTCATTTTGTATCTATAAGCACCACAAGCAGATTATATTTTATTATCTGATTTTCAAACACATTACTCACTGATCACTGAGTCATACTGATTCTGGTTAAAAGTCCATCTTTTTGATAATGAAAAAAAGGCTTTGAGCAAGTAGCTAAGAGAAACACAAGAGAAGAGAAAGTTTCTTGCTTAGGTAATGTGCAACTGGCACACTAAGAAAACAAAAGAAAACAAAAGCAGCTCCTCACTGCTGGTGAAGAGCTAGGATGCTTTGTCATGAAGGGCAAGCACACAGGCTGATTTCTAGCTCCTCTGCAGATTTCTGCAAAAYCCTATACAAACCATTCTTATCTTTTCGGCACTTGTGTGCAAGGTTGGTGAAATATTTTATTATCTGAATAACTGTAGAGAAAAGAATTGACGTAAACATAATCCTGTCTTGTAACCTACAGAAACTGACACACAATTTGAAGACAATTTTTCATAATCACAGTACTGTGCTTGAGAAATGTTCTTAGTTTAGGCAGACATACATAGGCTAAACACACAGGAATTAGCATATCTTAAATTCCTTCCTAAATCAGAGAGCATGTACAATAAACCTGCATTTATTAAGTTTAATTTGGAAACTCACATTGCCCAAATATGACTGAGAAAGAAAAGTTCTGTATACTCTCTGTTACCAGAAAAAAGGCAGAAAGAATACAGCAAGTTTTGTTTCTGTAGCTAATACTCAAATTCTTCCTTAATAATGAAGACTGGTCACACATCCTAAAGGTTCACCACCAAAAAATAAAATACATAAAGGAAGGAACTCCAGTGCYCCAAAGGTGCTTTGTTGGCGAGTGATATCTGTGGGTGTTTTTCAACCGTAATAACAGGCACAGACCTGTGGCCGAGTGTTACAACAAACACTGTGTTTTAATCCATACCTTCCTGGCACTGCTGAACCCRCAAATTTACGAAGCTGTTTATGCCCTTGCTGCAATAATAATTTAACAGTATTAGATTTATTAAAATGTAGAGGAACAAGATYAAGAGAGCATGCAACAGTGAAGATGAAACTAGCAGTAAAAGATGTACACACTACCAAGGCAACAGTATCCCAGCCTTTGACCAGTATAGTCTTGAGACAGAAGCTTTGAATGTGGAAAGAAAAAAGCTGGCATGTCTTTAGCATATCAGACTGAAAATCTGAGATACCGGCAAAAGGAGGGGAAAACAGACTGGTTAGTAGGGATGGGCATAGTCTCTGGTACAAAGYATTCTGTGAAAAGAATGCCAGGATTAAATTAGTACAGAAGTATGAAAAGACACCTGGACAATGTGTGGAAGCAGCATATGAACTATATGCATAAGCTGTGAATTTTAAGACAGGCAGATAGAACCAATCTTTCTAGAAATTTAAATACGCATCTGTAACTTGCTGTCTACCAGAAAGTGAGAGTGAAATCCTGAGTTTAACAGGAACAACCTGTCACTCTGAACAATGAATTTCATTGAGACTAAGCAGACCAGTTGRTACATGCAGAATTCTAGCGTGGCTACTTGGTATGAGAGATCCATGAGCCAAGCTCTGTGGTGCACATAACACACAGAAACACAGAAGAAACACACGGACCTACCTGGGGTATTTGGTACGGAATCGAAGTGACAATTGGATAACACTGCATGCTTGGCTCCATTGCGGGGGTCCAGCTTCACTACCACATTGGTTATATTTGCATAGTAACTAGTAAAGCCTCCTAAAAAGTCAATGCTGAAGGAGCCTGTGGGCCTCTGTATGTCTACAGATATCTTGTGAGCATCTGTGCTTTCTCTTTCTATTCTCCTAATTTGTTCTAAGAGGTAGTTAACTGCAAGAACTTCATTTTCTGGACTTCCAACTGTTCTGGGCCCAATTGCTGTAAGGTTGTCAAGATATCCCCTGTAAGACATAAATTAAAAATTCAGCATCAACACATTYAAAATTTAGTATGTAACTTATCCAGAATTGTAACATTTTGGTACTATTTCAAAACTCAAGGTAAGCAGAAGCTAAAGCCAGTTAGCCAGTTTTGGTGACTTATAATGGGCATAYAGGCCTGATCTTTACTCATGACTCCTTATCTACCATGATATTAAGCCAACGCATTGGTTTTCTGGTCTGAACAYATAAATTCAAAAAGAAATAGAAGAGTGAACGGAGAAGCCAAAGATTTTATCTAAATTTAGCAATGTTCTGTATAGCATGCATGTCCCTTCCTGAATGCCTGAACACGCACACTTTCACTAAGACATACACCTGACGTTACCACTCTAAAACTGAAATGACAGTGACAGCCTTAGTCTTCCCGACTTTTCGGTGACACAATTACAAATTTGCAAAGAAGCTTTCCCATATACCGAGCACTGTAAGAGGCTACCGGAATTAAAGTATGGGGGGACGCGCTGTTTCACCAGCTCCGAGCTCTCGCAGGGCAGAGCACGACATGACCCCTCCGGCAGGGACAGCCACCCAGCCCGCCGCCCCGCGGCCCCGCCGTACCTGGCGCGGGCGGCGCTGAAGTCTCGGGGCCCGGAGGCGGCGGGCGGGCGGCTCAGGAGCTGCCGGTGCGACACCTGCACCAGCGCCCGCAGCCCCAGCAGGTACAACAGCACCAGCGGCGCACCCCGCGCCTCGGACAGCGGCAGCAGCGGCCGCCGCCCGCCCCGCTTCTTGCCGCCCGCGCCGCGGTCGCTTTCCTCCCGCGAAGGCGGCTGGCGGCGGTCGCGCTGTGCGGCGGTGGCACGGAGCCGCCACACGGCCGTGTCGGCGCCGCGCTCCATGACCCGACCGTCCGCCCGCCGCGCCGCGCAAACGCCGTACGAGCCCAAGCGCGGGTCAGAGCGCGGCCCGGCCCCTCCCGGCGCGGCGGGGCGGCCCCGGCGCTCCCGTGAGGGCGGGACCCGGCAGCGCCCGCCCCTCATCCCGGCAGAGGCCCTGAGCGCTGAGCGGGTGCGGCCTGAGCTGCGTTCGGTAGGCGCCCGGTGGGTCCSGTTGTGAGGCGCACCTGGTCCAACCTCCCCGCTCAGGCAGGGTCATCACAGAGTGCATGGTACAGGATTGCTCCATACTGYTCCCTAATATCCGCACTGAGGGAGACTCCACAGCCTCTATGGGCAACCTGTTCCAATACACGGTCGCCCATGCAGTAAAGAACTTCCTGTGCACCAGTTTCTGCCCTTTGCCTCTTCTCCTGTTATTGCTCAGCACCACTGGGAACAATCTGGTCCATCCTCTTGGCACCCTCCGTTGAGACATGGATGGTCCCCTTGTGGTTGTATCTTCTGGAGGCTGAACAGGTCCATCTCTCTCAGCCTTTCCTCATGAGATGCTCCAGTTAGGAAGCCTTTGTTGCTCTCTGCTGGATGTGCTCCAGGAGCTCCACCTCTCTCTTGTTCGGAGGAGCCCTGAACAGGGCACAGCCAGCATAGCCTGGGCCTGTGTCTGGCCACCCAGGCTGGGAAGCTCTCAGCAGTGGCTGCTTATGGAGAGCAGTGGAGCCCTGAGCCCTCTGTCCAACCACAGCTCCAGGGCGAGCTGACCCCACACCTGACCAAGGAGTGCCCTGTGCATTGTGTGCTGCCTCACGTCGCTCGCAAAGGTGTGCAAGGCTTTTCCTGATTTCCTGCTTCTTTTTTTTTTGTTGTTTTGTTTGCTTGGTTGGTTTGGTTTTTCTTCAAACAGAAAGAAAGTTTACAGAAGTAACAGTGGTGTCATGCTGGGGAGCAGCAGAGTGCCACAGGGCAGCACAGCAGGTGCTTCGAAGATGTGAAGTCACAGCACAGGGTTTCCCCCTCCACTGCATTGTATCTCTGGCATTTCAAGCTGTAGCACTGTCCACACTGGAGCTAAGGTATGCTGGGGTGCAGAGCAATAGCTCCAGGAGGTGCTAGTGAGTTGCAGCTTCCAGTGAACTCATGCCAAGGAGAGAACCCATGAGGATGGGGCCTGAGCTGTGATGCAGCACTCTACATGGTTCTTYTGGGGGAAACACACTTCTGCCCGTTCTCACTCTGTTTGGTGGTCATTTTCCCTATCTTTGTCGTACTGCTTTCCAATGTACTTCACTATTCTTGAAGATATCCTAAAAGATACTTACTTTTTGCTGCTATATGGTGTAATATAGAAACAATGTAATGATGCTATCTAGAGAAATGGCAGTTTCAATAAATGTGGTGATGCAGATACGGCTGCTTTCTACTCTGCCCATGTTAAAAAATGAAAGCCAATTGGATTAACCTTTGGAATGAAAAAGTGTGAAAAAGCGATGCACAGAAAGGTGATGACTGTGCTGTCTSCACACTCCAGGTGCTTTAGGAAATTTCCATACTCAGGCTTAGTGAGTTTTCTCATTTGCTTCACTGCATCCTCAGTACAGACAAGATTATTGATGATAATTTGTGTTTACAACTCCAGATTATGCTGCAACCTAGTAACATAGTTCCAGGCTGAGAGGTTTGGTTTATTCCATTTTATTCAGTTTTTCTTCTTTTCTGGTCACTTGTCTCACCTATGTTACCTTTCTCTTCACAAGTAGACAAACATATCTACAGTTTAGGTTCTCACAAGAAGAAACTACATTAGAAACTACTGCGAAAAATTCTAGTATAATTTTTTTTCTTAAAAATATCAGTGCATAATTCCAGTTATTTGCAACACAAGTAACAAAACACAACCAAAAAATCAAATGTGACACCCTCCAAATGTAATGGAATAGAAACTGCCCTTTGAAAAATTCATATTAATAATCTGTATCATTAATATGTTAATATAGTATTATTAGTATAGTTAATATAGTATTATTAGTATACGTAAGGAAAAACGGTTTTAAAGAAAGATGGGGCCCACTATTGACTGTAGGTATCTCTTTCTCCTTTGAAATTCTTATGTAGGTCTTGAAGTTGTATAAAGAACACAATCAAGGAATCAAAAATTGACTTTCATCTTTTATTTTGATTTCATGGGCAATATCATCAGTGTTAAAGCACTGGGGGCCACTCCCCTCCTGAAAGGCTCACCTAAGCAGCTTTATGCAGGGTCAGTTGCTTTCCAGCAACATATATTGYTACACATCAATTAGACTATGCATATGTTATTGATCTAAAGTGTTATGCACCATTTGAGAAATAAGAGTTACACATCATTTATTTCCTTTGGCTCTATGCTTACATGAGGATTGGAACTGAAGAAAAATTTCATCTGTTTCTTAATGGTCTTTTTCCTTTTTTTCTTTGGGCAATATTTGAACATTAAACCACCTGCAGTTAAGAAAAAGACCTGACTATACTGATTTTGGTGWCAGTCGTACTCTACCAGTCAAAACAATTTAAAAAATTATGTCAGTTCAAAATTCAGAATTAGTTTCCTGCTTTAGATCCCCATGTTTGAAAGACTGACAGCCCTTTTATCATCTGTTCTGAGTGCAGCATTTGGGAAGGCACTGCGCGATATGAATTAAGCTGGAATTATAGTCCATACCTGTTTTGACATGACTGGAACATTTGGGTCAAATACGTCAACAAACATAGTGCCCTTTATTGCTCTGTTAGTCTGGAATGACCTATTTAAGATAATTTGATCTAATTTCCAGTCAAATTATTCAGCATAAATTCAGTTTGATTTTATGTCAAGAAGGCTGATGTACCATGCAATCCAAGCTGGTTCATTTTGTCAGCTCACAAAAGAGGAAAATCCCTTGTTCACTGAGCATAAATTATACTCGTAAACTTTGTTTTAAGTAGAAAAAGTAAAAAGGCAATTCCTTATCCTTTGAGACTATGGGTTGGATTTGTTTTTAAATTTTGTAGCAAAAGCAAGTTAATTCATAGCAGATTAATATTKTTACTAAAAAGAAAAGTACAGATATGAATATTTTATACAGTATGGCCACTGTCAGTAATTTAGGATAAGRGAACTAGAACATTGTCTTCAGAAAAGCATTCAGTTTTGATTAAAATAAACAGTGATTAAATAATAGATAAATGGTTCCCATTGTCACCTTTCTCATTAAAATGTGACTTACTTATGKTATTAATTTCTCAGCTCCAGTTTTCCATCCATTGAATCCTCTTATATCATTGAATGATAAATTGAAAATCCCTTTGTTACAAGATTCCTAGTCCAGTGTAGGTATTAATACATCATGATCAAGACCCCTCTTACACTCATCTTCAAAGCTTTCTTCATCTTCTTCATCTTCATCGAGCTTTATAAACTGTTCATGTTCCAGCCTGTTCATCATCCTACTGAACATTCTGATGATTTCAAGTTTTCTGGTAACTTTCCTGCATTGCTAAACCAAAAGAAGTAGTATTTCAGCACCTACATCAGTGACAAATATCAGTAAAATTACTGCTACCCTGCATGGAGGCAGAGTAGTTTATTTGCTTTAAACACCTGCCCACAGCTTCAAAATGACAGTTCTGTCCAGCAGCCTTGGGAATCTCTTTCTGTCACTGCATCATGTTCCAGACATCCACTCTGTGTCCCACAGCTTCTCTGACACACCAGCTTTCAGTGAAATTTGGACTCAGCAGGAAACCCTGCTAGGAATAAAAWTCAGATTTTACATTCTGAGTGTCCAGGACCTATTATGTCAGCCTTTCCTCAGTGACACATGTGGGCTTGGAAAAATCTTGCTTCCCTGCACAGCAGGTGATGTTGAATCACTGACCCTTCCTACCACAAAGGAGCTAGATCTTTGTGCCTCCCTCAGGCACAGATCTATCATCTCTTCAACCATATATCCATCAGTTACTTCACTTCTGTAGCCACAATGTTGTAACTAGAAGCTCATATTAAATCAGTTTTCTGCCCTGTCTTCAAGGTGGGTCTTTTGGTCAGTACTACCAACAGTGCAGTTCAATCCCTTAATTGTGGCCTGGCTGTCATTCTGCATACTCCAAGCTTGAAAATGTTTGCCTTGCAAACTTCATAATCATTMAGTATTGCACTGAGCCAACAAGCATCCTTCTTCATTATCTGTTGCTATCCTGATCCTAAAAATGAAACCAGGAAGAATATTTTAAGAACTTACTGCAAGAATCCATCCTTACAGAAATACAGGGCCGGGCTTGTATAGCCTTGTATTCAGTTCACTACAAGCAGCTGTTCACTCTGAAAACTCTTCTATATGGGCACACTTCATGCTGTCAAGGGTATTTGCATTTCTTCTTCTTCTTGGAATTTATTTCTTCACTTTATCGTAACACCACAATACAGCACCTAGACATGGACAGCACTGTGTGGCAGGATAGTTTAAGAAAATAGCACAGGAAGTCTAGTGACCTTATATCCCTTAATGTCTGTGCTCTCAGCTGAATCCTTGTAAAAAATCTTCCCAGGTATCAACMAGAGGACACTTAGGGCTCACTTAGCCAAACACATCCATCTCTTTCCTAATGTATGAGGACAGAAAATGCCTCATCGACACTCCAGACATAGCCAAGAACAGGGCATTTTCATCCTGTAATTAAAGAAGAATGATTGAACATTGGTCACTATTTCAAAACAGGAAGTGGAAGAAGCCACCCACAGATGCTAGATGGATAGGGCAGAGAGAGACTGTTGTTTGCACTGGCACTGTACTTAACCATTTTGTTTTGATAAGCTTAAGCAGTGTTTTTCCCTTTTGCCCATTTAGCAGTASTCATTTTCTGTGCCCCCTCTCCTTCTTACCCTATTATTTTGTAATGGAATCTATAATCACAAGCAAGATTTACACGGAGAAAATGAATTGATTATTGCTTCTTGAAAAACAAAACAAACAACCTTTATTCAGATAAATATGCCTTCCCTTCACAGCCAGTTCAGACTCTATGCCACCCTCTTCCCTGTAGATAGCCCTTTCCATCCACACTCAGCATTCTCTTTTTTATGAAGGAAGTCCAGGGATTGATGCTGCCTTGAACAGGGGAAACAATCAGCACACATGACAGTAATTTTAGGACAGAAGGGTTTTTCTTTATTTGCTCCGCACCTGTAAAGGTTTAATCAATCTTAAACTAAGAAGAATTTGTTAAATTGATAATAGAATAACCAGAACCCAGTCCAAAACCAAGCCATTTATTCTAACTTTATCAATTAAGTATATCACGTTTTACAGTCTGACAGCTTCTGCCAAACCCTAATCAYTTGCTTGTTTGCTACCTCTTTCTGCTCTTTAGCCCCTCTGATATCTGCCAGCTAACACTGCCAGCTCTCCTATCCCCACAAAACACCAGCAAAGAAATCACTTCCTTCATCATCCTAACTATGTAATTGATTCACCACCCTAGTTCTTCTGTAATCATATCAAGATTAAATTCTTTTTTTTTCCTTTAAGACCTCAAATCTCTGCACACTCATCTACATTTCTTACCCAGGCTTATTTAGCATCACATGTCAGCTATTTTGGCAGTGATGTCAGCCTGTTTATTTCTTACATAATAGTTTTCCAATCCTTTCACATACTGTCTCTCCTGCACACAGTCCTCAGACAGTTTATGTTCAGGCTACCCATATTACATCAGGGATWATTTAACACCACAAATCAAACATAGTCATTTTGGTACAGTCATTTCAATCAATGTTCTCTTAGCTGGCAAATCATATGACCTGGTAATATTTTATCTTGGCTTACTCTCTGTTTATCAATACTGTCAGTAGGCTTTGGTCAGGAAAAGAAAGAGAGGGTGTATGTGATAAAAGCTGGTAGTTCCAGGTAGCAGGACAAGCACCATTACCACCAAGGACTAAGGAATGCAGGAGGCATGGTTTTGTAAGCTCTCTGCCCTTCCATCTGAGCACAGTTGACTACAAGGAGACTTTGCCAGGATCTCAGTGTGTCTTTATGCCGGGCTGGCTTCCTACATTGGAGCAGTTTATTTAAATAAGAACTACACTTCAGAGATTTGTTTCCAGCATTTTATATGTACTACAATAATAACAAAAGCTGGCAATAKATTTGTTGTATCTTCTTCAAAGGCAGCCCTGTTCCAATTGAGAAATCAGAGAAGAAATTGTCTGATGGTGAAGTAATTTTGAAATCAGTGGAGCTGAAATACTTAACAGCAGCAGAAAACACAATTACTACTTTCAGTTTTGAAAATATTGAGAAAAAGGCATTTTAGAAATGCATGTATATCCAGCCTCTGTTTAAACCATTGCTGATTTAATTCTGGGAGYCTGGTAATAAAAGCCAAGACACATTAATTCCTGAATGGTTAAATATTTCTTTGTAGCCTGACTGGACAGAATTTAAGCATAGTCTCTTCATAATCATGAACCAGTGTTATTATTTGAAGTATATATGTTCTTGGGAGATTCTCATTTCACTCTACACCAAATATTTCATATAGCAGTCCACCTGTAAATGTATTTTGTGCTTACTCAAGCACTTAAAGTGGAAGCTAACTCTTGGAATTAGTGAAAGCTGAGCTGGCACACTAGATCTGAGCAGAAGTGACTCTTCTTGCCACCTGGAATAAACTTCCTTTTATTCCAGGGTATGAATGGAAACCTCAAAGTTCTCCTTTTTTTTTTTAAGAGTTCTCCTTAAGAGTTTAAAAAGTTCTTCTTTTTTTTTTAAGAGTTTTCTAAAATGCTTAAATGTTGAACAAGAAATAATGTAAGCATTAATAGAAGTATTCATAGAAGTGCAGACTACAATTTTTCTCTTATTTCTAGTTTCTTAAGTAGAAATAAGAGAGATTTAAGTTTTATTTGGAAATGTAACATGTGGAGAAAAACAATAGACTATTAAGAAGGATTACTGTGCAGAGGTTTAGTATAATAATTTCATATGTTGATASAAAATTGTGAAAATATTTTAGCTTGATGAGATGAGAAAAAGCTGCTGTGGTATTAATTCATAATAGAAGTTCTGGATAACCCAAACTAAATGGTATGAGTAAAGACTAAATATATTTAGCAGGAAGGACTACAGAAAATGAACATTCATTGTAGTCCCACTAAGACCATTTTGGTTTAAGACAGTCATGATAGGCCATGACAATAGTCCTTTGGACATAATCCCCAATAATGTCAGTGAATATAATGTTAAAAGTAATCTGATGGATTGACCAGTGAAATATTCCAGACATCATTATTTTGTCTGTAGACTTGAATTCCCATGATCAAGGGCCACCTATTCCAAGCATCCCAGCAATGAGGAAGTCAGGCAAAAACTCCAGGAGGCTTGTCTGCATGAGCCGTGGGTTCTGAGGGAAATGGACAGAGGAAGTGGCTAAGCCCATAATGTCATATTTGAGATRTCGTGGCAATCTGATGAAATTGTCAACGACTGGCAAAGGGGAAGCATAACCCCTGTTTTTAGAAAAGAAATAAGAAAGACCGGGGGAATGTAATCCAATCAGTCACACCCCTGTGCTTAGCAAGACCATGGGTCAGAATTTGGTGGGCTCATGGGGCATGTGGGTACACTGAATATATACAACTGCCATGTGAATTTCTCCTCTGGATTAAGCAGTGTCATCTGCTAAGTTTCATTCCTGGTTCTTTTTTTTTCCTTCTGCATTGTAAAAGCACACAATGAATTTCTCCAAATTGGGAAACTGTTCCAGTGTAGTAACCAGCAATGTCATTTCACCAGTCTAGTTCACTTCACTAACCCACATGGTAGCAGGAAGGTGAAGTAGGAGTAGCAGCAACTTTTCTGTCATGACTGCACATTTAATCCACTTCAAAAACGACTCCTTTGCCATGATTTTGACTTCTTTAGCTCTAAAAAGGAGAGAATTTTCCCAGCAAAAAAAAAACTAGAATGTCATCACACAATCTTGCTGGCTTCCCATTCACATATGCCAAAAATATGAAATATATCTGTTTCTTAGTTATGAGGGTCAACTGCATATTTATATTGCCTCTTAACATACACAAACTGCACAGATAACTGGTCAAGTCATGAAGTAAGTACACTAATAAGTAAATATTATAAAAAGCAACAAGCTACTGCAACAACCCACCACACCCCTCCAACAATCACAAAAGCAGTTTAGCCGCACAATCTTAATGCAAAACAAATTGGTAGGAAAGGGAATAAGTTAAAAAAACTAGCAATGARAACAGGGAGAGAAAACCTTTACAAGATCTAGCATTATTCAACTGTGGGCTCCTAAATCAGACAACTAAAGGACTTCTCTGGTGTGGTGAAAGGCTCTGAAAATGCATGCATCATGCTCAGGAGAGCACATTCAACCTTCCTATAATTTCTTTAGTTGCTGCAGGCTATATGATGCTCACTGTAGCCCACATCTGCCCAATAGCACAGCCATAGGGAAGACACAAATTAATTTCAAATTTGAATTAACATTTGCAGTAAATGCCACAGAACATAGGGGAGTTTAAAGTCAACTGACACATCTGAACTTTCTGGCTGGTCCAATAGTTGAATTCAACAAAAAATGTGGACAGCAGCCAAGGCTGCTGTAAGTACAGTGCAGATACATAACAAAATCTGCCTTCCCCCTCTAGTTTCCTCCACCCATTCCTGATTTTGCTTTCTCTGATCTCTAATCACGACAGAACTTTGTTTTTCTGTGTATAGGTGGAGTCAAATAACTTTTGAGGAGGGGAGGAGGGGATTCTTATAAAATCTGATGCTTACACATCCTGTATGAGACAGCTTGGTTTGTTCAGACAGCCAGATTGTAGTTCAGATGACAAAGATGACCTAGTGGTTTGCAGCACAACTCAAGAACTTACATACAACTGGAACCTTCCAGTGAAGGAAGAGCTTCATATCCCATACAAGACTTAGCTACCTGGAAAAGGTAATTTCTTGATTCTATACTTGATTTTTGTTACTTCTAAATGGTTGCTCAGAGCTTTCAGCCCCTCTTTTCCATTCTAATATGCTTTATCAATAAACTGTGTTATAGATCTTACTCATAAGAGTGACTCCTTTGAAAATGATATTATGAAGTTAGAAAGGAGAATTTAATTAAGAGTTCCTCCAGAGTTTTTGTCTGAGGAGCAGTAATTAATATGACTTTATWGTAATTGAAGCTCTAGTGACAGGTGAGCATCAGCAGAGCTGGTCTGAGTATTAGATGAAGACTGTAAGGTATCTGAATGTGAGAAACATAGGGTGATTCCTTGTCTGTGTACCAAGGCACTTGATTTTCTTGTTTCTTTCCATCTTTTTTTCTAATATAACAATTAAAACAAGACTATAGTATTTAATCTGTTATTAATTTATTAAATGTCTACTTTGTATTTAGTTTTATGTAGTTCCTGTTTCAAGGTGTCAGCCTTGAAAAAGGCTGTGTTAAAGTAGCTTTGAATCTGTATACATCAAGTATGTTTTTCTTCCCTTTCTCTTTTTTTTTTTTTTTTTTTTTTTTTTTTTTTTTTTTTTTTTTTTTTGATAAGTACAAATCCAAGGTGAAGTACTGTATTTGTACTGGAAACCCAAACCAAACACCAATTAACAAATCACATTTCTTTATCTAAGCATAATACTTGACTTCTTTTGTTTTCTTCGGAGACCTATCTCTTTAAAGTATCACTAGCTCATAACAGGTCCCCCCAGCTTTCATTCAGAGAGAGTGAATACACTTTTTTGGGGAGTGTTATATATGTGACATGAAAATAAGAAGATTAGGATTTGTTCTAACAACAGTCTGTTCTTGATTCCACCACCTAGTTGTTTTGCAATGTGCAGCAAATGTATTCAACTCATTTGCTCTTTTGTAAAAAATAAATTAGAACATGGAGCACAAGATAATCAAGTAAAACAGGTATCCATCTTSACAAGTTTATATGGCACCCTAAAATGCAAGCAGTGAGATAAGTGTTTTATAATTTGTTTTTATTATTGTCTGATAAGCTTTTTGAAGCATTGACTTGAATCAAAGCAGAAATAGCTTGGATAACTTGTAGAGCATGAATAGAGGAACAGCCCTGGTGCCTCAGGAAATGCCTCTATAGCTGTCCAGGTGCAAAGATAAAGGTTTCACTCTTGCCTACAAGTTCTTGCTGGCAAATTTTGCTGTGAGCATAATGACACTACTAATAGAGATATCTACTCTTGCTGATGCACACACCAAGCACAGGTGACAGCATTGTGGCTTTCCTGATTTTAGCCCCTGTCTCACAGGATGTCTGATCAAGCTGCCATGAGAAATCTTGGAGGTAGGAGCCAATAGATGCCAGGCAGAATKCTGATGCTTCCAGGCACAGCTTTATATTTTTGAGGGATCTTGTGTATGGCCAGGCACAACAGAAAGTAGTTTCCCTACAGGTCTTTCATTCAAAAGGTTAGTTTCAGGTACAAGATGAGTAAGTGAAGATATTAAAATCTTACCGTTTACCATTACTCAATAGCTAAGAGCAAAAGGAGATCCTGTGTAGGTTTTTCAGCTTAGATTTTTTGCAATTACATCATCTTGTAATAAACTTTCTCTTGCAAGTGCGAGGAGGAAGAAAGCAAAGCATTGTTTCAGAAACATGTTCCCTCATTGTARTATCTATGCTTTCTTCTACCCTGTTCAGGCATTACAACAATTCCCTATAATATTTAGCTGCACTGCTTTCAAAGCTGTAGGGCGGCTAGAAAATAACTACCTCATTAATCAATGACTGAAATAATAATTTCATTTTGGAGTTACATGTAACACTGTGATCATTAAAAGGAACTGAAGGCTAAATTCTGAGCTGTGACAAGATGTATTTGTCATAAGGAAACATGCCATTCATTTAAGTTTGGTAAACAGCAAGGCCTGATGCATACTCCTCCTGGRACAGAGTTTGCTTAATGAAAGGGAAGCATTCTGGGTGGTGTGAGAAAGTAGATTTTATCATGCCTGTTTTAGTCTGGGTGCTGCCTGGTAAGTAGCAGGATTTCTTCTATCTGTCTTGTGGCACTAATCATAATCTCATGCCCAGGCACGTCCATGCAGAATGCAGAAATATCAGTATCACTCTGCCTAGACAGGCTCATTTAGCTTGAGTGTTGCATCCTTTTCATGTACTTTCAGGCCTCAAATAAAATTATGACCATGCTACTGAACCCAGCAATATTAGAAGACATGGCTAAAACTTGATATAGTTTCTGTCTTTTCTTATAGTAAATGAGCACTAATACAAGTATTAATGCTTCCAACTTTACAAAATTTATGACCTTTGGAAGTATTAGCTGCATTTGACAACTGAAAAAACAGACATGGCAAGATCAAACAACTTTCTTAAGGTCACTCAGAAATTGTGGGAATGAAAACCTCTTTCTTTAATATAGACCTCAACACAAAGCTGTCTTTCCCTCTCTTGTGGTTCTTCTAAGATATTTTAGGACATGCAAATGTGTCCAGTGCCACATCAGTCCAGACACACAGTAACAGAATCATTTTGCTTCTCATGACTACAAGGCTCTGATGGCTTCTTTTCCCCACTCTGCTGCAGTGATTCAGGTCCTCCTGTGACTGTATACTTCAATGGAGCAAATCACGTGACAGGTGGCTGCTCCTTTGTACTGGATAATTTCAGGTGGTATGGATTCCCTTGAAGCTCATTTTTCCCAGCTGCATGCAGGGAAGATAATTTTACATCTAGYACATCCTCAGCTATGTCAAACTCCCATTCACCCCCTGAGATAGGAGTGCCATGGTCTTCTGCATTTTGCACAATATACTTGCTCAGAATTTAGTGTCCATGAGGAAACCAGAAAAATGTATTCATGTTTCTCTCACTCTGCCAGATTTCATGTCTTCCATGTACTGCATGATTACTCCAATTTGGCGCAAAACTTTTAAGGGGTAATAGGCATTTTTCCTATTCTGTGTTTAGTAAAATATTCTTGCCTATCAATATACCTTCACAAGAATGGATGTACACCATTTGCCAAAAATGCATGGCAGTGCAGGAATGATTAATATTTATAAATACTAAAATGATGAGGACCCTTAAATTCTTCTATCTTTAAAAGTCTTCTGTCTGTATCTTTTCTCATTGTCTTCTCTCCTGTGTTCACATCTGCATGCTTCTTTTGTTTTCTTCACTCTGTACTTGAATTTTTTTTTTTTTTTTTTTTTTTTTTTTTAATTTCTTTACTCAGTCTTCTGTCTCTTGGGACATCTGTTCCCCAGGTAATATTTTCAGTCAAACCACTGTAATGCATGCTATATTTCAACTTGGTAATTACTTGTGTAAGCCATTCCTAGAATATTTTAATTAGTTTCCTTAACAGAAGGCCTTCTACCAATTTGCAGATCTGTTAAAAAACCTCTTCACCATCACTACCACTCCAGGAAAAAAAAAAAAAGAAAATACAACCCAAAACCCAGAAGAGATCTGAGAATTAGAAAATATGCAGGCTAAAGACAGCAATCCACCAGATGGTGGCTATGGATGGGTTGTGGTAGTGTCAGCCTTCATGGTGATGGGCCTCACTGTTGCCGTCCTCAAGACTTTTGGTCTGTTCTTTGTTGAAATCCAGCAGCACTTTGATGAACTTGCAAGCACCACTTCTTGGATCACATCAGTAACTATTGCCGTCTTTCATTTAGGAGGTAGGTAGTAGTGCTCCTCTAGCATTTTATTTTAATGTATTAACTACCTGAGCAAGTTTGAAAAGCTTAAAAAAACCCAAACCCAGAAACATGTAAGGTCTAGACTTTCTTCTTCTGTCTCTACAGAAAATACAGCAAATTTGCTTACAGAAAATTGGAATTTGCTGCCTCACACATAGAATGGGTTAATAACACAGTGCTCTGTAAGCACAGGAATCTGATTGACTGAAAAAACTTCATGTTCYTGAACTCATTAGGTTTTGCTACAGGCTTTGAATGAAACTCATTGGAGATCACACTATACAGAGCTTGTTGAATCACGCTCTTAAACCATTTTGTGCAGGTTCACTGATCTCAGATGACTGTCACTTTCTCAAAGTACTTTAAAACAAAAGGATTCTGACCCTGTCTAGCAGGGAAGCCTTCTGCTACTAAAATGATTCAGTCCTGCTTTTCCCCACTTCTCCTTTTTGTCTTCACCACGATCCCCTTTCTTTGCATATATTACCATTTCTGGCTCTTCTTTACCCTTCTTAGTCTGATTACAAGTCATTGATCTACCAGAAGACTCCCAGAGTTAAAAAGAAAAAAAAATCAGTAAACTCAGAGATGCACAAGAAAGACAAGACCACACAGGCAGAGAGTAGGGGAAGAGAGAGTAAAGTATCCCAGTCGAAGACTGTGAGCTATGGGAACAGGTCAAATACCACATCTCACCAGATCAAGGAGGGAATAATCGGAAACATACTGCATTTGACTCAGCTGGGTTGTGCAGAGAGTTCTTAGTGCCCTTGTAAACTGCATGATCCTTTACATGATAGTGAGGATTCCACACATGTGCAGGCTTGAACTGTACAGATTTTGTGAAGTCTGCTCTGCATATTCTCATAGAGATATATGGTTGCAATAGGCAAATATCCTTACATAATAAATGCTATCATAATTTTGTCTGTGAAGACACTTTGCATCAACAGCATATAATTATAGGCATCCGACTCAGTATTATTGCTTGGAACTGCAGTACTTCCAAACATCAAGAGCAACTGATCTTTCTTTGAAAAATCTATTCAGAAGGAAAAAAAAAGAGAAACCCAAAGTCAAAGTAAAAAGATAAAGTAAGTCATAAGTTGAGAAGATTCTATCAGTTCCATAAGCTGCTATCCTTGAATGSCTGCTTTGCAGTGACAGATATAATTAACTGAAAAAAAAAATTTAAAAACCTGCTTCACAGACCACAGAAATGAATAAATGGTAATATATCAATTTGGTTTACAAATTAGACATACCACTGACATATGATGATACTATTTTGTCACTCAGGCATTTGAACTTCATGAGAAGAAAAAGCCAGCATAGGAGGAAAAAACTCAAAGTCCTGTTTTCATTAGGTTTTGTTTTGTCATAGCACATATTTACATAACATAAGGATGTATCAAGGAATAGAGCATATGACACAATATTAACAAGTATAAACTAGCAAAAATGTATTTGCCTAGCCTGATGTGAGATTGGCCTACTTCAAAGAAGGCAGCTATGATTTCAGCAGAAATCCTTGGAAATCCTATAAAAATAATCACCTTTTAGTAAATAAAGGTTGATGACAAAACATTTCAAACCCCCTCTGTATAGTAGTTTATAAATATCTCAGGTCAATACATAATTGTCCTCATCTTTTCCTGCCTTTGCTTCATTCATAGGGACCATAGGAATTCCTGATGAAGATCACCTGACCCTCCAGTTCTTTGAGCATATTTCCTGGCCTGGCTTAGTCTATTAGTATGTATCTCTGGGAGACCTTAAATGTAATTTTTCTCCATATGAAGTATGATCACTGAATTGTTATTTTTTCCTACTTAGTTCCTTTAAACCAGCAGATCTGTTTCTTGAGTTGAAGGAGAGAATGTGCTTCTACTCCCAAGGTCTGCAGTTGCAACAGGSTGTTCAGTTTACCACAGAAAGGATTCTCCCCATCACCTTCACCAGCCTTCTCTCGGTACTGATGTACACCTCCCATCACCTTTCTCTTTGCACTCTCATTGTCATCCATTTCCATTGCTTGTACATTTTCTGTGTCGTGTGCTTATCCCATCAGACTCTGGAATCTAGCTGTTTTACCCATTTCCAGTTCTGTGGCTAGTTTATTTCTTTCTCTTTTTATCCCATGCTCAATTTCTGCCTGTTTATCCTCCTTATTTGCTATTTAAAAATTTGAGTTTTGGTGGTATTTCTGCTCCAACTTCAGATCTTTCTCTTGTCTTCAAGCACTTTCATGGAAATTATCCTGTCTACTTTTGTCTTCTTTTTTTATATCATAATGTATGGTTCACTAGCTGCATGTACTGTATCATCAAATTTTTTCTGTAAAAGATAATGAGACATTTGGGGTTTGTGTAACTCCTGCCAGGTCTTTCTGCTATCAGACAATGTACATCCTGCAGATTTTACAACAATTAGTACTCTGCGAGGTTTATTTCACTCAACTATCAAATTATGATTTTTACACAGGTGAATGTACAAAAACCTGCCCCTAAAAACTAATGTGAAACTTTTCTTGCTGGCTGCTCTCTCTTAATCATTGTATTCCTACTTATTTCCTTCCTCTGAGAAACATGGTCCTCGTTAATGGAATTCCGTTTTATGCACGAACTCCAGTTCCCAGGATATTTAGCGGATTGTGGAAAGCTGATTCATGCCAGGTGGTGCTTGGGATCCCCCTAGTGGCCATGACTATTTAAAGAAATCCTACGACCTTCACCTCAACTCTGCTAAGCTGATGGAAAAACACCCAGGCAGAATTAAGCAAAAATATCCCTGWCATTTCAGGTGTTTCAGACAGCGACTAGAGACCAGAGAAGTTGCTGCACCATCAGATCTGTACCAATTGTACTTTTGCCCTTATGTTGAAGAGTCCCTGCTGAGAGAAATTGTACTAAAATAAAGATTTAAGAAATGAACTGTCAATTTTCTCTAAAATTATTACCACAAAATAAACTTTAATTTTTGGTCCTTTATAAACTTTTAAAATTCCATTAAGGGTTGACTTTTGCAAAATTCTAGAAAACAAAAGTTMGTTTTCTCCAGAAAGTTTTCATGCTGACCATATCAATAATACATTCTCAATAAAACAATTCTTCTAGATGAACCCATAGATTCTATGGCTAAAGTTTCACCTTCTGCTAAAACAGTACATGAGCTTCTGTCCTGTGGGTAGTCGCATCCTTGCATGAAAATCAGTACAACTGTCCTGCTACAAGGAAGGCACTAAAATTCCCTTTTGCTTTAAAAGTGTCCACATATGTTGAATGTATTTTAAAATCTGTGCCTCGCGGACAGTCATTTCTCTATCAGCAAGGATACAAGGACTGTAATTTTGATTGACATCCTCCCATCAGGCTGTTTGTGTCAAGCATTATGAGGGTACTCCTCCTCCAAATGTTTTATTTGTTTGGCCGTGTTGGTCAGCTTAATGTTCCTAATATATTTTTCTTTCTCTGATTTTGCTACTGATCCAGCCCCTGTTGCCAGTTCACTATGTGTACAATACTCCCATCGGACAGTTATGATCACTGGAGGACTTCTGGCTTTTTCAGGAATGGCACTGGGATTTTTTGGATTCAACATGGTCTGGATGTATGCAACAACTGGCTTCCTTCAGGGTATGACTTTATGGCTTTCTGGCTTTCTTCCACCAGTAACTTTTGAGGGTACTAATGGCAGGAGTTTTAAAATCTGGTATTCACTTYGATTTTATGAGCAATGACAACCAGCAATGCTCTTTTAAAGTGATTTCCCTCCTGTCCCACTCTGGAAATGAGAATTTGTGCAGGAAACATGAAATGACAGGGAAGACAAATACTTAGATGCCAGTAATTTGCACCTGCAAATTATATACAAGGAGAAAATGAAGTGTTTTATTTTTCATTCGGAGACAAGAGCTTTGTGAAGGTTTATAGAACCTCCAAAAGGGTTCTGAAGCAAAAGGACATGGAGATCCCATACTTTCTGTCAACTTATCTTATCTTTTGAACAGAGGCCCAGGCTTTCATTTCATTCCAGTCCTTTCCTTTACTCTAGGCAAAACCAGGCCAGAAAGTTGTCTCCAACTAGCAGCTATCAGATTTGCCTGGAACAGGAAGCAAAGCTAGCAGGGAACAAAAGAAACCACTCTGAATTCCACACTGGATGCCTGAGAAAATGTCTGGAATTTAAGCCCTTTGGCAGTTCTGGTCTGCCAAATAGTCTAGGGAGCCATTAAAAAAACCTCTCAGTTAGAGCAGGTTGTAAGTCTGCTCAAAGCAGTTGAGTAAGAAAATGAAGAGCAAAGGAAGTATTACATCAGCTTTTTTCATGTCTGCCTCACTTTCTACCCTGAACTCAGCTTAAGCTGAGCTTAAGCTCAACTTAACCTGCTGGTCTGACCTAGTACCAACATTTATGCAGACAGCCTGAACACTCTGAGTTCTGCCTAGCTCCAACTCCATGACTATTTCTCATGCACTGACAAAGCTGTTAAACCAACTTCCTTTTTTTTAATGTGAGAACATAATAGAATATATACTTCATGCTCCTGCTTTCTTTCTTGAACACATCCAACTTAGAGAACAGAACATGACAAATATACCCTTACATCTGCCACAGCTAAGCTCATGCTTCTGCTAGGAACAAAAATGTTTTGCTTCTAAATTTGCAAATGTAGGACCACTGACTGTTTTAGTTTCCACCTTCGCAAAATACCTCAATAGTGTCTAACCAGTGCTATTTCTATTGGTGTTTTTCAGGTCTTGGCATTTCCTTTTCATGGACACCAGCCATTAGCATTGTTAGCCATTATTTCTCCAAGAAAAGGGCTTTGGCCAATGCTATTGTCAGTGCTGGAGAATGTGCCTTTGCATTCACATTTGGGCCATTTTTCCAGTGGTTGATTAGTCAATATGGATGGAAAGGTGCTCTCTTGATCATAGGTGGCATTCAACTCAATATTTGTGTCTGTGGAGTACTGATGCGACCCCTAGCAAGCAGCTGCCTCCTTGAGACCATTCACTGTGAAGCTGAAACTCCACCTGGCAACAGTGCATCCAGGATAGACAAAGAAGATAAGTCTCCCTTCGTACACAAAACCTTCAACTGGATGCTTGTGAGAAGACCAGAATTTATGCTTTATGCCATTTTTGGCATATTAGCTGCTATGAGTTTTTTTGTTCCTCCATTATTTTTAGTTCCACTTAGCTACAGCCTAGGAATAGATGAATCATGGACTGCATCCCTCCTATCCATTTTGGCCATGGTGGACTTTGGAGGTAGATTGCTGTGTGGTTGGTATGCCAACCTCCACRTTACCAAAACCATTCATTTGCTGGCGATGACGATTACACTGATCAGTACTTCCCTGATGTTGTTGCCATTGGCTAACAATTACCTTTCCTTGGCAATATTCACTGGCTTCTATGGATTCTTTTTTGGTACAACWGTTGCCATTCACATTACAGCACTGGCAGATGTTGTAGGCATGCCAGAATTTGACAGTGCTCTAGGGCTGTTCATGCTCATACGAAGTACTGGAGGTTTTGTGGGGCCTCCTCTTGCAGGTAAGTTAAGATAACACTGCCAAATAGCAGTTTACAAGAAAAAAGGGGAATGGTAATCCGGTCTGGAAAGATCTGGATCTGCACTCAAATTTCCTTTTTTTTTAAGGTCAGGGTTATCTGAGCCAAGAAGTACATAAAACAAAAACAGTCCATTTAAATCCTCTCCAAAATATCTTGCTCCCTGTCTTCTCGGTGATTTTAGAGATACCTGTTCAACAAGAAAGCAGGGACAAAAGGCAGGGTTCACATGGTGGTGTTCCTGCTTCTGGAATCCCACATAATGCCTCTTGATGACCTCCCACTATCTTGCTATGAAAGTGTGCCTTTGGGACAAGCAGCAGACCCACACTTTCAGAGAAGAAACTGAAACTGAAGAGACTAGTGATGTTGYACAAATGCTGGTGGTGTTGGGAGAGTTTCTACTGAAGTTCAAATTGAACAGCTTGAAACATTAGACTGTGCAAACCTCAAGGCAACATTTAGTGAGATGCCTGATGGTTTTAGACAGCTTTTGAGCCAACCAGTATAAGTAGGAAAGGCAGCACATAAAAATAGTGGGAAGAGAGAGCAGACAAAAAAAAWGAGACAGCACATGGACTTACAGGCTGGCAACAAGATATAGTCATCTTGAAAATATGAAAGACAAATTAACTGCAAGTTGTAGAGACTTTTAAAAGTGATATGGCAAAAAGAATGGAGCACTGTRACTTGTACAAAGCAGATCTGAGCCCTCATCCGAAGACCATTGCTCACGCACTACAAGTGACTTTTGTGGTAATGATATCACTAATAAATTGCAAATGGGTCAGACTGAATACTGGAACATYTAAATTCACTTTTGAAAATACCAGAAACATGAAGATTTTTAGAGGGTTTGAAACAGAACAGTCTCAAAACTGTATTGCAAAGATCTCAATAAAATACAGATTATAGTGGCTGGTCACTAGTATCGATCATCTGGGGACCAGTGTGACACCTTTGTGCATATTTAGTAAACTACAAAGAAGATACAGAAGAGCAGGGTACCCTAACTGACTCTCAAGCTCTCCTCTCCTCCTTTGAGACTAATATCTAAAGGATTTGAGTTCATAGTTCCTATACCTATATAGGGCTGATGTTGGTTTAGAAAGTGGGCTGGAGAGTACCCTGAACAGGGACAGACTTCTCACAAGCAAGCAGCCTTCATCAGCCCACAAAGGAATGTGCCATCATACCCACAGGGCAGCTGACACACTGCTGCAGTGCTACTATACTAGAGACTTTTCAGTACAGTACACAATGGCATTAYGTATTTTGGTTGGCTTAAAGCTCCCTGAAAACTGAGGTCTTTTTGTTAACATCTGTGACTCTTTGTAGAAYGATGAACCAGAAACCAATAATGTTGGACAAATAATGTTCTCCAGCTCTATCTCTGGCAGACAAATACCCTTCCCTTCTCTAAACTCACTCATGCTGGACAGTTGTGGTCCAAATCACAGCAATTGATGACAGCTACACCACAGAACACGGAGCTACTCAGATACACAGATGCATGGGTTTTTTTCTGCCAGTACCTGCACTGTCTGACTCAGTGCTTCAAAATGCGTACTGWATTCACTAGCAATTCACATATACAAAGCAATGAATTGTGTTTCAAACCCAAAAATGCTATAGTTGGGTGATGTTCCATGTGCTTGTAATGTAGAAAGCTGCAATACTAGAATATAGCCAGCACACTGCCTTTATGAGAGGATATGTGCACACTTGAGCTAATTCACATTAGCCTGTTTTCCATCAATCACATTGCTGTCATTTGTTTCTCTCCAGGTCTGATTGTGGATGTGGTTGGAGATTACAGAGCAGGCTTCTACATGGCAGGAGCCACTCTTGTCCTATCAGTTGGATTTTTAGTTACTTTAGATCGACTCCAAGAGAGAAAAAAAAGAGGAAGCCAGACTAGAACTAAACCAGAAAAGTCAACATTACCCTACCCTTCCTTCCATCTCCTGAAACATCAAACCAGAAGGTACTGAGAGCATGATGTAGTGCTGTGACTACATGAGACCTCTGACAGCATTTCAGGACATATGGAAGTGTTTTATTTTGCCAAACTCACTATTAGTAGGATTTACAAAAGAGCAGACATTTCAGGATATTTGAAACAAAGGAAGAAAGTAATTACTTTACATGCAAACTAGAGCACTACCCATTATCATATTATTTTGATAATGAAGTTGCATTGCATTTACTTGGGGTAGTAGTGCCCAGTATTTATAGCAAACAAGTTGCATATGAAAGCATGAATACCTGAATACAGTTTKGAGCCAAAGGGTTTGCAGGTACTCTACAAAGCAGGGCTGGATTAAATAAATAAACCTGATAAAAGCTAAAAGTTACATAAGGAATAGAATACTGTAGAGAGAAATGCAGTCCTAGATACCTGAAGTAAAAAGCAAAATATGCGCACATAAAACAGAGAAGGATTGATGAACACTAGAGGAAGACCTAAGGCTACAGTGGACTTCAAACTGAGTAAGAATCCCAAATGCAATCCTATATTAAAAATAGTAAATGTCTTTCTGTGTTGTGGTAAAATAGAGGAGGTAATGATGCTTGCAAARCTTTAACTGGAAGAAGTACACGAGTTGCGAAAAATTAAGTGAAGCATAAATGAGAAAATTAAGAAAACGCAATCTAAGGAAAAAGTGTAAGAAATAAAAGTCTGGTTTAGAAGACAGAAATTTTTACAGGGCCTTCAAAGCCATAATAGACAGAGATAAAGAAGATATTATTAATTCCTTTCCTTGCTAAGACAATGGTAATTGATATCTTTCACATAAAGGCAGAGTTATGTAGCAGGGGAAAAGCTTCACTGTGGCCTGTTACGATACAATGCTGACTGTGGGGAGAATATGAAAACAGAGATATCAGACAATAGGTGACACATGATCAAGAATCTAAATATATGTGCTTCAAAGTAGTGGGATGGACTAAATGACTTCCGGAGGTCCCTTYCTGTCCTACATTCCAATTATCCTAAGGCAAATACTTTGACTAAATACTATATTTAAAAGAATAAAAATCTTCATCCAAACGATTGGGGTCTTTTCAATTTTATTTTATCGAGGGAYGACAGGATTTAAGAGATAAAAGGCTGAATCACACTTAGAAAGAAACATTAAAAGGAAAAAACCCAGCACTTTAAAGCATCCAAACTGTTATGAATATTGTACCTGCCCTAATTATAAGTTTCAGAAATTTTTATCATTGAAACACTTCCACTGTGAAGCCAAGTTTAACATAAATAATTACATCTTGTCTCATAAAAGTTAAGTATTTAAAATTTTTAATTTAACTTACAGGGAATCAGTTGAACCATTAATAAATCAACTACCTGTGAGGGCTTGATTGCAGAACAGGCATTGGAAAGAATACACCTGGGTGGGCATAGTCTTGTAGCAAGGCTCTAAAATATCTGGCAAAACCCTTTTCAAACTTGTCAATTGAAAAATCTGGATTTTTCTAGGAGTATTATTGTTCTTCAGTCTTCTGCAATGTTCCGCTACTTAAAATACTTCTTTGTTTTATAAAATGAAAGTGGTATTGCTGGAGGTGGGAAGAGAGGGGAGGTGTTTAACAGATGCAGTTTCCACCTCTGACTTTCTGTTAAAATTTTGTATTTTATTTACAAATCCTGTCACTGATTTATTTTGGTATGTCCTGATGTTTGACATGGGCAGTGAAGAAGGCACTTAGTGGCATGCTGTGCTGTATGAACAGAGACACAAGCAATAGATCAAAGGAGGAGAGTGATTGTTCCCTTCTGCTCCACAGCTGGGCATAAATTTTGGAGCAGCAAGCACAGGAAAGAAGTTGATAAACATGAGTGGGTTCAGCAGAGGATCACTGGGAGGCTGTGGAACCATGGCTGTTCAGCCAGGGGAAGTGGCAGCTTTGGGGACACCAAAAAGCATTCTTGGCACCAGCGGGAGGGACAGAGGAGATGCACTGGGGCTGTTCACAGTGGTGAATGGTGTGAGGGTGGGGCAGCACCAAAGCTGAAACACAAGCAGATCAGGCTGCAGCCGTGAGGACAGCCCAATGGCAGGGACATGGTCCAGGGTGGTTGGTCTGATGCCATCCTTGAGACTCTTATGATCCGACTGGGTGAAGTCCTGAGCAGTACCGTCTGAGCTCAGAACCAGATCTGTCAGGCCTCAGCCTGGAGATTTCCCCAAGTTCCCCCCAGCCTGAACAGGATCTTGTGAGAATTGGAAAGTCATACTTTTCTTTGCTAAATGCACTAAATAGTATTAGTYACTTGGACACCGTCATCCTGGTACCATGTTATTAGTTTAATGGTGCAAAAGAAGTTGAATCAGGATATACTGAATTGAAAAGGCTCAACAAGGATCATCAAGGTTCAACTCCTGATCATCCCAAGAGTCACACCATGGGCCTGAGAGTTTTGTCCAAATGCTTCATGAACTCTGTGAGKCTTGATCCTGTGACTATTTCCCTGGGGAGCCTGTTCCAGTGCCCGCCCACCCTCTGGTACCTTTTCCAGATATTCAGCCTAAAACTACCCTGACTTCAGGCCATTTTCTCATGTCCTTTCACTGGTCACAACAGTGAAAAGATCTGTGCTTCCCCCAACTATTACCCTCATGGGGATCCTGAAAACCACAACAAAGTCTTCCCTCTGTCTCCTCATCTCCAGGCTAAACAGACCAAGTGATCCCAGCTGCTCCTCGTACGGCTTCCCCTCCAGACCCTACATCTCACTGCCCTCCTTCAGGCCATAGTTCCATGTCTTTCTTCTATTTCTCCCAGCACTGMRGTGAGGCTGCCCCAGTGCAGAGCAGGGCAGGACAATCCCCTCCCTTGCCCGGCTGGTGATGCTGTGCCTGATGCCCCCCAGGACACGGGTGGCCCTGCTGACTGCCAGGGCACAATGACTCACATTCAACTTGCCATAAGACAGGACCCACAGGTCCTTTTCCAGCAGTGCTGTTTTCCAGCATCTGACACCTACCCTTGTTAAACTTCATTTGTTTAGTGATTGTCCAGCCATGCAATTTGTCAAGGTTACCCTGCAGGACTTCTCTGCCTTCAAAAAAGTCAACAGCTCCTCCCAATTCAATGTCGTCAGCAAACTTACTTAGTCCTGCATTCAGGTTGTTAATGAAGATGTTGAAGAGCACAGAGCCAAAGGCGGAGCCCTGTGGAACTCCACTAGTTGACAGGTCACCAGCCTCATGTCACCCCATTTACTGTAACCCTTTGTGCCTGCCCCATGAGCCCATTGCTCACTCCTGACATGATGTGTTTATCCAGCTGTGTGCTGGACATTTTGTACAAGTTCAGGATCAACTAGGAGTTGATCATATTCACTGCCAYGGTCCTCCAGCTCCAGGCACTTGGAGTCCCTTATCAGTGTTCAAAGTAGAGGCAAAGAAAGCATTAAATATCTCTGCCTTKTCATGTCTCTGTTTTTGAGGTAACCACCCTCATCCTGTAACAGACTGATACTATTTCTACAGTACCTTTTACCACTAATATATTTGAAAAAAACCTTTTATTTTATTTCCCCCTCAATCGTGGCCAGTAGGCCACRATTTATCTCCAGTTGAGCCTTGGGTGCTCAAATTTTCTCTCTACAGTGGTGACCAGCACTGGCAGACCCCAGGACCTGCAGAAGCATTCTCCCAGGGTGCCTTATTCAYCAGTTCCTTCAGCAGCCTGAAGTCTGCTTTCCTCATGTCCAGAGTTGAGGTATTGAGTGTTTGTGTTTGTTTTGGGACTGCTTTTACTTCAGCTGCAGCAGCAGCAATATTCCAAGTTAAATGTCACTGGACTATTATTACAGCGATTACTTAGAATCATAGAATTGTCAAGATTGCAGGAGACCTTTAAGATCATCACATCCACCCAGCACTGCCACTGTAACCCCTAAATGCAAACATCACCCAGTTCCAAGTCCAGATACCTCTTAAACATCTTCAGGGATGGTGACTCCACCATCTCCCTGGGCAACCTATTCCAAAGGACTGTTTTGATCCAAGTTCTAAGATGTAGTTGGTGTTGACTATACTAATTTTCTTCAAGAGACAACCCCAGAGGCCTAAATCAGCAGCTCATCTGTAAACAGTTTCTCACGCCAGAACTGTTAACAAATTACTGGTAAAAATAGGATTGCGAGGCTTCAGAAAGCTCTGCCATTCTCATGCATCTAGGTATGGCCTCCTGAAATTACATACAAGGGAAGTCATAACTCAACCACACCCTGATAGCACCTAACTGCATCCAAAAGTTTTTTGCCCACAGTTCCTACATCTCATGGAGGAAGTCCCACAAATCTAAACAATACCCTGTGCTCAGAACCTCCAGTTTACCACAGACAAAATAGAAGCAAAGAAAAACTGCCAGAAAGCTGTTCAATGCTTTTCCTTTAGAAAAACATGGTGGAGCAACACAGGCACCACTGCAATCATGGCATCCTCTTGGCACAGAGAATTAAGACTACCATTCGTTCTTTACTGTAAGGTTCAGAGATGGAGCAGAGGGAGATGCATCTCATAGTAAGGACCACAGCTCCACTTGGAAATTACTTGAGAAGGAACTTTCTGTCATGAACCAGGCTTTCAGAATGAACATATTAATAGTTTTTATGCAAGTCTACAGGACATGTTCTTCCCTGGTGGGGCCTGCTGTCAAGGTAGGAGCAATTTGAGGAATAGCTTCTTCTCAAAAAGCTTCAAATCCAGCCYATATTGGAACTCTTCAGCCTGGAAGCCAGACAATACCTACTTCAAAGTCCCCAAAACCATTGAGAGATAAGGATCCTCAGGATGAACTGAAAGGGATATAATGTCTTTATTTACTGTTACTGAAATGTGTTACTGTTAATGTAGATTTAGTAGTGAAATACTTGCGAGTTTCCACTGAATTTCCCATAAAACTCCTAACTAAAGTTTTTACTAWATCAGATGTGAAAGTACTTACTTGTGTTTCTTTGCTGTCTGCTGGAGGAAGCCTCAAATGTCAGAGAAAAATAATTAAAGGAAGTAAATGAAGAAAAACCCCAGGTTATTGTCCTAGAAAGAAGGAATCATAAGGTCAACAGCACAAAAAACAAGCCATAGCTATTCTTTTTCAAGGGTCAGGCCTGTTATTTTCAGTTTCATCAGAGTGTCTTGGGTTTGCCACARATTTGGCTATCACAAAAGTATGGGTTACTTTGGATTTCTCTCTCTTCCATCCTCTTCCCCTAAAATGTTGTCTTTGAAAAGGCAACACCTATGGAATCCATAGGCAATGCCAGTGCCTTTACACTGATGGAGTTAGCAGCACTATGTCAGAGGAATAAGATTTTATAAAGAGTTTGAGATCAGAAGCAGGATATAGAGTTTCACCTCCTCAYCCATCCAACTCCTCAATAGCAGCATTCTGCATTTACATTCCAGATGGCACCACAGACCGATGAAAGGTTTTATTTTTTTTCCCTTTCTTGTTGGCACTATTGACAAGAGACTCATTCAGAACACAAAATATTCAAGCAGTTGACATTTTGCCCCACAAATCACTTGAGGCAAGTAAGGGTCAGAACTGGTTTTGCTACATAAAGAAATCACATGGATTTTCTTTATTAATGTTTTGATCCTCACAAGACCAAAGGGCACCCTTCAGTTACCATCCTCTTCTGGAAGTGAAGCTTTTCTTCAGGAAAACACGTGATTTGATAAGATCTACAACATTTTCAGAGTGAACAAGGGCTGGCATGTTTCTTGGGAACTTGACACACTTTGATAGCATCCACTTACATTTTTACAAACATAGATATTTACAGAAATTTCCTGCACCTCTTTCACATTTGAAACTCTTACTGAATTCATCCAGATTAACTTGGTCAAATTAGCAAGCTTATGCTTCTCACTGTTTATTCTTCTTTCACCCTTTATTTTTGCCCCTGGTAAAGTTGTGTAGTTTCAAACTTTATTGGGTTTAGCAAAGCCAGCTAGATCCTTCTGGTGTTAATCACAGAATGACTGAGTTTGGAAGGCACCTCTGGAGGTCCTGTGGTCTAACTCCCTTCTGCAGCAGGGCCACCAGGAGCTGTTGCCCATGACTGTRTCCAGATGGCTTYTGCAGATCTCCCATGTGGGAGACTTGACAAACTGTCTAGGCAACCTGTGCCAATGCCCAGTCATCCCCACAGAAAGAAAAGGCTCTCAGATGTTCAGAGAGCACGGCTTGTATTTCAGTCTGTGCCCACTGCCTCGAATCCTTTCTCTGGGCACTACCATAGAAAAATATCTGAAGACAGGTCTGATTTTTTCCATAATTAAGAAAAACACAAGGGTAAAAAAATTACTTCCAAGCCCTGCACTAGTGAAAAGATAACGATGTTAATACTTTTCATCAGACTTCTTAATGAAAGGGATGTTGGTCACTCACATAATCTGTTCTTTCCTATTTTCTTTCGAGTCTGTCAGCCATTTTCACCACATTTAAAGCCCAGTGCACAGCCTCAAAGACAAGCGAAAACTTAAAAGTGTTTAATCCTCCAAACTTTAAAAAAATCTGTGGAAGGACAGAGAGGCTCAGATTGATGGAAAAGCAGTACATGGTTCTTTTATCTTCTCTCTTSTGGCACCAACTAAGGCTGCTGGTTTATCCAGTACCCAGAATCAATCACGGACTGTCATTTCTTGTCTGATCTTGTAAATGGAATTACTACAGTGTTGGYACAGGCAATGTCCAGGCTTCATTAGTTCTGCAGCCCATGGGAGAGACCCTCTTTTTGTTGTAATAATTGCTTCTCAGTATATCACTAAACTGTATTTGCCCTAATCTAAGACATTTCTGCACAGCATAACAGCATCCATCTATGAGTTTTGGTCTACATATTCCAGTTTGCACAGTGCTAATGGTGCAAAAAGTGTGCATTAACAAAGCTATAGTAAAATATGCAAAAACATCAGTCCTCTGTCCCAAAATTACCAGCCTTAGAAAAAAACATGTTTGAATTTAGGAACAGCCCACTCTAGCAGCTTGTACAATCRGGTAGGTGAAAAGGTGTTCATTTTGCCTCTCAAACATATGTAATAAATCCAGAAATAACAGATTTTTCTGCAGCTTATTAAGAGGTGAAGGATGCAGAAGAGAACAAGAAGTTGTCTCCTTGCCCTTTTCATGCTAATTAATGCATTCAGAAGTTGTACTGAAAGGAATTTAAACTCGTGATAGTCATAAGAGAACAGATCAAAGAAGAAAAAACCAGACCAAGTCAAAGAAAGCTGCACATGCCTTTCAGTTAACAGACAGAATACAGGTCTGAAGGAGGTAAGATTTATAATTTTTTATTCTACACAGAATTTTCAGCATTGCGTTAAAATTGCGCTTCAGAAGAGGCTTGATTGTCTCTAAGTGAACTCATGTTTTCTTTCCTTGGCTAGAATTCTCTTCAGTAAAGTCATTGTGTTTTCTTTTTAGGGTATAGGGTAGGTAGATTAGCTGGATACTATCAAGTACGATCTATTGTACTCTTCAGATCACAGAAAAATGATTACTTGTGGATTTTTTCTTCACTATATTAGATTGATTAGATTTTTAACTGTTGACAGCTATGATTATAACCTTATGAGACAGCTATGATTATCAATTAAGGACTGGGAATTAAGATTGTAATATAATTCCTGCACATCTGAGTTAGGTGGTCAACAGATATAGGTCAGTAGTCCCATCTGAAATTCAAAAGACTTCTCAGAGTCTCCAGTGACTGAAAACCTGCTCCCTGAGTATTTACAGGGAATAAGAGAATAGAAAAAAACCTACCTGTAAGAACGATATTAGTTTTTCTTCTCAATAGTTTTTCTTATCCAYGTATATTGCCCTTTTTTCTATATTCTAGATTTTAGTTCAGAAGTTTGCCATCACTTGGTACCTAAAAAGACAGCATCCAATTCTGCAAACTCTTGCACTCAGCTGCACACACTTTGATGTCAGTGGAGATATAATATGTTAGACGATGGTGATGGTTTGGATTTTTGTCTTAAATTTGGACAGTTGCATATGTATATGGATCTACTTGATTCTGAAGATATCASATTGTCCTGCCTCCCTAAAATGCCCCCATTAAAACAAAGAAGATGATAATATTATGTTTTAAAGATAACAAAAAATAACACTGACACACTGTGTTTCTACCCTATACATAGAACAACCTCACAAAATGCCCAGAAGAGGTAACCCCCAGGATGGCAACTACTACAGATGGAAAGGACATACCCATTTTGCCACAGATGAGTAAGTATAAATCAAAACCTATGTTTTGTAAAGGTATGTAAAGCATGTAAAGGTGAAAAAAATTGCATTAAAAGAAATACAGAAAATAGATTCAAAAAAGTCATTATTATATGTATAGGGAGTGCATTTTAACCGTCCTTTAGCTGTCTCGACTGTTTGTCATTGTGCAATCTTAAGGACCCCTCAATGTTAAGAAAAATTAAAACTGCAGGATTCAAGTATCTAGAGTTAAATCATAYGATCACAAGTCATTAGTTTTTCCCAGGTTTATTTAGAATTAGAGGCTTATTTAGAATTTTCTTTTGAAATTGCTGCAAGGTGATCTGTACACTAAATTTATCACTAGATACACAGACGTCTCTTAGGAACCTCAAAGAGACATTGTTTCACCCTAAAGAGCASGGGAAACCCCCAGAGGAAAGGTAAACAAAAAGGGGATGAAGACATCAATGCCATACAACTGTGACTCTCAGTTAATGCTTTCTGGCTAATATTTTGTTTATCTTTGTATTACAGTAAAATATGTTTGGTCTTGGATGATTAGAAACACCACCAAACTTGTGATGTTTTATAACATTAGACAAATACTTCCAATATGCCTGGGATATCTGCATGTGGCTTGTGCTTCTGGTAACTGGCCCCAAAATTAATGACTTGCTGCAGACACTACTGCAGGATTGTTGCTCCTCCATGACCAGCCCTGACAAAAAGAATAAACGAAGTGGAAGGCTCTCTCATAGTCCATTCAAAACAGTTCAGTTCTTAAAAAAAAAAAAAAAAAAAAAAAGCTGGCTAGTCCTGTTTCAGCATTTGAAACTAAGCACACTCACCTCTAAATGCTGTGAATTTTAGTGGCTGCAATTTTAAGTAGTTTTTGTAGATAGGCAAAAGTCACACTCTCCTTTCAGGGCCAGGAGTATTCTAGATATGAGCCCAGATTCCTATTAGCTCAGCTTCAGCTTTAACTGAAATTGCAAAAAATTGCGTACACACTTTCCATACTAGCCTCTGAGCAGTTAGGGAAGGAGTCAGGTGACAAACACAGTCAGAAGCACCAGCTCCAGAAATTACATAYATCCTGGTGGCATACTGGCTAATGCATAGCTAAAACTATGTAACATGTGAAAAGCAGAAAGTCTAAAAATGTAGAGGGCAGCAGCTGCCTGGAGAAGTAGTCTCTCCAAGTTTCAACTGTCTGGGCGAGAGCAGAAAAACCATTTGAGCCATCTCGTACCTTYGGCTGCATCAGAAAGCAAGTGACTGCTGTGAGCTGTGTTCTTGGGTTAAACAGGCCTCCAGGCCACACGAAGCCTTCAAGCGGCAGGAGCAACTTGAGATACGTATTTACGAAAAAGAAAATCCCTTTGTCTCCAAGGGCCTTCATGTTTCAAATAGCACACAGGCAGTTCAGACAAAAAGGCAGCCTGCCACACAAATCTGCTTGCATCTCCTTTCAGGTTTCTTAGTTCATAAGGAAACACTCCTTAATGAGACTTGGGGTCAGTGAAAATGATAGCAAATAGATATAAGAATTCTCTGGTAAGTCACATACACCACTACTCAGCCCCAATGGAAAAGCGTGGGGTAATTACTGCAGGGCAACTGGGCGTAAGATACACAGAAGTATGTTAGAATGGGTTTGTCCTGATTCACACAGTAATTTTTTTCCCCATATTTTCCTCTTTAACCGTTTTGCATATTCTTCTGCTCCAGAACAGGCAAATAACAAAAACATGAGTAATTAATTCCATATGTTTCAAGAGGGAGGATAATAACAAAGGGGTTTTGTGACTAGGAAGTTTGCAATTACTTTGTCAGCTTGCTTTCTGACACAGAGTGGAACTGCGCTGCTTCTGCCAAGTATACAGTGAGCAGTGGGAAAGATGTTTTACAGCACAAGTTTGCAAAGCATATTTTCTCTAAGATGATCCAGTGACACCAATACTGTSCCTAGTTTGTCACACAAGAACAAAATCCTTATAAAGCTCTTTATGAATAATTCRAAGTTTCTTAGTCATGCTTTAAGGTTGAATGTTTTATGTATCCAAAAAACCCGTTATTAGCAGTTGTTGCAATATGATACAATTAGGATAAATTTTTCAATACTTGCTGCCTAGATAAATTTAGCAAATAAACATGAGCTGCATTATTGCAGATGTGGCATTTAAATCACTTCATACTCACTTACAGTATCACAGTGCTGGCAGCTAGATTTATGGGCAGGTCATCTTTATGAAATCAGTACTCACTGCTAGATAATTACCTTGAAAGAAATTTTTAAAAAGCTTAGGAACTTGGCAGAGAAATTAACTAACTGTTAAACATACAAAAATGGCTGAAGTTATTGATATTTTACCTGTTTTCTGAGGTAAATTCTGCTCTATGCCTTCCCCTGATAAAAGGATGCTGACTCAAACTTTTGGTCTAACCATTCTTGTTTCCAGGAGGATGCATCTAGTTGTGGTGCTAACTATTTTGTTTTGTTTTCCCAACAGAGCTCTGGGTATTGGACTTTTTATTTTGGTGCTGGCAATTTTACTTGCTTTTGGCTGCTGGTATTACAGAAGACGTAGTGGCTACAAAAGTCTGCGGGTATGTGTGGCAACTCATTTTTAATCATGTTATTATTTTAACAATGCATTACACTGATCTGCATGAAATTARTTTGATTTGCATCAAATCTGTAACAAGACATTGTTACCTTAGGCAGTATTTACACTGATATATGTCACAGGCAAAACCACACAATATGAAATACAATTGTCCTGAAGAACGAAGGAGAAAGATTTACCCAGACATAAAGGGACATGAAACCAGTTGCCCAACTCGCGCAACACATCAGTAGAAAAATWATTTCTAGGAAGCATTACATTTAATATTTACACAAAACCAAGAGGTGTTCTGCATCCTTTCACTTAAACAGAAGTAATATATTCAYTATTTGTAAGATTTACCCCTAAACAAGGCCAGATATGATTAGAGTAAATCTAGAAAGCAGACAAGAAAGTTACAAGTTAGTAAGTAAATATGCTTATGTATGGGTTATGTGTGATTAATYCATGTAAAATTTGACTTGCCGTAATAAAATTTACCAAAAAGGCTGAGGCAGGTTTGAGATTTGTTTTCTAAACCCTACTTATAAATATTCTAACTTGTGTCTTCTTAGAAAATAAAAAAAAAGGTACTGGTGATAGCCAAGCCTTCTGATAACATCTGCTGTTAGAAGCCTCAAAGGTTTATTTTTGAAGTTTTCCCCCCTCACCTATGAAAGGGAAGTCTATTTTAATCCTTTCAAGTGGAAGCTTGTTGTGTTTGGGAGACAGCAACTAAGCATGATGTAGCCACTTGCTTACTTCCTGCTGCCAACCTGGTATGGAGAAGAATTGGAAAGAAAAGGTGAACTGCTTGAGTTAAGAACAGTTCCATAATAGAAACAAAATATAATCATCTACTACTACTACTACAAATCATAATAATGAAAAGGTGAGAGAGGAGTAAAACCCAAAAGGAACAAATTTCCCACTACCTTTGGCTGATGAGCAATGATCGGCCCCTCCCAGCCAAATCCCTCATTTATATACTGGGCATGATATTCTCTGGTGTGGAATATCCCTTTGTTCAGGTCAAGTGTCCCAGCCAAGAGCCCCACAAGTTTCTTGTGCACTTGCTCAGTCGCAGAGGATGAGCCACTGAAAAATCCTTGTCTTAGAGTAAAAGTTACTGAGCAACAACCAAATCATCACTGTGTTATCAGCATTAGTCTCCTAATGAATCCAAAACAAAACTTTGTACCAGCTGTTAAAAAGAAAACGAACTCTACTCTAGCTGTAATCAGGACAAAGCTTTATCCAAATATATGTTTTACAGTAAGTATCTTTTACTTATCCTAGTATTTTGAAGAAGATATAAGTAACTATTTGGGATTTAAAAACTCAGCTAAGCTCTCATCCAAGTCAGCAAATCCATTTATTTGCTGTTTCTGATAACTTTGTCCTGTTCCCTTTCCAGTTATCTATCCAATTCATATATCAACTGGCAGAACATACAAAACCTGAACTTTCACAGTGCTGTGTTGCAAAAATGAAGGTGATACTCAAAAAACCTCCTTCAAAAGTCAAACTAAATACCTGCTTTGTATATCCCGGCAAAAAGCACAACCAGCTTTTCAGTTCCTTCTCATTGCAGATTGTTGCTTTCTGGTTTTGAAAATCATGTTTTTCTTAGGCTTTTTTTTTTTGCTAGGGGACAACTGGTACAGAATATATGCAAAAAATGTTGGAAAAATGGAAAACAAAAAGGTTGGAGATGAAGGAAAAAAAATGGGTGGCATAAAAAGGAGCAGGCGTTCAGGTACATGAGATGTGAGTTCCTGCATCAGTCCTGGACCTAAAATATGTGACACCTTATTTTTCTGGCAATGTAATTGGATTACACCGGAGAGAAAGTATGTCTCAGTAGAGACAGCAAAAATGTTAGSTAAATTGCAAGAAATTGCATACACATTTTCCATACTAGCCTCTTGCATAGTTAGGGAAAGAGTCAGATGGCCAACACAGAGGCACCAGCTCCAGAAATGACATACATTCTGGTACAGACCAGCCACCAGCACCTTATTCACCACAATAACATGAAATTTTGACTTGCATTGTGTCTGGCCCTAACCCGAGATTCTAATWCACACTGTAAATCTGCTGTCAAATTTTAAATTATACAAAATTTGCTCCAACTTCACAGTCTCTTCTTTTCAACTTCCCCATTTTTATGATCTGTCACAGAGCAAAAGCTTTAGTGTGAGCACAATACGAAACGTGGTAGGTGAGAGAGAACCCCTGGACTGCAAAATGGCTCTGCAGGACTACAACGACTTTAATTCTGTGGTAAGTTCTGTGGTAAGTTGCAACTCAAGAACTCACTTACTTAAAATTTAGTAAGACTAAATGGTGAAACAATATTGTTAAACAGGCACTTGATGATTTTTTCCTTGGTGTGTGGTTTCATAGATTGGATCATCAATATCTCAACACCAACTAACAAAGTAGTATTTTGAAAAATTTGCACTGGGAAAAACTTTTACAATTTTAAAACTCTTCTAGTTAGAGTATTTATTTTAAAAAATTATTTTCTTTCATTTACATCTATTCTTAAGTTGTATGATCATTATGCAATCTATTAAAATGATGCAACACCTGAATGGTGAAATATAGTGAAAAAACCCAAGCATTGCTCTAAYAGATTTTCTGATATTCTGGCAAACAACAAATGGATTGTGTCTGTTACACTATACTCTGACAAGCATTGTCAGGGAACATTACAAAACTTCAAAGTGTTAGCTCTTCTAATCACTATGGAAAGATGAATGTTTAAACTTTCAATTTTCAAAAAGGTAAATTAAGTGACAAGTATATATAAATAGGTGTGATTAAATTGCTTTAGAAATGAGAAAAGACTAATAATTTTAAATAAGATGCTCAAGTTTTTAACACTAGAAAAAAGACAAAGTGCCTCCATTAAAACTCTTAAAGAAAAGCTTCAATATTTCTTTGAATTATACCCCACCTATGTAAGAAAAATATTCCTGACTTCACAACACTGGAAATCCTCTCTTTGGTTAACAATAGCAATGAAGTGAATCTGATGCAAAACCAAAAAACACTGTACCAAAAAAGTAACCTTGAAAATACACACAATGAACCAGCTCAGGTACTTTAAGTCGTAGAACTGTATCTAATATGGTGGTAAATACTTTGCTGCATGTTTTATGTAATTTTCTTGCCATTTTTCTTGTACCTCAACTGTTCGTTTTTTTTTTTTTTAATCTTTCACACCTATTTTCCTTACCATAGGTTCCTGATGCTCCACCAGCTTATGACAAAATTGCTGCAGATCAATCACCACCACCTTATTCACCATGATAACATGAAAATTTAAACACTAAACATACCGACTTTCCTTTTCCATGCTTGCTCTTAATTTCCTGCACATACCTAACTTTCTTAAAGCTAAAATCATATGAAAGAAAATAACACATTTTCATTAGCAGTTGCTGAAAAGTATTCTCACTTAATTCACAGAACTGGTCCTTAAAATGCCTTAATAATTCTGAATGTGCTTTTAAATATTTCACTTATTGTGGTCAGATTAATACRTTATGCTCTGGTCATCTTGAATACTTCACAGGTCCACACAGATCTGTAATTACATACTATTCAGTATGAATCAGAGTAAAAAGTGATGGCACTGTTGTGTTCACCTTCCTCATTTAGTGTCCCTTTCTTAAACAAAAAGCAAGAAAAAAAAACCACCCCAAACTATTCCTTAGAATGTGATGTACAATGAGCAAAACCATGTCCTGTTACAGACTGTTTTCCTCAACAGCAGTTTTTAAATTAACTTCAAAAAAAGTGACTGTTTTACAACACTTTTTGACTTCACATCACTTGTTTATCTACCTGTAATCAATTAATCCTGTTTTAAAAAAGATCAATCTACCTGTGATTTGGTATAATGAGACCACCTTTAGTTTCCTTGTGGCAGTCGTGTGAGAAAGCAAAAGAACTTTGAAAATAAAAAGCTTTACATGTAATTTGTTTCTAACATGACAAAACTATATAAGAAAATGCAGGAAAACCACTTTTCTTGAAGAATACAGAAGACAGCCGATTCCAAGGTGTTAATTTTCCCAGCTTGCCAGAACACTAGCAATAATACAAAACAAAGCATATTTATATGCATAAATTTGCTAGACACATTTGATAGTTATTGTTTGYTTAGCCTTTTTGTTATTGCTTATTTGCAAGATTATTACTTAAGATTATATGCAGATCAACAAATTTGTACAAAAGGCCTRATAGCTCACAGCAGCAGGCAGCTAAAACTGTACAACATTCATTCAAATCAAAAGTTGTTACAGAAGAAAACTAATGTCATAAAGCAATTATTAACTGCTATAAGAAAAGAATCTAGTTCTTTGTCATCAAATATGCAAATACAAACACCTTAAAACAAAACCAGTTTTAAACACAAGGCACATTTACTTGCCAAGCATAAACCCTATATATTTTGATAAATAATAAAGCCGGTTTTTAAATTTTTTTTTTAAATAAAATGTTTATCTTGATTGGTAAAATTGTTGTAATGTAAGAAATATCTGTAATTGCTGTGAAAGGTTATATTCCACCCATATGTTTTTATAAATTTAGTTGATATATTTATTTAGAAACGTAGAGAGGTATTTTAACCTAAAAAGCCGTCTTACCAATGTCACTTTCAATATCTGCTTGTCAGGAAAAAAACTGTGGAACTGTTTAGTAACAGGAAGAATACATACGAAAAATATTTTTTARAAGCCAGTTTATAGCTGCTAAGCACTAGAGATGCAGAACATAATGGTTGACTAAGYTTTTTGCAGGATGATAAGCTAAAGCTTGAGGCTGATATCTTTAGCAACTCTGTGCTCTGCAATTCTCTGCTCTAGTCAAAGACGGTGTAGTGCTAAAGTGGAATGAACTCACATATGCATTCATTCTAAGAAAAAAAATTAATTGCTATAGAGATTATTTCTATAAAGAGTTAAAATGCTTACAGTTCAAAAAGCTTTACTTGATCCCACATATTTTTAGTAATGTCAGAACTAATATATTACCAGCTGTTGCAAAAGCTCATGAGGAAGTTAACATCAATGAAGTAGAAATATTAATTTATTTGTAGAATTACATAAGGTCAAATTGCTAGAAATCCTCAGCAGCCAGAGCTGGAACAATTAAACTTTGACCTGAATTTATAAATACTTAAAGGATAGATGAGCCCTCATGGAAACCTATCCTTAATTTTCAGAAAATCCTCTTTTTTTTCTCCCTGTGAAAACGGTATTTTTGCTTTACAGACACAGTTAGACAGTGGTCTCAGATTTTAGTACATTAAAATAAGACCATGAAATAGAGCTTCACAGAGAACTCTATTAAATAGGTGTAAACTTCAGCACTCATTCGCAATACCGTTGCAAATTCCATTTTTCAAACCTGGCTCTATATCCAGTAATGGTACACTTCAGAATTTGGCTGATGGCTCATTAAGAAAACACAGATACAAGATAGAAGAAAGTACCACAAACTTTCCATAGGAAGAAGTCACTTTTTTTGGAGTCTCACTAGTCAAATGAAACATGACTGGCATTTGCAGGTGGTTGCTAGGACAATCCACTGACATTTACCTCAGCATTCTCTTTTGGCTTAACTCCTGTTACAGATGGGGATATATGTATATTAGCTTGGCCCTAAGAACTGTATTAGTATTAGCCATATTGCTTGTAATTTTTCAGTGAAGTATTTTGATTCATATTTATGTCTAGTATCGGTGAAATATCCATTGCTTTGTTTGTGTTATGTCAATGTACTCACATGATAAAAGAGTACTTATTTTTTTCTTTAAAAAAGCAAACTTTTCACTTCTTACATAAAAGGTTAATGAGTTTATTCATCTTTGGAGAAGCAGCATTTATTCACTTGTCCTTTTCTGCTGACTGCATATTAAACTGTGCAACAAAATTGAAAGGTTGTTGTGTGTTCATGCAATTTCATTAAACATATTTTACTGCCCATTAGAGCTGAAAAGTGCTTGAAGATTTCCACTGTTCCTTTGGACACACATCCACAACGAGCGTTACATACAGTAATAAAGGTAAACTAGAAGCAGTATAAAGTTTAAAAAGCTATCTACAGCTACTATCTACACATCCCATACAGGCTGCCTGCTAAAACCTAGCACTTGTGTCCATTTTGGAATTGATTGTCCATATTTTGCATCCTTAGAGAACCTCCAGTTTTCACTTTACTTTCCTTTCCTTCCAAAATGTCCTTGGTTCAAAGGCAGCTGCCTTAGGTTTCTAATGAACAAAATGAACTTGCTGTAAAAATCTAACCCTTCTAGATGTTTGTCCACATAGATTCTACTTTTAGATTGTGTGTCAACACAAAAGACTGTATTTTGGGGGGTAGCGGTGTTCCGAACAGCCTGTGTTCAAAGCAATAGGAAAGAGAAAGGCTYGGCCACCTCATCCTCATCCACCATGAACCATCTCTCAAATCACACTGGATCCCATCTCTCACACTGGAACAGAKTGTCCAGAGAGGCTGTGGAGTCTCCCTCACTGGAAGTATTCAAGAACCATCTGAAGCAATCCTGTGCCATGTGGTCTGTGATGACCCTGCTTGAAATAGGGAGACTGGACCAGCTGACCCTCTGTGGTCCCTTTCAGTTGACCCACTCTCTGAATCTGTGATTCTACGATACTTACTCATCAAAAAAAAAAAAAAAAAAAAAAAAAAAAAAAAAAAAAAAGTACCAGAGACTACTGGGCTCTATTTAACTAGAGGAAAAGGGACAGAATGTATAATCCATGGTACCAACACTTTTGACATTAAAGTTACAAATATAACACACAGTTATTGCCTCCTCTTGCTCCCCTAGAAAGCTCTTGGCATGGGATAGGTCCAAACTCCAGTGGGTCCAAACCCACTCACATGGGTGAAAATCTGAACAATGCTTGAGCAGCACATGTGCCTTCACATTTTCAAGCTATTTTAGTATAGCCCCGATTACATGTCTGGACCACGTGCTTTATTTGCTCCTTTCCTGAGAGATACATGTGTCCACATCAGTTGAGTTCAAATCAGTAAAAACAAGGAAGGATTGCCTAATATAAATAGTTCAGTCTTTCATTATTAGTTTTGTTAAGGTCTTTTCAACTCTGCTAGCTTCCATCTCTGGATGGGAGAAAATTCTCTGCTGCATATTTGCTATGTTATCTGCTTACATAGAAAAGCAGCCCTCCTCCTTCACAACTCTTCTTTCAATTTGCCTTACCATCAGCTGCATTCTTGCAGCTATAAGGGGAACAATTGGACTCATTTTGGTTGAAAAGCATTTTCTTAAGAAAAAGGTGTAATCTTCCAAATTCTATCAAATTCTTTCCCACTTACCTTGGAAAAAGTAATTGATTTCTCTTTCTCCATAGCATCATATACACCCCAAAGAACTCATTGCTCCTGACACTCTGCAGCAAAACAGTTGCCCTTTTAAAACACTGTTCAGTGCTAGATTTGATTCTGCAGTTGTTTTCAGGAGCAATTTTAGCACTGTCACCTGGTAGCCATACTCAGGAAAACCTTGGAATTGCTTCAGAATTTGCATTAAAACAACAAAATCATATGGTAAGCATGAATATTAATCTCCTATAGAGAAATCCTTGCAAGGATTAAAATATGTCAGATGTCTGTCTTGAAATAAATTAATCCTATTTCTCTATCTCCAGGAAACTCAACCTGAACATTTTTTGTATTGACACAGACTTACTGTCTTTCTCACATTTGCAATTCCCARTATGTGTAGCCCACGAGAGCTTCACTTCCTGGATTTTGGCCGTAACAACAATTTTGGTCAAGTCCTCATTTAGAACTTCTGATGTTTAACAGGATCTTACCACTTCTTAAAATGGAGAAGCAGTTTTATGCTTTTATATCAATGTTTTTTCTGCTCTGCTTCTCTTAATTACTGTTCACCTTTTTCCAGTACCTGACTCTTTAGTTGCAAAATCCACCCTTTCATGGCACAGACAAGCTCAGGCTGAGTTTACACAATTCTTCTGGAATTACTGTAAGAGAGCGTCTATACATACTGGGAAAATTAACTCATACTTCATCTGTTTCTTAGTTTTTTCTACTAAGCATTCTCTACTGGCCACTACAGTGAGTGAAATGCTGAGTCCAAGGTACAGCTCATACAAGGACAGGGTTGCTGCACCAGCCACATCGCTTGCATTTCATGTGCTTAAGTATGAAATTAACTTTCAGACATGGCCTCTTTCAATGAAAAGGTTTCGTTTTCCATCAATTTCTTCAGCCATGGAAGAAGGCAAATACTTCAGAAAGGCCTCTCCCACTTTTAGTTCTAAGATCACACTGCACAAAGCATTCCACTGGCAAGWACAATATTTTGAAGGTGTAACATCTAATTGAACTGTAGAATACTGTCCAGACAAGCCTCAAACAAACTACTGTAATTTCAGTACTGGTATGTTGCTAATATGAATTCACAAGGTTTTTTAAAAATAGTTATTAGCAATCCCTCCTTCCCAGCAGCTAAAATTGATTGTAATACTAAAAATACCTGCTTTTTATACTGTGTAAGCAGAATCCATCATGATACTACTCTTCCTTTATTATAAGGAAGACAGCCCATGGCTGCATAGTAATACCCAGTCACTAATCTCTCTCTAGTATTCAATTTCACTGCTGCACGTGATTAAAAGAAAGAGTGAGGAATAACTACAAATAACAGCACTTTACATGGACAGATCTCAATGTATATAATGGTACCAGATGCCAATGACCTCTTGACAACCAAAACAGTCTGATTTTATACTTATTTATCAGATAGAATCAATATGAACTACTAATTTAAGGAGTATATTGTATTCTTTTTATGACATCAGCATTGACAAGCAAAGCTCTAAAGCCTGAAGACAATCACAAAAATCAGTTTATTTTTTATTATCTTCCTTTCCTTTGCTATTTAATTTTTATAAATTCTGTTTGTCAATGCTCCTCACATTCTTGAAAATAATTGCATTTTCCAAATAATTTTTTCTTTATTGTAAAAATTTAGAATAGGGGAAGATAAAGCAGTAATCTAGGTATCTAACCTTTAGTTATGGAGGGGATGCTGGAAGAAGTCAGGGGACCAAGGATTCTATTCCCAGTTCCTTCATGTTGCTATGAGAACTCAAAACTTCATTATCTTCATCTGCAAAAAGGTGGAAAATCATATTTATGCACATTTTAATAGATCTTCTGTGTAACAAACACTGTATCAAGAAATAGTATAAGCAATTTCTTTACATTCTTTACACTTTCTTTACACTTTCTTTACACTGCTTTTACATACCATTTTCATTTAACTCAGCTGAGATTGTAATAAAATACTGTAAGAACACCAACTTTCTGAAGAACTTCTGGACCAGTCACATATGAAACAATGAAGTATCCTGGCTTCCAAGTTTATGCAAGACATCCAGGTTTGATTACTGACCAAACAATTCCATATTTTGAGAAAAGAAGAAAATACATCAAGATATATCAGGATGTTAAAGTTTGCTTTTATGCTACCGTAGTTTCAAGCAAAATATCTTAAAATATCGTTACTCTGTCTGACATTCACAAAGTGGCTTCTTCGACAACTAAAAAATCTTTATCTGGATGCCAATACGTATTARATGACTATATAGAGACCTTATCTTGTACCCTATACACAAAAATAATGACATTAAAAAAGCAGCCTGTTCAAAATCATTAGAGCAGTTTATCCTTTTACACCTTCTAGAGAGTTAAACCAAGCAAACTAGGGAGTGCCAGACTTGCAGTGGTTTCAATAACCTCGTTTAAAGATCGTATCTTTACAGCTACAATATTCTGCAAGTGGTATAGTTTTGTAGGATAATTGAGTTGATACTGATGTGAAGGTGGTTTACAATTGATACTTCTATGAAAAAGTTAGTATGAGGCTAAACAATAGGCAGAAACCAATCCAGCAACATTGAAATAATAATTATGAAAGGAAAATCATCAACACACTGCTGAATAGATCATAGTGCTTTCATAATATGCACCTGATACCATATCTCCAGGATATAGTAAAATTGAAAATATATACACAGCAATAACAGCAACTGATTACTTCACTGAAAGAAATAATTGAATTCACGATTTCTCTTTATTCTAGAAAAGAGACAACAAACATGGCAAAGGTCTACATAGGCCACATGAAAAAAATAACAAAGAGCAAAGGCTTATTGTATCTTACAGTATAAATATTATTTGCATCAAATGAAACTAGCAGATGACAGGTTTGGAAAACAAAAAGGAGATTTCTTTACATACTCTTTACCAGTAGATGCTSTGCATGGTAATAGTTTTTTTACAGGCTTGCATGAATTCTTGAAAGAATTAGTGTACCTCATCAAGAGAAATACGCCGAAAGCTATTAAACTGAAAAAAATCACAGCTGTGTGAAGAAGACTGGCCCACACATTAGTGGATACTAAAAGCATATTCAAGCCTCTTACTGGGCTCTTTTGGAATGCTACTGTTGACTGCTTCAAGAGACTAGGTGATGCTGGGATAGATGGCCATGATAATAGGATAGATGGACCTTATATCTGATGCTGCATTATTAATCTTTTTTATTAATTTTACTTTGAGCCATTAAACTCATTTTAGGTGCAGCTTGTAAGGAGCAGTCTACATGAGATGAAGTCTTTGTGAGCACCTCTGGCCATTCTTTTTAAAGGAAACATTCCTTAACAAACATAACAAACATCCATGCCTTAATGAAAATCATTAATTTACTTTAAAATTAATTCAGGCTACTAAAATTCTGCGCTACCACAAAGTATAAGCAAAACCAACTATGAACCACACACATTGTGGTGGCCATGGACACCCTTCAAACGATAACTTTCAGTAATTTTCTGACCCACTCCCATGAAACAGATTAGTTTCTCTACACTCAGTTAGCAGGAGAATTTTTGCTTCCCTTTACATATTGAACCCTTTGCTATGTCACACAGTGAAATCAGTACACATTTGAATGACTTGGTTTGAATAGACACTTCTATGATGCCTAAGATTTGTGAAATTTTATTGTTTCTAGTGTAGCAGAATCCCTACAAGAAAATGGCATCACACACATGGGGGTTTGAACAGTGAAGCAATGTTAATGCAGTTTTCTACTCCTAGCAAAGCAAAATCATTGTGCAGAACATTTCCGTTCAAGTAAATAGAAGGATGTAATTCAAAATATTCAAAGTCGTTAATAAACCTGAAATTTTGCATGTGATACAGCATATGCACACCTGTATAAAATATCTGATGGAGTCTAAAAGCAAGGCATTTTACAAGCTCTGAAAAGTGAAACGTATTTTCTTAAAAGGTTGATTTATATTTCTATGTTTATATGCTTCATTAAATGTGTTTTTAACTTCAAGTCAAGATACAGGCAGTTCTGCTTTTTCATTCTGTCTGAATATAATCCACTTTTTGTGCTAATGGTAGCACTACACTTTTGGTAAAGAGCAAAAGGTACATAGCAAATTGTCAATGGGTATTTACTTTCATTTGAAAAAAAGGCTTATCTCTGACTGACATTTATATTATCAGACAGGAGTATTGAGAATTGGGATTTTATTAACAAAAATTACTAATGTTTGGGTTTATGCAATGAATGTTGCAAGCCCATTACGTAGCAGTCTCAAGTCTTTCTCAAACAGGATTTGGAATGTGAACATATGTCTAGCAGAGAATAAAAATGTATGAAAASTCTCATCAAACTGAATCAAACTTTTCATGTTATAAAGTTTATGTCTGCCAAATTATAAAATATTTATGAAAATCATAAAATATTATTATATTAATTCAGAAAATTTCTTGGAAATCATTCAAGCAAGTTACTCAAGTCCTGAGTTCCTCAGTTCAACTTTTCTAACTTTTCCCTTTATTAGAATCAATTATAGCATACATCTTTCTACTACATTAGCACACAGAAAAATGTCATGCAAGAATTTTTTCCCATCAAGAACATCTCCAATACTAGAACCTAGTCTTGAGCTTTCCAAACAATGTAGACAACTCACTCTACAGTAAATATAAATAAAAAATAAAAAAAAAAAGAGAAAAAAACATTGCAAAAAGAGAAAAATTCAAGAAAGTGAGTTCCAAGGTTCAACCAAGTGAAAGAAAATGAGTTGCTGGTATGTATGGTTTTAGAACATGTAAAATGTCCATGAAGAAACTGTCATTCTCTGTCATCTCCCTCTGCTGGAAAAATCACCTGCAGCATTCAACTGTGAAATGCAGTCAGACTTAAAAATCCTTAGTACTGTAAACTCTGGCAGGCAGAACCATTACTACCAGATGTCTGCAAAATCAGTTACAGAACACCTTTAATGAGAAGTAGGACATGTGCAGCAGGTAGCTTTCTCTAAATTTAAAAAAACCTTCTTTCATTCCAAAACTGACAGCTTCCATCTYTCCCAGCGCTCAGGTAAGATGGAGATATCTGATCCAGAAAGATGCAATTTCCCAATGCAGTTCTTTTAGTTAGTGCAAAAGGAAACGTCCTCTGCAGAAGGCACAAGCCTTTCTTCCCCCCCTTTTCCCAGAACTTTAGCTAAATAGTTACCAGGTTATATTCCAGAACCATTTACAGGGCAGCCGACAAAGAGGGAGTAAGATGTGGTCCTGTTCCTCAACCCAATAACTGAACTGCCAAACTGTGTACAGCTAAAGGAGAAGGGAAGTAGAAAATTCAATAGGTTGAGGAGCAAGGTTGAAGCTTCATCTTTATGAAACTCATCTAACACTGCTAAATACAGATATGTAAGCTCTTATCCCCTTTGAAGTCACAGCTATTTAAAAGGCAACTATAATTCATAAGCTTTTCTGAAATCTTTGCTTCTAGTTTCTAAAAACCCCAAACCAACAAACTCCACAAAAAATCCAACACGTACGAAGACTACAATTCTAAAATCATCATCTTCCATAAGATGGGCACCCTTTCTCTCTATGTAAAACCACAAAAGATATCAAAAAACATATCTCCATGAGCACTGCAGCAGGCAGTTGTGAACTCAGCAAATCTGCAGAAAACCCAAAGGCTTTRTCAGATCAAATGCTGAACTAAGTCAATAAATACTGAATACACTGTATAAAAAAAGGAAGGTTTATGCAATATGTGAATTATCCCCATTCAAAGCACTAATAAAGCTTCTTTTAATATTGTGTGATGTTTTAGCAGCCTCCTTCCAGATAGACCTAAAGAAGGTCTGTCTCCTTCCAGACAAGCTAAAGAAAACACACAGATGTAGAAAGCATGACCAGTGTAACAAATGGGTAGTTTGTTATGACTAGAGGGAAGATTAGTGAGTGACCTTGATACAGTTACCAGATATGTGGAAATGCATACAGGACTGTAAAACAGAGAAAAATGAACTGTTCAACAGATCTTTTGAGCTTTGAGACAAAGCATGGTAGTCCTTAACAACAATCAGTGTGACTTACACTGGTGTCTAGGAAGCCATTTGTAGCCTTAACACTTCACTGGAGTTATTTAGGCAATACAACCAAACCATTAAGAATGGATGAAGTATGTGTTATCCTGCCCTATTATCATGAAGAGCAATAAGGAGGCCTTCCTTCCAAATCTGGTGAAATCACGTGAAATGTAAAATCAGAGAAGAACTGAAGAGATTAAATAATGTCATTCTACCATATCCCAAAAGAAATATGTATGTGTATATATATGTACATATATATGTATATATATGTGTATGTACATACATATATATGTATATATGTGTATATATATAAATACACACACACACACACATGTATTCTCCCAGATCCACATATTTTTAACTACTGCCAACACAAAGCAGTACAGCAACTTGATTTATTACATGCAGATTCTCCTGCATTGTTGCTAAACAGTACACTGGTCCAAATTTACTAAAATACTTAAAAAACTATACATTATGTAAACAAAACATAAATAAGACAGCATAGTTCTTTGTACATATTGTTTAGCACAGGTTTTTAGGAATTCAGGAATATGTACAATCCTATACTATAGATCGCATTTTTACAATGCATAATTTTTTTTTAAAAGAAACAAGTCAAAAATAAATTTGACAAATAAAAAAGGAATATATACTGTCATAAACACACTGGCAAACAGTCCATAATATAAGATGGAGCATGTGCAAAAMGTGAGATTTCTCCAAACTGTTTCATGAACTCATTGGTCATTTTTGAGTTTTTTATTAGAGAACTCTCCGAAAATTTCTGACAAACTGAAGTCTTTCTTCCTTCAAATCCCCACAGGTAAACAGCTAAGAACTGTAACCTTAGTAATATGGAATAAATCAACTGTTTAAAACACTGTAAGAAATAACTCAATAGTTACAACTTCCAAGGTTTGAAGAATGCCCCAGAATTTCAAAGTGGCTCATCTGCAGTAAATTCAGGATGCAGCTTTGTCAGGTTTATCAAGGCAAGATGACTGAGATGTAGGGAAGACAGTGGTAGGATTTCTACTTGTGGAAACAACAACAGGAAGCAGTGATGAAGACAGGGAAGAAACTTTTGGTGCTGGAGTATGTAGTGCATTCAATATGGCTCCCTCTGGACTGACCAACAGTTTTTTGATAGAAGTGTCTAAGTGAAACATTGAAGTGCTGCTTGGTAAATGAGAATTTGGAGGATGAACAGCAGAAACAGAAGATGTAGCTACATTAACAGGAGATTTTGCCACTGAAGATACAGACAGATTTCCCGCAGACAATGGAGTACATGAGCTAGCTGGAGCACTAAATATCTGGGGTGTTGCATGTACAACAGGTAAAGCATCTGCAGCTCCAAAAGAGTTCACAATTTTTGTAGAGCTTTTCAAAGGATGTTTTGGTATTTGCCAACTTAATGAATGACTTGGTGCTAGGATGATTTTCGAGGTTATTGGATTAACAGTTGGTACACCTTGAGGCTCTTGACCATGGTTAACAGTTAAAGGAGTCTGTTTCGTATTACAGGAGAGAAGAAGAACATGGCTGCCAGCTCCAAGGCCTTGCAGTGGAACAACAAAACGAGTACCATTAATCATTATCTGAGTTCCAGGTGCCAAAGGCATACAGGTATTAATGACTATTTTCTGTTGAATGGAAGGTTCATTGAACTGACCTCCTGTTTTGCTTGTTACAGGTGGTGAAGCTTCAGACATCTGAACACAAGTAGAAGCACAAGTACAAGCATTACTTTGCTTGTCTGTACTGGGAGGCACCTGCTGGCACTGTAGGGCAGAAAAATTGGGAAAACTAATGCCTTCACCTGTATTTGGTGATGGAGGGGGCAACACACTCTGAGGTTTGTGAATACCTGCATGGTTTGACACAGCAGCTGAAATTCCTGATGACTGAAACTGAACCAGTGTGGGCAACTGGCTTTTTGGTACTGGAACAGGAGCTGGARCTGCTGCCAACTGAGGAACTGTATGTAACACCTTGTGAGGGGTGCCTGCAGATCCAGGTGAGCTAATGACTGGAAATTGCAGAGCAGATGCTAAACTTTGTGGAGATACTGTTGGCTGTGTTGAAATCAGCACAGATGAAGCAAGATGTCCTGTTTTTACAGTTGATATACCCACAGTATTTCCAGTATTTGATGTATAAAGTCGATTACCCAGAACTGGCCTTATTTTTGTGGGATCATTGGCATCAATCAAGACAGTAGGCTGTGTCCCAGAGGAAGTGCCACTTGATGTTACTGAAACAGATTCTACACATGCATTTGCTGTTGTTACTGTAAAGGCATTTACAGCTTTTGTTGCAACACATACAGATTCATTAGGTGACATAATGAAACTTGGAACAGGAACCACAGTACTACTTGTCAAGGATGGGCTCAAGGCTGCGCTCATTTTGTCTTCTCCCTTAGAAATGCCAGAGTTCAAAATATTAACTGGTAGGGCCTCCTGTGGACTGCCTTTAGTATTTACAATAGTTTGACCTATATTTAATCCAATTTTCACATCTTTTACTTGAGCAATAGTTGGTGATGAATTAATTCTGACTGGTGCTCCTATGGTAGATGGGATCAAAACCAACTGTGGTTGCTCTGTGGCACTTACAAGGGTTTTCGTTAGGGAAGAAGGAAGATTCTGTTTCAATGACTCTGCAACTAGATTGGTGGTTGATGTGCCATTGGCAATTTGTGTGTTAATAAGAACTAGCTTCTGAGCATTAACAGCAGTGGATGCTGGAGAGGGTATAATATTGACCCCTGATGCCCCAGAGGGAGATAAAATAGTTGGATTTGTGATTAATGCAAATTTCTGGACTGCAGTACCACTGATTAAATCTCCATTTGTTGCACAATTAGGCTCAGATTGTGTAATAAATTGTGTTTTGGTTTTAGTATCCCCTTGATGCTGCACAGAAGAGTTTGGTGTCTTAACAGAATTACTTTGTCCAAGGCTAGTCACACTAACAGGACTGTTTGGATTTGGAGTTGCAGATACCAAATTACTAGCTAATGAAATGGAGGATAAAGAAGACACATGGCGGGAGTGCTCTCTTACTTGACTCGAAGCGTCCCGAACAGTTGGCTGCTGTTGTGTGAATTTGATATTTTTCTCCATTGCCTTGGTAAAATCAGCATGGAGAGCTGGAATGTTGATAGAGGAAGCTGTTGAGGGGACAAATCCAGAAGGAGAYGGTTGTCCAGTATGTGAGAGACCAGATGTGGCTGTTGCTACCGGTGGAACACTAGAGCACGATACTGCAGTGGTTTTTGGAACAAGAAAGGCCTGAAGTTGAGATGCATAAGTGAAAACTGAACTAGAACATAAACTACTAGGTGAAATCTGATCTGGGTTTGTTTGCACTTTAACAATTCCGGTGTTTCCGCCTCGTGTTGTGACCAGAATAGATTGCGATTCTCGTACACACACCGTCTTCAGCTCTTGCTTAGTTTCAAGGGAGTCARCTTGCTGTTGTGGTGCAAGACTATGACAGGCAGAATCAGTGTTTGTAGATGCACTTAATGCTGTTGCTGGTGTCAAGGACTGGCTAGCTGCAGAGAGAGTAGGTGAAGCCACAGATACAGGCAATGTAGGAGTCGAAACTGTAGTCTTGATTTTGTTATTTTCAGTTTGCCTTACCTTAACTGCTGATGAAAGTAACCTATCTGCCGAAGTTACTTCAGGCAATGGTTGTATAGTGTTCATGGGACCAGTCACTGGTGACGAGTGAGTACTATTCTTGCTAATTGTAGTGGGTGACTGAGTGACATTTGCAGGGCCTGTTACCAGAACACTGACATTGGACATTTTTGGTAAAGATGTACAATGCATCTCAAGTGATTTTTGTTGTAGTGACTGAATGTCCTTGGATGCATTTTTTTCTTCCTTCTGCTGAAGAAGAAAATTCTTAGGTAAAATAAGAACTTGTTGCATGACTTTTTCTCCAGTTTTAGGATCCATCATAGCTTGCATTTGAATTTTCACTGAGCTGTTGGGAACGTCTATSGGTACACAGTGGCCATTTGGCATTTTGTATACCATTTGTAAAGGAGTCTTTGAATTGGCCTGGCAGGGCAGTGCTGGTTTGATCAATGATGATTCTGAAGTTGGTAAAACTGACTTTTCAGAAGTTGATATGTTTATGCCTGCAGTAGGCAACAGTTGATTTGTTAAGGTCACTTTGTTCCCAGTATTCTTGGCAATCAATGCCTGGATGGGTTTGGTCCCTTTCAGAAAGTTTGATGCTGATGTTGAAGGATCTGTCAAGGAAAACARCTCTAGAGTTGACCCTTCAAATTGTTTTGGCTCAGTCATACAACTACCTGACTGCAGGCTACTTTCTGAACTCTGGTCCACAGCCTCATTAGTGCTCAGCTTAGCTTTCTTCCTTGGTGAAAGCTCATCACTGCTTTGATCCAGACAACTACTTTGCTTGAACTGTCGTTTAATGCATTTGGACAGTGTCTTCTGTATTTCTTTAGAAGCTGATTCTTTTTTCAGCATTCTGTTTTTTCCTGCAGGTAAATTCATCTCTAATAGTTTCATTTCATCTGCAAGGATATTAAAAGAGAAACTGTGTTTTACATGTTTGCAACTAATATCCCTATAAAACAGTTTTACAGTGTCTAGCTAAAGGCAATATGCTAGTTTGCAAGAGTAAAGGTACGTGGAAGGAAATCTCTAATTTTTTTTAAGGACATCTGATCAAGGACCTTTTCAATAGAAAAGGGGGGTAAAAAGAAAAGGAGAAAGTAATAAACAAGAACATACAGGGACTAAAACCTAACCAGCAATGGGAGACAGTGAGGAAAACCAAACCTGGTCATTCCCATGATGACCACTGATAATGGTATGTGAGAGCATGAGAATGCATATTCCTGCAAGGTTATACTGAGGGGAAAAAGAGAAAAGCCAGGAAAAATAYAGAGACGCAGATCTAACAAAACAAAAATGGAGACAATGACAAGAGACAACTTCACCAATCACACCAATTGATGGGCTATCAGGAAACTGCAGATTCCTCTTGGAAGATCAACTTTTTGCACCTAATACAATTACAAACCAGGGGAGATCCTGGAAATGGGGCTGGAAGGGGTGAGGGAATTGGTACAGCTATGCCATGAAGCAATATGTAAAGGTAAGGGGAGCTGCAAAGGACCACTGTGGGAGTTCACAGCCTTTTGGGTCTGGTGCCAGCTGCTGGGGGKGGTCAATATATCAATATATCCCCAAATTCAGTGTGTATTCACTGACAAACTTAAGCCGGACTAGCTGGTGAGCAGGAGGGTCTAGGGCTGGCCTAACAGGTGGATTTGTGAGTCAGGAACGCCTGTGAGACAAAGATGTGAATGTCACATTTCACACTGAGCATCAAGCTGGACTAGCCAGTAAGCAGGGGATGCATGAAGTGATAGGAGGGCTGAGAGTGTAGGTAGGTGTGCCAGGTGGACAGAGGGGCCAACGTGTTGAGGTTTTGGTTGCATGGGGCTGCAGCAGGTCCTCTATGAGGAGAGAGACCAGGAACTGCCTTGTGCCAGAGACAGCTGGCTCCAAAACAGATCCACTGCAGGACATGGCTGAGCCTGTCAGCCAAGCTGGTGATGTCTCATGGATAATGCTTTGCAGAAGAGTGTGACAAAGTGGAGTGAGGAAAAAATGTAAAGACACAATCCTGTAGACACCAAAATCAGTGAAAGAGGGGMAAGTAGTGCTCCAGGCACTGGAATTGATTCCCCTGAGATCCAGTAACGTTTATCCAGCAGGTTGATCTGCTCCCATGAGGACCATGATGGAACAGGTACATATACTGCAGACACTTGAGGACCCCATTCTACTGCAGGTGAGTATGCCTTGAAGGAAGTTGCAGCCCATGAAGAGCCCACACTGGAGTAGGCTCCTGACAGGAACTGTGGCTTAGGGGGTACCCACATTGATACAGTCTTATACTGAAAATTTCTAGCCTATGGAGAGGACCCCCACTGGAGCAGTCTATGAAGGATTGTATTCCATAGGAGGGACCCCRCATTGGGGCAGGGATGAGAAAGGAGAAGAGACTAAATGTTATGAACTGACCTCAACCCCCAGTGTCAATCCCTCCTGTGCCACTTGACAAGGGTGGAAGAATTGGGAATGAAGATGAGTCTTGGAAGGAGGTGGATATGTAAAAGGGAGGAGGTTTAGCTTTTGTATTTGTTTCTCACTCTCCTACTCTATCTTTAATTGACAACAAAATAAATTTATTCTCCTCATGTGACTCTGTTTTGACTATGACAGCAACTAGTGAGTGATCTCCCTTGTCTGTATCTTGACCCTTGAGCTTTTCCATATTATTTTCTCTCCCTACCCTGTTAAGGAAAAGGGGGTGACAGAGTGGCTGGGTGAGCATCAGGCAGCCAGCCAAGGTCAACCCACCAAAAAGTAAATTCCACAAAGACCTACTAAGTTATCACAGAAATAGTTAAACACAAAAAATGGCAAACACTTGAATATAGCAGAATTTTCATCTTGGTCATGTCTGCCCTCTTCAAGTCTATGTCTGACAGATATGCACCAGAACCTATTTTGAAATTATCACAGCAGCATTTAAAGTAAAAAGTAGGACACAAGCTCACATCGAAAAATTGGGTTCCCAAATAAACTCAATTCAGCTCCTGAATCAAATTCAAGCTACTGAATTTCAGTAAATGCTTACCATTGTCTGAGTGATCTTTTTTGGGAACTTCTATATGTTCTGCAGACTCTGATGATTTACCGCATACTACTGCAAAAGATTCTTTGCCAGAATCAACTTCACTTTCATCATTACTCCACAATTCTCTGGTAAATTTATCATGGTCTGGATGTCTTTTAAAGTCATCATAGTCCTTCTTCAATCTAGACCTTAAAAATAACAAAACTAACTTTACTGAAAACCCACACTGTTTTAAACATTTTTATTTGTATTGTTGCTGAACAAAAAGTTGGTGTAATTTAATTGTCTGTGCCCTTCAAAAAATTGCAGTGTAGCTCTATCTGCCAGTCTCCAAAACCCGGAACATTTGAAGTGACAGCAGTATCCCTTACTTTACCAAAACTGAACGCTATGTCATTAAGTCCTCTAACAATAGGCAAAAAGACTGAGTCAAATGTGACCATTTTACTGCATCCATCTTCTTTTTTCATCTTTCATGTGACAAACATACCTGTATAGACTTGAGTATTAACTGTAACAAGTCTACTCCTTACTTTGAAGGCAATCTCCAGTAGAGAATTAAGTAAATCTATTTTTTTTCTTAAATGCATAATCCTTTTGGCACAGCTATAGAACCGTAATATAACTTCCTCCTTAGGAACACTTTCTTATCTGTGGCCCATTACAACAATTGCTGACTTAATTTCTATAGGTTCACACTCCAGTAAAGAATGTGCATGTGACAGAAATACATAGGTACCTCACGCATTTGAACACTATCAGAAATATATCCACTTACCTTGAGACTGCTAACCTGCTATATGTTTTCAATGACCCTTCTTCCAAACCATTGCTTATATGGGATATAGTGGCGATTTTAGTATACAAATACAATGAATTTCAAGATTCAGCTAGTGGGGTAACCAACACAATGCYCAGAAGGATCATGTAGCAAATGAGTAAATAGATTATAGCAATTAACACTACCTAGACTATTCTGGACTTAACCCTTAACTGTTAAGAATAACACCTTAAATTTRATCATTCTTTTGCATTAATGTAACAGTTGTTTGCATTGAATGCAGCAATGGCCAGCTGCTCTCCATGAGATAGAGAGGGAGGAGCCAAGAATGATGTCACAACTGGAAGGGCATGAGCCTCATCAGTCAGCTGGCCATCCCACTGCCCCTGAACGAGGCAGCAGGGCAGGCCTATGGATAGTAATTGGGTTCAACCAAGAGTCCAGATCAACAAGCAAATTCCTGGTGCTGAAGCAGGTCTGAGAYCGAGCTGGGAAGTCAATACAAAGTTTATGGTGAGGGCCAGGTCCAGTAATGACTGTCAGGGTCAGGGCCTAGTTGAGTGATTTCTGGGCAGCTCCATAGTGATGATGGATGTAGGTGTCAGTCTGAGGGTCAGTCCAGATCAGYAGGACCCATGGCCAGGCACAGTAACTGCTGTAGTTGAGCTGGAAACTGGCATACCTACAGCAGAGGTTGAAGGCTGCAAAATGACCTGAGATGGGGATCTTGGGCCCAGGTGGCATAGACGGACAGCCAGGGGGTGCTGCTAAAAGCTAGTGAGATCTAGTCGTTTACTCCCAGCTTTGACATTCTCACTGAAAGCAGACAACATTTCAGCCTGTATGAAGAGGTAGTGTCGACAACACTTCACCTCTGTCATCAAGATTTTGAGCTTGAAGTCTAGGTGTGCAAGAACTATAGGAGGACACCAGGAAACTGCTACCATGCTAAAGCTTCTAGATGGAATTTCCTTTTTTCTKTTGAGGAACTTCTGCTGTAAGGGCAGTGGGCACAAGTAACTTTCCCTTTTCAACCTTGCTGCTATTCAAATACAATTCAACTTTATATTCTGTCATAATCTTGAAAAGACCAGAAGACCTTTCAGAAAAGAAAGAAAAGGCTTTGGACCATAAAGTCTACTCCTACTYGTTAAAGACTGTAACAAAGGGAGGAAAGAAAACTCCAGACTGTTACTCCATACTGTGGCCACATGGAAGAAGAAGCGCTGCCCAGTGCTTCACAGCTTAGAAGTTAAACACTATTCTTCAATTAGCAGACACTAGCAACTTGCTGAGACACCCTAGAGACACAGCAACTGGAGTGAGACTTATGGATGAACTGATGTTTACACCACCGTAAGTAAATTTTACTCAATTGCTTTTTTCCTTATACATGACACTTTTCTTCACTGCTGTCATTGGTGCTACACAACTGCCTAGCACTGCATAATGAAACGGATAAAGACAGTGATCTAGAATCCCCTATCCATCTTTCCTCCCCATGATTTGTAAACATTTGTCTTCAGATGGACTTGGTCCCTGGTATGCTTCATGTATGTCCAAACAGTTATGTCATGGAAACACTCAGGCTTTCCGTGCTGAGTTAACTACAGCCTAAAACACTACTAAAAACATACTAAAACACATACTAAAACTGTGAATTGTATTAAGTTAATTTCAGAAGTTATCTTGCATTCCCAAGGGCGTGCTTCTATAGCTACCAACACACACATACAGAAGATCTCAATTCCCCTGTTCCAGACTAAAATTTACTCCCATCAGTCTCTGCTCATATATAGCACTTAATGCATTTTGAATGACGATTCTGTGTTCTATAACCATATTGACACAGCATGGGCAACAATCAGAAGCTGAAAACCACTGTGCTGCTAGAAAGTGATAACCTCTTTGCCATTACTGAAATTTGGTGGGATGTCAATGCAGTGTGACTATTGATGGCTACAGGCTCTCCAGAAGAAACAGGTGAGGAAAGAGGGGCAGAGGGGTTGCCCTCTACATCAGGAGGGAGATTGAGTGTGAACAGCTGTCTCTGAAGAACAGCTAGAAGCAGGTCAGAAGCCTGTGGGTAAGAATCAGGGACCAAGCCAA